TTCTATGTGTCTTTTTCTTCTTTTTGAGGGATAAATAAATTCTGCTTAAAATTTTTACAACTTAGTTTGTGTCCAGAGTTTTCTTTTTCCAGCAGAAGGAATCATAATAAATTGATCTTTGTGTTTTCCAGCTCAAGCTTCATGAAATTTCTTCGAAGATTCTTTTAAAATGACTGTTGTGAATATAATTGGTAAAGTTATGAAAGCAAAGTAATTTGCAGAGTGCAAAAAAGCTTGTTTTTCATTGCTTGACTTTCAACAAATTTAAAAGATAGTGTCGGAAAATCGTATATTTCAAAAGTAATGGCTGCTCAGATACTGAGGTAAATGTGAGTGCTAGAAAGCAAATAAAAGTTTAGATACAAAAATTGGAGAAGTTGGAAGATTAGGGACTTATCTTTCTAAACATTTTAGATTTTCTAATGCCAGTGGTGATAGAGAAAAGTCCAGTAGGTTAGATGTTTTTGTGTAATGAGAAATAGTGTTCCATGACTTCTCATTCGCATCCTTATATGCGTCATTTATGCTAATTAGTGGTGAGCCATACATTTTGGCTTCTATGTTTGCTATATGATGCGACAAACGGAGAAGTGCACTATTTTTTGCTAAACAATTATTATACTAAAGTTTTCCATGCTTAAATGTATATAACACATAATCCCGAGAGTTTTTGATGTACTGCAACAGGAACAACAGAATCATTTCTTTGACATGTAATGAGTCATGAATATTGTTCATATTCTTTGTTGCAATATAAACAACTGAAATTGGTTGCTCAATGCAATGTCACCAGTGATTATGAATCAATTTTTTTTAAATTTTGCAATATTTTTATTTTCTGTCCGATGTGAAAACCTATGGACTAACTCGTGTAACCTTCCTTCTTTTCGCGGTTAATACAGTTCTTTATATAAGAGGAAGATAGGTTTTCGATATGTTTTTTTTCTCCAATCAAACGCTTAAATTTCAATCATATTGAGTTAGTTATCTGATTAAACTTTTTATGTTGCTTGAAATATCAGCAGTTAAAAATTAAACTAATGTATCATGCGAATTACATGAGGCTTGTGTTTGAATCTTTGATATCTTATTGTTTAATTTCCATTACTTGCGGTATATGATCTACGTTAAATAGTGATTCAGTCGTTCATCTACTTCAGTGGCTATTACTTACTGCTTTTACTACTGTAGTTAAACAGTAAACTACTGTAGGCTTTACCGCGTTATTTGCATATTAATTACTAATGATACACTATATGAGACATTTCAGTTGCAGGGTAGAAAATATCGTTGTCGGACCGAGTGTTTACGAACAACATCGAGAAAGTTGCTGTGGTGTACTTTTTACTGAAACAAGGGCGTTTACGCTTATTAAGCAAGACTGCTGTTAGCGGTGGTGATTTTACGTGGTTTCTCCATCATTTAATTTAGTTGCTTCCTTCCACGGACTTGATCTCGTCTGCATCTTTTTGGTGCATTCCACGCTTTCTCGTCCTTTTCTCTTAATTCTTCGATTATTTTCATCGAACTAATGGCCGATCAGCTCACCGAGGAGCAAATTGCAGGCATGCTTCTAATTAATTTAATTTGAATTTCAGTGTTTTTTTTCGAAGGTACTGAAGATTTTTTATAAATTTATTCGAATTGTTACAAACAATTTGAAGGGAAAGAAATTATTTGCAATCCATTGCATTGTGCTACAAAATTGAGATAGAGTTGTAACTGTAACATCTCATGCCCATTAAGACATCTATTCTACCGAAAGCAGCGAGTAATAGCACTTATGTTTGAATTTTACAAATGGGAAAAAATTTTAAGGTTTCATATATTATTGTTGTGTCTGATAAAAATGATGTATTTAGAATTTTGGTTCCCTTTATGTTATTTATGCAAGATTACAATGGAATTTTATGTATGGCAGAGTAAAAAGTTGAGTGTTGAGTGTTGAAGTGAAATGGAGAAAAGTGAAAGAGTCTGGTAAAATGAGCTCAGCTAGATCTTAATATAAATTGTATAGAATATCGCGTGATACTTTGTTGCTTAGGACTATTGATAACTCTAAACGATGTCATTAGGAAATCCAAATGAATTTTTTATTAGATAAAACAGCAGCTCAAACAAGAAGAATAAAAAGCATTAGATGACTGTAGACAGACAAAGATTAGAATAACTTTTGCCTTTTGTATCTCTAAAATAGTCTGGTACATAAGCAGCAAGTCGGTTGAAACAACCAGAATTTTCTGAGGAAGGAGATTTACGTGCTTGATTGGATGCGAAGAAGTGCTCCTTTGGCATCTCTACAGATGAATTTTATCTTTTTAATTCTAGATTCATAGCATTTACAAAAGTAATAGTACAAGGAGGAAAATGCAAAGAAAGTTGTACTTTTGGTAGTTATCATTCCTGAAATTTTATTTTCAGTTTATGTTTTCTTCAGTATTCATGTTTATTCGCCGATCATAAGCTTTCTTTAGAACTGCTCGAAGATTCTTGTTCCTTATCCGAATTCGTTTTTGTTCTAATTCTTCATTAGGATTATCTCATGATTCCTGCTAACTCTTTTGTTTTAAATGTATATATACGAAGTTTCTAAATTAGAGTGCTTGAGGCATATAATTACTTTGCTGGTATACTTTGCAGATTGAAACATATAATTACTTTGCTATTACATTGTATTGTATTAATTTATGGCACTTTACATCAAGTTTTCCATTTTTCATCTATGGTGACAGCACATGTTAAAAAACCTACTATAAATAAGGTATTATTATTATTATTATTTTTTTTCTTTTTTTAGAATTCAAAGAAGCATTTTCCTTGTTCGATAAAGATGGAGATGGTACAATTACAACAAAAGAATTGGGTACGGTTATGCGATCGCTAGGCCAGAATCCGACTGAAGCAGAATTACAGGATATGATCAACGAAGTTGATGCTGATGGTTAGTTAGGTTGACGCAAACTTTAAGTTTCTTTAAATTTTTGTTTGGGTCTTCAGATTAAATTCTCAGCATTTGGCCAAAAATCGTTTCGTTTTCTCTGTCTTAATTCTGAAGATCTTTTTTTTTTTTCGGCTTAATTTACAGGTAACGGAACGATTGATTTCCCGGAATTCCTCACCATGATGGCACGGAAAATGAAGGATACAGATAGCGAAGAAGAGATCCGTGAAGCCTTTCGAGTATGTGCCCAATTTTCCTTACTGATTTAGCGAATGATCCTAATTAAGGCATTACAGATTCAGATAAATCGTTCGTGAGGGCCATAACCACGTGCTCGAAATGTCCTTGCATAGTCATTACAGTGCAGTTTTTTTTTTTTTTTCTTTTTCTGCATAACCATTACAGTGCGCTGAGCAGTACAGTGCAAAATTGTTCTTATTTCTTTGTAGGTATTCGACAAGGATGGTAATGGTTTCATATCTGCAGCCGAATTACGTCATGTTATGACTAATCTTGGTGAAAAACTGACCGATGAGGAAGTGGATGAAATGATTAGGGAAGCTGATATTGATGGTGATGGTCAGGTCAATTACGAAGGTGAGTGCTATTATCGATGATATTTCTGATTATATGTTTATATTTTCATATATGTTTACTTTGTAGACATTGACAGCAAGTTCTGTGTAGATATAGATATGGGCGGGGAAATCCGTGTTCAAATACTGCGATATATTTTGGCTAGATTTTATTAAATATCGAAATACTTCATAATATCAGTAGGATGATGACAGTGCAGAAATAAGACATGAAGGTAGCCAGAGATGGTAGAATATAAAATAAATGTTTTAAAATATTGACAGTGGTATTTCTTTCATTTTTTTGTTTATAAAAATAATTAAAATGTTTCGTTAATGAAATTTCTTCTTATTGAAAAGCATTTACTTATTTGCGTGTTTTATTTATCCATAATTGGGCATCTATTGCATTCAAAAATTAAGAGCTGTTGATCATACTAGAGAAAGGATTTTAAATGATGGAAGTGTGTAAGGAATTGAGCATCATACTTTTTTTTGCTTTCTGTTCTGCTTTACATTTCGGTCTCTCGAATGAATTTCACATAATTTGCCACTTCTACCTGAAGCATTACATATTTGCAGAGTTTGTGACTATGATGACAACAAAATGAGTTTGTATGAGCAACGACAGGCAGAATTGTGAGATCGACCAATATCGTACCCATCCATTCATCAGCAAAATAGAGAGCACAAGTTTTTTATTTGCTGTCATAGAAAATCGTTCGCGTATATTTATGTTTCAAAAAGATTCATGAAAGCCTACATACTGTGAAATTATTTTATTATTATCAATATTATTATGCAGAATTGTGTTTTGCGTTTTTTTTTTTATCTGTCTGTCTATGAGGGCATGAAATTTCGTCATCTCGCTTTTTTTTGTCTACATACAAATTCGTTATTTGTTCAAGGTACAACTTGAAGGACTGAGTTCGAAACTTGCAAAATTAGCCCTCCAATTCTGAATTTCACGACTGTCTAAAATTGTTCTGTAGATGACTTCTAGTAAATATTGAGTTTTATGGGTGGGATTTCCGGATTTTTCTGATTTGATCGTTCGATTTGTCGCAAATATTCATATGAAGACTGGCAACTTTTATATTTTGGAAAGCTCATGCATTCCCAGTAGTGCACGAATGAATATCTTCTATCGTTTTCAAGAATACTTTTTATTTATTCTCATTTTTCGTGTTTTCTTTATGTATTTGGACATCAATTCTTGCTTCTCGATAAATGTGTTCGTTCTGAATTTTTTTTTTCTTTTTTTTGCTTATGGAGGAAATTTGCCAGAGGAAGATAACGTGGGGCAAGAAACTTTTAAAACTCTGTCGGTGGATAAATTAAAAATAACTGCAGATGAGTGATAGGAAATTTATGTCTTTTGTCGGAACATATCTAATTTTTAAGGGATTCGTGAAGCTTTTTAATGAAATATTTCTTGGAATACATTTAGGAGATTCGGGTCTTTTATAATATTTCACGGTCTTCTAAAGGATTTGAGTTTTGATTCCATTTACTTTGACCGTTTTTGGTTTGAAGTCGGGGCAGTCGATTTTGAGAGTGAATCGTCTGGATTCCTTCGGACTCTTGATAAGCACTTTCAATTCGAGCACAACGCCATTCAAACCTTCAAAATTCTCCACATGTACCTGAAGCGATTTGAATGTCCGGTTGACGCATGAAATATTCAAGCTACGTAACGTTTGTTTACTCATTTCCTCGTCACGAACAATTGGTAGTGGAGATGAGATTTTTTTTTATGACTAATCCACTGAGCTCCGTATTGGTTTTACTGTGATTTAAATTTTTAAATCCGGATGAGAAGATCCAGTTTTATGTTACTCTATATGTCAGTTTCTCTTTTTCGTCATAACTTTCCCGAATCTTGCGGAAGCGAATTGTACTTTTACTATTATTACCATACCTGTCGGTGCTAAAACTTATTCTTTAAGAGATTCAAGACTCACTATGAAATTTCGGCCTATTTTAGTATGGTAATCACTGATAAACTTACAACTCCAGGTATAACAATGGTACCATCGGGTTTCATCGCTGGTATCAGTTGATCTCCTCTATTTTGTACGAAGTTATGAGCATCAGTTGGTGGTTCGGTTTCGTCTGAAGACAATTCATCAACATTTGGGATCGTGAGACCTGTTATTTCACTACTGATCAAAGTTTCAGGTGATTCAGTGATCGATGTTATACTTGTTTCTGATGATGTGTCTCTGAAATGTTTATCAGATGAATAGATTGACGAGGAGTAAATAAGAAAGAAATAAACATATGAAATAAATGAGCAAGCTCCCTATGTTTGTTCTGCTGCTTGTTCGTATAAGCAGTTGTTAACTTAAGAAATAAATAAGTATTGAGATTTTATCTCTAGTACTATATTAAGTTAACTGCATTGTACATCAGAAAAGATTAATTATGACTAATAAACGTTTCCTTGTATGCAAGGCATTTCAATAATCAATTTGAAAAAAAAAAACAAAACAAAAACAAAAAGATTTCATGAAGAAAATGGAACCAAACACTATCTAAATAAGCTACTCGATAACTTGTGCAAAATTTCCTTGAACACAAAGTTGTCGTCGTGTTTTCAAATCCTCATTACTGTGGATTGCAGATGATGTGGAATTAAGCTCAGCGAAACTTCTTTCTCTTTTCTGCTGACATATTTCATTATGATCTTGTCTTAAATTATTTAAACCTACTTTTAAAGACCAAAGTTTTAGTTGTTATTATGCTAAGCTTGAAACAATGTATTTTAATTTCAGTATTTTCAATTATATTCCTAAATACTCAATTTCTTCTATGACTGATGACTAGATGTTCCTATAAGAACTGGAAGTGATAAATATATTAAAGATCAAATATGCTAATTTTAACAGCCTTCAGCGAAGCGATTTATTCCTCACTTCTTGGCTTTTCATCCTCGCAGCTCTAATTTGAATTCCGTTTGAGTAAAATTTGATCATTTTAGACCATAGAAATAGGAATCAATTTTGGCTTTTTTATAAACTTTAAAGGATTTCCATTCAGTATTTAAGATTTTCATTCAGCTAGGTAATTCAATTCCGTTCTACCTGTACATTGAAGTGAAAGATTGGATACTTCTTCCAGTGGTCAGCGTATTGTCATTCCTTGAAATGTCACTTGCACATCTCGGTAAACTTCCGCCAGCAATTTGTCTACTCACCTTTGATCCATTTAGCCTACGCTTAGAAGGTTTAGTTTCAAAATTTAAGTTTAAATCTCATCAAGAGACAATGAATTAATGTAACTATAGTTACCTTCTGGCTTCATTATTTATAATGAAACGCTTCAATTCTTTTCTGTTTAACTCAATACAGCCACCATCTGAGGGCCAAATTTCCCGTGCAATCTAGAACGAATTTCGTATTTACACACTGAAAACTCAATGAGTTAATTTGAACATAAAATTTTCAGAACGTTTTGATAATTTCATCACCAAATTACGTCCATCACATTTGAAGAATCGGTCACAGCACAAATATCGGACACCTGGTCTTTCGTTTAACACTAATGACGGTGAAATTTCAGAATTTCCTATTACAGAGCGTTGTTGTCCTGAAAATATTGGGAAATGTTGTGCTGAGAGATGAATCTGCAAAGATGGGCGTTATAGCAAAGAATTCACTGCCTTTCAGTTTTCCTGGAGAAGCAACACATGAAGCAGGTTGTCGTCCAGAATTATTCATTCGATTCATTCCATCCGACTCTGACACCACCATTTCGGTTCCGTGTTCAGACAGTTCTTTCAATGCCTATGAAGAGAAAAGCTTTCTGCAAAGTTCTATCTACTATTTCAGACTGTAAAATAGAAGATATTTTCTACTACTTTTCTTTGTTATCTTTTTTTATCATTCATAAATTGCTCCTTTGTTAAATTACATTGCAGTTACCGTTTCAGCTTTATTAATAACATCGAAAAGCAACCGCTCTACCCTAGCTGCCACTTCCGAAGGACCACATAATTTATCAATGGGAGATTCAGTTGAGTTAGCCAGCTCTGCCACTTGTATAGCTTCACTGTAAGTTTAGTATGACCAACAATGTGAGTTTAATCTTTTAAGGTTTATTTATAAAAGAAAAATCAAAAAATTTAATTTATAGCCTTCTGTTATTACTTTTTGTTAAAGCAACGTCTTTTATGAATTTTATCAACTATTAAACAACTATTAAAAAAAAAAAGGCTATTAAATTTTTTGAATCATATTCATGCAAATTTTTTTGACTCTTAAAATGAAGATCTAATAAAACGGATGTAGATTTGGGGGAAGTTGTCGAGGTAAACATTGTTTAGGTAATTTTCTTTTTGAAACTTCAACGAAATTTATTCATATTCAGATTTCCAAAAATCTCTGTAATACCTTTGAGATTTCACGAAAATAATGCGATCAAATTAATATTAATTTGATATTTCACTAGGTGGAAATTGAAATCGTTATGTATAACAATGTGAAATGATCGAATAAATGAATAGATGTTGATAAATGTAATCAAGCAGTAAATCAAGAATCAAAAGCGATGAAAACACTAATGATAAAAGGCAAATGGTTCTATTTAGGTGTACCAAATGCATTTCAAAACATTTTGATAGATGTGAGAAAGTTTAAGATTTAAATCTTCTAACTTTAATCTGAAATTTACAATAAATTTGCAATGATCTACCACTCTACACAGCACTTCAATTATTTTACTAATTGTTCAACACACAAGTTCATGAGTCAGTTATCAAATCAAGTGGTCTCATTATCCCAATGATCACTTCTGATCAAAAGCAAATTTCTTTCTCAGCTTACTAGAATATTTCTTTAGCTTGTTAGAGCTTCGAACATATCCCTCAGGACTTTTAGTAATAATACTTGATGAAATTAAAATGTATATGGATGCATTTGATGATCGAAATTCCATCTGTAATGTTGCCTATTATTTTAATAAATTTAACACATTAATTGAAATAAAATATTCATTCCTGCTCCTAGTTTGCCTGTAAATTTACTTACTTAATGTTTTAACTATTGTGTTCGATTATTAAGTAAAGCATTTTTTTAAACCCTCTAATTTGTATAATTAGATATATCTAGCTTAGGTTTTGCGGAGATTTAATAAGAATCAGATATTTTTGCAAAGTGAGAAAATATAAGCACACGAAAGCAGCCATTCAATAAAGTGAATATAATCATAGTGCTTGGAAGAACTATCAAAAGCGATGGCTATTGATAAATTCGTGAGAAGATCGTGTATACTTGGTACATTTATTTCTTATTTTTTGAATAAATTGATGAATTTTCACATTTTAATATCACTTTTTTTATCGCAATAATCGTTTCATTCTATTTTATGAATTATCGTTTTGAAGATTACAAGTGTAGAAAACTATGTACCACCTTGTTTTCAACACAGTCTTGTGTGGCTAATATGAGCGAAAATAGATTAATATGTTTGGATTTGACTGGACAGGACAATACTAACCTTGAATGTGCTATCAGAATCTGATTACATTTATGGAAACTGGATTAAGTTATGAGGTATTGATCGCATTTTCATGGCTACTCAGCTCATTTTCCAGTTGCTCATTTCTTTTCACTCTGATTTTGTGTTCATTCATGAAGTAAATCATGTTTAACCTCTAAATTGAATTTGATGAAAATTACACTGGTAATCCTATTTATAGGGTCCACTTTCAATGTACAATATATGAGAAAGAGGTGGCGACAATCTTGATACTCTCGAAAATGGTTAAAAACAGCAAGGTAAAGGTGCTCGATACTGGCTCCAAGAAAGTGGTGATTGGAAGAAGTATGGCTATATGTTCGTCAGTGATATGAAGGTTTTCAAAGTTTTCTAAAACTAGATGATAAGGAAGGGATATCAGTGGGATGTAGAACAGTAATCAAAGTTGGAAAAATGACTTTTTATTCATTCATCAGTTAAAGTTGAATAAAAAGTTTGCATATATATTCTATGCTTTTTTAGAAAAAAAATTTACTTTAACTTAGTCTTCTTTGAATAGTTTTAAAATGTACAAATCAGTTTTGCCAGATGCGTATATCACTAGTTCACATTTGTCAGATCATAATGAATACGATAGAAGTGCTTCCGAAACAAACTCATAAACTGTAGTTAATTAAGCACTTTGTCGTAATCTAGTCCAGGCCAATTACGACAAAGTGCCATGAGTGTATTGTAAATGCTAAAGCTTATTCAACCTGTTTGTCGAATAACTATAAATTTCAGGATATTCTAATCTGTTGCAGTTATGTATTTCATTTTTCACAAAATTATATTTAATATAATGCGAGGATATGAATTAACATGTTGAGCCTATGTGGTATATTGTTCCACAGAAAGGGAACTTTGTTTTTGTAGAAATATGCCTACAGCGTCTTTGGAAAGGTTATCGATTAAGAATACTTTTGACCTTAATATTCAGCCGAAACATCATGAAACATGAAATTTTCATGATGCTTTTTTTAAGATAGCCAATCTTTTGTGACTATTCCTTCTCTTTCGAAGTTAATAATGTGAAAATAAATGTGACTATTAATCATACTCGAGTTAACAAACCAATTACATTTTCATGTATTTCAAAATTGAAAATTAATCAGGAAAAAGTCCGAATCAAGATGTCAATTATTTCAGGAAGAAATTAAGGTAAGAATTCCACTGGTAACTTGAAAATTAAGGGAAAAACCAAAAATGAAAAGTGAAATGAACGCAATCTTGAGATGTAACTTTTAATGAAATAATGATTTTCAAACCTGACCTCACTCGCATGATTTCCCAAGCAAAACTTCTTGAAATACTTAAGGTCACTAACACCTGCTACAAGTGTGTCAAGAGAACTAGTAGAAATCTATTTATGCTGGGAATAATGAAAGTGCGCACAACGCTTATTGTTTTTCTCTAGCTTTCATTGTGGCTAATGCGCTTGCCTTTATTTCTTTGATGCGATCCTTTGCATCCTAAATACAAAAAGATTTTCGATTCTGACCTCTCCAAAGAGACATCGCTAATAACATTAATATATTAATTTAGTAGGTAAAACGTTTTGCTTTCTACAAAAAGCAAACCTCATAAGCACTCCAACCACCCAATGAAGCAATACGAAAAGCGAGTCCAAAAAGGACAAAAAATGACATCGGGTTGGAAAATGCGCCGGGACGAATACGTACTAAATGCCTCGCCAAATATTCCACGTCAAAGCATTCTCGGCGTTCAATCTGCTTCATAAGAATAGTTGCTACCCATACAACACATGTCCTAAGCAATATCTTTTTATGGTGATAAAAGCGCATGTAATAAAGACCAGGAAGGAAGGGAAATTTGATTTGCGTTTACAAATATATTTTAACCCTTTACCTTTCTTTTCTCTTTTCTAAAGACACAACAGAAATAAATAGCAGTAGTACCTGTTTAAACCAGCAAAACCTTGAAGCACAACTGGTGGAATGTAATCATCGGCTGCTCGTTTAATGATTTGTATCTCTTTACTTGCAAGAATTTTAATAAATGGTCCCAATTGGTCCAGATCTGGCCATATATTATTTGACCAGTTAGTTATATGAAATATTACTATCTAAATTAGAAAAAGCACCATGGATATCCATTCGTTTGTTATTGTGTTTAACAATTCTAGAATTATATTTGTTGAGAAATCTCTTTAATATATTATTTTACCAAATTCATTTCGACCCTTACTCAACTGTAGGATTCTCATCTATTCCTACGCATGAATTAAACCGAAAGCTTGCATCAATCGTTACTAGCTTTTAAATGTATCAGTCTTGTTTGAAGCCTAAAAATCATAGATCAGTGTTGCCTCCATCTTGAAATCTAATTTTTTCTTTGAAATTTACCTGACAATTTAAAAACTGAGAATCAGCACTAGAATTTGAGTCGAATGAACTTTGAAAAAATTAATTGAAAAAGACTGGCATGTTTTGGTTTGCTGTCGTCGTCACCAGCACCGGTGTCCACAGAGCCATCCTCTTTTGGAGCTACTTTTCCACAGGTAACATCAGCATCCAAATGCGCTGAGAGTGCAACATCATAGATTATGAAGCCTTTTTCTTCTTTCTTTTTAACTAACTTTACTGTAAAGCGCTTTTGCTGCAAATGAGTGATTCATAAATGAAAGCAAATGTTGCATTAGTGAGATATGCAAGGCTTTGAAATGGAAGATTTAATTGGAACTGAAATTAAGATGGCTAATACAGCTTTACCTTGAAATTTTTTATTTGAATTTTCTCAGTTTAACTCTTGTTTCTATTTCCTTATTTCTTTTTCTACCACTAAGGATTTTATAGTTCTGTTTTCCAGCATTATTGTCAAAAAAAAAAAAAAAAAAAAAACGTTTGGCTGTATTTTAAATTTGATGAATGAGCTGTAAATAAACATCATATCATCGACTTACACCAATCTCCATTTTTGCATCCGGTTTCGTTGGCCAGTACTGATAACACTTTTCCGCATCATCCTCCACTGTCATCTGAGATTGCTCCACAACGCAAACGATCAGCTTGCAGCCATCCTATGCAGTCGATTAATTTCAAAACATTTTAGTGATAGTTAGTGAAAATACGAAATGATTATTTGCATAGAGGAAGTTTATGGGGAATAGGCGACACGAATATGTTTACATCTTTCTATGAAAACATTATGCTGATATTTAGTATATCACATAGATAATCTAAATTATTTCAAAATAATTCCCTGCCATGTAATTCACCCAGATAATTCCGCTATAGTGCTCTGTTCTTGATGGTTCTTGATGGTTAAAGAAAATAATAATTCATCCATTTTGAATGATTGCATTACAAACCTGCCAGACCATTCGCCAGAAATCAACTGTATTTTCCTTGGTTGGCGCTTGGATAATGATATAGTCTTCACGATTAAAACTGGCATATGTTGCAGGCAAATAGTCAGTATCTTCAGTTGCTTTTGAACTTAATTTTACACGCTTTTTCTCAAATAGCGGAACTGGGACACGGTTTTTTTTCTGCAAAAAGAGAGAATAAATCAGAATTAGAAGAAAATTCAAGCAACAGGGAATGATTGTTTTGAAATTGTTAGGAAATTTCAGTTCTGAAAATGAAGCATATTTTGACTTTTGACCTGATTAAGATGCATAGAGAGGAAAATTTAATTATTTCCAGCACTTCAGCATGCAGTGTGACACAATTTATGGTTTAATCTCATTCATTTCTTGTAAAAAACGATTTTTTCATAATGTGACACCGAAGTGGACAATATGCACACTTGACCTCTCTTGGGAGTGATGAATTCACAGCTATTCAAACCTAAGTTTTAATTACATAAAAACAAAATGAATTTTTAATCGATGAATAATCAATGTGTGGCAATTTCTGATTTTTTTTATCGATCATAATCGATTAGCAGTATGTCTTGTTTTAATAGTTTGATTAATTAGCCAGTCTTGCTCCCCTTGCTTCATATATTTCAATTTATTTTATCTGTGCTCTTCTAGATGAACAGAATCTCTTCTCACAGTTCATATTTATAATCTCATCAGAAATTCTGTGTTGAAAAACCACTTCAGCACAATATTCTTTTACACAAGCATTTTTTCTACATCTGCGATAACATTGTCATTAAATTGTCATTAAAATCGTTAAATGGAATTGCTGTTGCAGTGCTTGGTTAATTGTTTCCCATTTAGTTAAATAAATACACTTAGCAAATAATATATTAGGAAAATCTTCAGATTGGATAATTAAAGTTATTCGTTATTTATGATTTTGTCATCAGACCTGCATTTCAATTAAAATTTGTTTTTAAATAGAAAAAGAGAAAGGAAGAGTAAACATACAACTTGAGCAAGGAATGTTGCCGTATTTGAACTATTAATTGCAGTTGCTGCAACAAGACGTTCAAAATGCATCTGACGAGTTTTGGGTAAACTTTGCTTGGCAATCAAAGCCACAAAATCAGATGGTTTCTCACCAGCTTCTGTTGTACTATCCTATAAAATGCATTATAATCTTAAGATTTTAAAGTAGTAAGCGAAAGTATGGACTAAAAGGTGAAATAGAGGAAATAGAGTCCGATTCAAGCAGATTTCAGAACAGAGTAGTTAATGCTTTGCAGAGAAGACGACGTTTGATCAATTTTTATTTGATTGACATGAAGATTAGTAGTTATTGAGGAAGTGGTTTTTTTACTGCTCTCTTAAACTTTTTCAAGCTTTGATAATAATAAAATCCCAAAAACACTGATAAGGAAAATTGATCATATTCTGTGTACCATACAAAACTAGTCCAAATCACGAGGTTTCGGGTCATTTAATGAGTCTAATACAAGGTCTAGAAGCTTCATTGGGAAAAAACTTTTTCTGAAAACCAAAAAAAGAAATAAAATATACATCATTTAGAAAATTTAACTGGTAGAACATGTGCTTTTTTAATTTAATTGAAAAATAGCCACTGCTTATCCAACATTATTTGTGCATAAAAAATGCTATATAAAAATAATAAAACGTTCCATCCATTACACAACAACTACGGTACATTTCTAATTAACTACTCCACTGTTATTTCCAACCTTATGCGAAGCGCCTCTTCTTTGCCTAGCACTGGGTCGACTAGTCATTACTACCAAACTAAGATAACTATACCCATGACCATCATTTTCAAATTTAAATCATTTTTTCTTGCTGAACAAACTATTTGCATAACAAATCCGTGCTTTTGCATAACAAATCTTAGAAATTATGAATTCACTATTATTTTTTAACTCATTAATGCTTTTAATTTTCATAATGAATAGCTGCCATTATTAGCATTTCAAACAGATTGTCTTATGATAGGATGCAATTTAGATAAGTATACTATAGTGATTCTTCACCGGAAAAGTGATCAAACCGGAAAACACAAGCCATTTTTATTGCTTTTTTGAATAAAATTAAGATTGCTACCTGTGATACGGCAAAAACAGGTCCAAATCAATAATGTGAAATATACAGAAATTTTTTTGCAAGAATAGTAATGAAAAATAAATTAAAAAATCTAAAGGAATTTCCTGTTACAGAGATTGGTCTTAGATCATTAAAGTTAGTTGTATCATTATTTTTGATCAAGCATTTCAAAATTAACTGATGAAAATTATCTAACTTATCGAAGGTCACTTTTTTTCCGTTGTACATTGGATACAGTAATTTCAATTATAGCAAATGAAATCTCTCAAAAATTATTTTGTTAGTTACTCACTTAAAAGGATAGCAACACAATTATTCTTTGTTGAGGGATTTATAAGCATTTTAAGGTATCTAATATATATTAGGATAGATATTCAAATCCTTTGCATACATCATAATCGAAGAATAATGAATAAATTTGTACATTACATTTGCTTACTAATTAACTGTCACTTACATGCTTTATTTGTTCACATTAAATTTTGCCATAATATTTTTGGTTATTAACTTAACTTGAAAGATAATGTTCATATGCAATACTTTTGACTTCTAAAATGTAATGCATGAAGAATAGTAGCATAAATTGTTTATTTTTTAAACTGTTTCTGTTTATAAAAATTTCAGTAGTTTGAATCGTTGATTGAATGCCAAAAAATCAATAGTTTATAACCAATTACTATAGAACCGCTAGCTAAAAATCGCTAGCTTTTCATAATTTTTCTCTAAAATTTATTAAAATAATGACGAATAGAAGCATATTTGTTTTTACTCAAAGATTTCAAACGAGAAAAAAAAACTGACAACTGTCATTAACTCGAGCAATTTGAATGAGAATTAACGGAGAGGATATTGAGCAGCTTGCTCAGTTATACTTTATTGCTATAAATTAAAAAAAATTTGCCACTGTTTACTAATTATTTTTTTAAATTTTAATTATACTTTTTGTTGAAAGTAAGCAGCTGTTGGAAACATTAAAAGAAAATAAACCAAACCACTTATCATAAAAACATGAAAGAATTTGATGGACTAATAAGCAATTCTTTTAATGTTTCATTTTATTAAGTGCGCCATACTTAGTTCTGCTTTCCGATTGCTTTCCATTTCTGTACACGGAAATGTTCATAATGGATGTCCTTGTTGTTGTCACCAATTGAACAATAGCTTCACTGTTCTTTACGATCCGAACAGTGCCAACAGTCGGTCAGTCAGTCAGTCAGTTCGTAAGTGTCATCGTACTGTCACTCTGCCACCGCTGTCGCACACCGTCTGCTGAAGTGAACTGAGTGAGTGAGTGTTTGCTGTGACCACTGGCTTACAGCAAAACACGTAATTACAGTGAGTAAAGAGGAATTACTTTATAAGAAAAGTGAGTGTCACACTGGAAGATTTAAGTATTTCGACGTGGCAGGTAGATTGGGTTTACAACAAAGATCAAACAGTTTGCTTGTCACACTGAAAGGTCTTGATAATAAAATTAGTTGCAATTCTCGCGATATTAAGCAATGCTAGCAGTTCTTTGCTAACAGACTGTAATATCCCGGACAAGGCATATAAACTTCGTTACAATTGGAGGGTCAATCTTTTGGGTAATGGCTTATCACTGGTGGTATAAATCTGAAATAATTTTATTTAGTTGAGTCAATCAGTCATTAGATCACAAATTTCCGTGTTATGGATGTTATGACATAAACTTATTTCTTGGCACTGTTTTGTGTTTTTTTTTTTAATCTTCGAACAGTTATTTGGTAATTTTATTGAAGAAGTTTGTTCATTATTGAGTTGCAAAATTGGCTTTTCAACTTGTCTCATATTTATTGGTCCTGATTAATTTATCAAGAAATATTAATTGATGAGCAAAGAATTGTCTCGACTGGATGAAGCAGGACAATTGGGCAGAAGGAATTGCATTTTTTAAAAATCTATCCATCTTTTTTGCAGATGTCACGTTTGGTGATAAAAGCTAAATGTATGAAAGTATTAAATGAAGCAGGACGCGTTGGAACAGATGATGAAGCAATACAACATGGAAAAAATTTCTATAAATTGTCTGCTTTCCAACTAATTTTAATAGGATCTTTTATTCAGAAGTTTAATTTTAAAATTCAGTGGGAAATATTACTTGTAGATTGAGCGCAATGTGTATGTAAGTCATTGTTGGAGGTTCATATTGCAACTCTTTGGCAATTTAGGTTTCAAATCTTGTTATAAATAGATTTACTATGAAAAAAATTTTCTGAAATTTGTTCTCAGTAATTCATTAGTTTTGAAGTAATTTATTGAGGATTAATAACTATAAAAACTAATTGCAGTATGTTCGGTCACCATCCGGATTTGCGTGTGTTCTTCAAAGGTGCCGAAAATTTCACTCCGGCGGATGTGCAAAATAGCGATCGCTTTGCTAAACAAGGGAATAAAAATTCTTCGCTAATTTTATATTTTCTCAACAGTTCATAAAACTATAAAATTAATAAAACAACAGATTTTGAAGCAAATTCAGGCGAAAATGAAGCAAAAATTTTGAATTGTAAATTTTCAGGGCAGAAACTTTTACTTGCTGTTAGAATAATCATTAATACGTATGATGATCCGGAAACGTTCAGGGCATACGCCCGTGAAACAATCAACCGTCATATCAAATTCAAGATTGACCGTGCATTATGGCTTGTAAGCTTAAATTGATTCCGAATATTTCATAATAAACTGAACTAACAGATTATACTATAATTTTTAACGAGAATATTGAGATACTTCGAATTGAAAATTAGATTTCTTCATATCATGAGAAGTTTAAAATCCAATATTTATTAAACAGATTATAGCACCACCTGTATAACAACATGGTAATGGTAAAAGTTTTTTTAATCTTTAAATCTGGAATTCATTTCCCTGAAATTGCAGGCATTCTTTACGGTGTTGGTGAACAGCTTAAAAGAACATACCATAATCGATGAAGAAGCAGAAAAAGCTTTTCTACAAATTGGCAAAGAATTTTCTGATGAATGTCTAAAACATATTATTGCTTTGAATTTGTGTAACTGAATAATTTAATCCAATTTTCTTCATTCCCACAAATCATAAGTAAAATCTAAGCAGTTTATATTTCTGTAATAAAATGTCACAATTGTGCATATTTTATTTCGCATGAAGCCTGTTAAGAACAAAGAAAAAACAAATAGGAACAATGACATAATAGTTGACAAATAGATTATTTATTTCAGCCTTGAGCCTTTTCATCAGTGGACCAAATTATACCTAACTAATGGAGGTTAAAGGTTATGTTGCCGTAACATTTCCAAATATAACGTTTTTTGTTTTTTCAAGCTCTCCTTGAAACTTTCCGGAATATGGCCTACATCCGGTAGCACATCGTAATCATCTTTCGAATAATTGACCTGTTGTTGTTCGCCTAACTGTAAAAATATTCATGGATTTTTCTGGTATAAACAACTTTTTAAGCGTAAATTGAAACAGTAATGTACAAAGTCTTATCTATTAGCCTGGAAATGAAAATGACATGGATTGGAAGATATTTTAGGAAATCGTACGATTTTTTTAAATATATCATTGATCATTGTTGGTCTCAATGAAATATTTGCTCCAAATTCTAAGTTGCAACACGCAAAAGGTCTAAAAGGACTTTGGAAGACAAAAGAGTTTATAGATTCTTTGTAATATCAGTATAAAGTCTGGAAAAAATGTAAATATTGGGGTAAGTAATTTTTGTCTATAAATTATTTTTTTAGAATATAGAGATTTGCAAGCATGGTCATTTAAATTTCATAGAAAAATCAACCATTTAAATTTGTTTCACTAAATTTTCAACCAATGGTAAATCAAAATGACATTCTAGAAACCTAATTGTTTCATGAATCAGAAAATAATTAATTTGAAAATCTTAATAATTTTCAAATTAAGTTTGTTTGTTTACGTTATCATTTCACTTCTGCAAACACATCTACTAACTTGTTTTTCTTTTTTATTCTGCAAACTTCGTTTGTTTTTAATAGGCATTGTGGACATTTTCATACTTTTAGAACTTAAAGAACAAAACTGGCAGAAAAAAAATTGATGGAATCAATTTATAATGTAAATGATTTGTTACAAAAAAAAAAAAATGGAAAATACTGACTGGAAAGTTGTGAGGAGATAAAATATTTAATTAGCATATTTGAAAAGCAATGAACCACCTTTTTGATTTCATCTGGACTCGGTGGTCTTGCCATAATGACCATGCCGGTGAGCAATAATAAAATAGAAAGCAACAACATTCTTGATGTTGTCAATAATCTGCAACAAGTATTTCTATTCTTTAAAGTGGAATAAAAAACTGAAATTGAAAATTCAGTGAAAACAGAAATTTGAAGAAAAATTTTCAAAGCAAAAATTTGCTGAAAAATTTATTTGTCAATTTAATTTTAAGAGTAGTTTCACAAAAAAGGAAAGGAAACGATTCTAATTGAAAACAGTCCAAAATGAAAACAGTAGAAATGGAAAATTACATGAAAGTTCTACATTTTGCACTTTAACCCTGTTTGATGCACAGAGTTAAAGCAAACCGACCGGTTTTTGGATTCACGACTGACACTTACTGGATAACTATTTGTATGAAATTCCGAATTTCAAATTCAATAATTTTAAAAATATTTGAAAAGATTTTAATAAAGCTTAATAAATTTTTTTATTATGGAATGTTAGATGAAGAAATTAGTTAATTCACTTGCCAAATTTGTCCACATTATTTGTTTTCATTAAAATCTTTGAAATTTTTAGAAATTTCAATATCTTCAGTTTGTTCAGACAAAAATATTAAATATTTTAACAACTATCTAAGATGCAATTTTTGTTCTCTATTCTGCACTTTAGTTACCTATCTTCTGTTCACTTATTCCGATCGTCATTTGCGCACATTGCTTAATTGCACTTCATTGATGAAATTTGAAAAGATTGCCTGAACCATAAATAAGTGCTACTGCTGCTGCTGTTGTTGTTGTCGCTACTGCTTGTGTTTCCGCTACTGTCGCTGTAACAGTGTTACCAAAATGACGAAGAAATGTTGGAAAGGAATCGTAAGTCAGATGAAATTGACGAGACACCTCTATGACAGTGGATGGCAACGCTGTTATCTTCGTCTCACCTTTTCTTTAATTGTGAACGAATCGTGAAGAGTTGCCCTAACTATGAGTAGCTGCACTAACCAGTAAATAAACAACAAACCAGTTGGGTAAAACTGATGATTATTTCCTTCTGATAACAATTGCATTTGTTGTTTGTAATCTGCTTTTCCAATCATTTATTGTTAGAAGTAACCAACGGAATATTTTAATAAAAGCGTTCAACGGCAGGACAGTAACTCATTCCTCAATTAGCGTGTCAACTGTATCTCTTAGCTTACCTATCACATTCAAAACATCAACTGTAGGCACTAGCATTACTCTCGTTTGGACTGTAGATTACGTGATGTGAGGATTACATACGTATAGAATGGACGCGTAGATGTAACGCAACCTGAAAACTAATAGCAATTATAATTTGCCAAAATTTTTTTTTTCTCGCAGGAATAATTAAGTTTTAACATTTGCTAATTAAGATTTTTTTCATAATTTTAAAGGAGTAGAAGCAGTTGTGAAGTGATTTCCTCTCAATGTAGAAATTTCTTTGCAATTTTTCCGTTCTGAAAGCCAAAATTGTGTACAGACACCTTGCAATTGAAGCAATTAAAGCAGTAGTAACAAATAACAGACACAACAATCACTGATTAACAATGACAGAATAATTCAGTGCTCTTTGATACGAGCAAAATCATCGATAAACAAGGTTTCATGAAGTTAGCCAAACATAAATAGTAATTCACTATCGAATTTTTATAAGCACAACTCGATGGATAATTGTAATTCATTCTCTGACTTATTCTATTGCATTATAATTTGAAACACATGCAGAAATAATGATTTTATGAAGTTAAACTCATCAATGACTCAATGAAACATATTCTAACAATGCAAATTTTTTTAATTCTTTGATTTGAAATATGTCATTCACATTTCAGTCATATTTGCTGCTTGAGGAATGTATTCTAACTTAAACTTTTCATGTATTGAAATAGTGGGAAAATGTTAATATTTGCAGACAGACATTTATATTTTGATGTTCTTTGAAAAAAATCTGTGAGGAAATTTGAACATAGCATGTCAAATAATGTGAACAATTTTGAGAAGCACAAACTGATTTTAAAAACCTTCTCACAAATATAATGACACTATATGCGGGATTGACATATATGCAGCTATCTGGTGACATGTGACATTTGCACCCTGAATACTTCCTGCAGCACATTAATTTTACTTTATTTCGGTAGAAATCTACCATTTTTGATAATGATGTTGTCATTATGCAAAAGTTATAAATATCTCGAAATAACACAAACAAACAAACTGATAAACAGTCTTCTGAATGTTTGATACCAGCAGGATATTTATTCATGTAGATTGTAAGCAAAGACACGAAATAGCAAATGACAATTTTTTGATATGATTAAATCAACATTTTTAAGCGTCCTTTAGCGTAATCTGTTATGATTTAAAGGAAATTAAGAAGTTAAGTTATAAATGAGAGTGGAAAATAAGTGAAAAAGATCAAATCAGAAAATATGATCATTTCATTGCCGTGTTGGTCTTTCTTGTGTATTCATTTTAAAATAGAATGGATGAAAAATGAATGGTTGAAAAGTACTTGCCCTTCCTATGGGAAGTGAACGATTGTTTGTTTTCACTTTCACGTGGAGACGTTCTTCAATTATAAATTCCATTAATTGTCATAATTTTCGATTCCAATCGCTGCTTTGGAACAGAAAAAGCAATTTTCTAATATGATAGAAACGAAATGATTACTAATTTGAATGATTCATTAATATAAGGAAACTCTCAGTGAATAAACATTAGCTTTGTTAATAAATTAACTAGGAACTATAGAGTAAGTGTTTTTTTTTTAAGTAAAAATAAATTATTTTAGTGAGTTAATATTTTAATTATTTAAAGCTATAACGCGTCATTACAGATATTGAAGGCGTGTCTACGGGAAATGTAAGAATTGAATGAACTAATCAGTATTATAGTTATAACAAAATTAAACTTTTTGGATTAAAACATAAGTTTAGTGCAAGTTTTATAAATTGCATAAGGTATGAAAATGAATTTGGAATCAGGATGAAAAAATGAAAAAAAAAAAATTTCAACAGACATATTGACTCGATTGAACTGACATAACAAATTAAAATAGGCTCGCAAAAGAAAAATTACTCCTCCGCGATTGAAAGGTTTTGAATCAACTGAAATTGGTGAGACTTCATCAACATTGTCGACACTGGACATAGTGGGGAATTTAAAAGGATAATTAAACCTAATAAGTTTACGTGTTGTTTGAGTTTGAAGATTGCTTAAAAACATCAAAAAATATTTTTCGACATTTAGCAAAAACAATTTGAGCTGACATTTGCGAAGTGAACTGACATTTGTGCAAAACCTTCATTTGATATCTAAAAGAAGGAAAAGTAAAGGAAATATTTCTGCAGAATTTCAGACCCTAATTCTAAAAAAATATCTTTCAATTAAATTGATGGCAAAATATGTTTGATGGATGATCGGAAAAGAACCTTAGTTTTAAAATGCTAACCTGCATAATTTTATTTGATTGTTTGTTGTCCCTTAATTCATAAGCGGTTCAATTTAAAATTGCTGTTAAAAGTAATTTCAATGGTCTATAAAGAGCCAGGTCACTCTGCTATGCTTTATGATGAAATATTTCATCCCTACAGCTAAACTTTCATTAAATTGAACTACCAGACCAATACTGCAACTTGATCTAAGAGAAAAAATTATGATCGATCATTGTAACTAACCTAACTAATTAATAATCATTAAGAATAATTTAGGATTGGAATTTGCTGAATGGTATCATGGATTGTTGCCACGTAAAGATATAAATATTCTGCTCTCTAAACAAGGTCAATTTCTGGTTCGCGAAACGGAAATCAAGAAGGGAGAAGTATGATTTTGTGTTTTTTCTTAAAAAAAATTTCCACATAGACTAAAGTTTTTTTAATCTAGTTCTTATTTCCACATAGACTAAGTTTTTAATCTAGTCATACTTCGAAATTCTTCTTTATATTTAATTGACACTTGATGATGCAAATAACTTGGCACATTTCAGTAGCTTTAAAATTAGTGTTTCCAGAAAAATGAAAAAAGGGAGAAAGTTGAATTAAATCTGAAAAAAATGTATTAAATATGACAAATTTTGCACCTGATCATAATGAATTCTCCGCTGCAAGATTTTTACATGAAATTAATAATTCAGGGACTTCAACTAGTATTATCAGTAAAATGGAATGATAAGACAATGCATTTCATTATCCGTCACGTTGATGGAAAAGTTTTTATAGAAAAACGCCAATTCAATTCTATCCACGCATTGATAAGGTATCAGTCACGAAGTAAAATATATGCCATTTCTAAAAAGATGAAAAGTTACCTTAAAAAAATTGCTTTTGGATCACAATTAAAATATTTAAAAAGTTAATCTAGAAATTTTGCAAAGCATTGAAGCTCACCAATTTAACTGCAGGTATCATTTGGTCAGCAAAGATCCAATAACTGACCAGAGCGGTGCTATGCTTTTGCATGCCGTTCCTCGACAAAGCTGGGAAGTGAGACATGAACAGGTAAGCCTATTCAATAAATTCATTCATCTCAATCATTTAATCAAAGTCGCAATCAAATTCGACTAACATAGACAAATTTACTTGAATTTTGTGATTTGAATTCAAAGCTATTATGAAGAATGAATTTCATATATCAAAAGGGGGCATAATATTGCAGATAGAACTTCATGAACTATTGGGAGAGGGTGCAATGTCCGCCGTTTATAAAGGTATATTTAGGGGTGATGAAAGCGAGAAACAGGTAATGAACTATTCTAATTCTTTCAAAAGCTAATTTTTCAGAGCAAAAACTTTTTTCGAAAACTTGAAAAAATTTCTAGAACCAGAACAAAATTTAAATGTTTAATTAAAGATTTCTTAGCTAGGTGAAAAAAAAAAAACGATTATATGAATGATTAGGTGAAAATGAAATATAAAAATTATTAATTTTAATATATTTATTGGACTATAGCTAGAAAGATGACAGAATTAAATTGATTAAAGTCAAAAAAAAATGTTCCTTCAAGGTTGCGATTAAAGTACGGAAAGGGCGTAGATTGGATAGAGAAACTGTAGAACAGATTTGTCGAGAAGCTCGGATAATGCGCAGACTGGAGCACCCAAATGTTGTTCGTCTCTATGGAATCGCAATCAGTAAGGTATTGGAAAACCACCAAACGTAGCTGAAAATAAGAAGTAAGAAGGATCGGTAAATGATAATAAAAAAAAAGCTTCCAAAAAAACTGACTTTATAATGAACTGACTTAAATGAAATTCCATCTCAAACTTTAATGATGAAAGGAACCAATAATGCTGTTGATGGAACTGTTGAAAGATGGAAGTCTGGATGTATTCCTCGTAACAAAGGGGTCAAAGTTGAGCACACGAGAAAAGTTGTATTTCTGTCTCGATATTGCATCGGGACTGGAATTCCTTCATAATAATGGGGTCATTCATCGAGATATTTCAGCAAGGTATCTCTCAATAATTCTACTAATTAATAATTGTTTCATCATCAATGCAAAAGTTTGAAATTTGCAATAAAGGCGACCTCACATTACGATTTCTTACTTTCTAATTTTTGATAATTATTTGATGGAAAGATTTTTTTTGGCTAATAAACAAACTACGGAAAGAGAACATCGCACTATATTTCAAAGCTTAAAATAATTTTAAGAAATTGCCTGGTGGAAGACATGTGTGTCAAAATATCCGACTTTAACCTGTCACGAGAAATCAGAAAACAAGATGAAAAGTATAAGATGACGCGGCTGAAACAAAATTTGCCCATAAGGTTTAATATATCTAAAAGTTGTCTGCTATAATGACCACTTGGAACTATGTAAGCTTATAGCTGTTATTTATCACCCATGGCTTCCCATATATCAGATGAGATGAGGATTTATTTTGAAAAATTTTCCGAAGTTTTTTGAAGAAAAATGCTGCAAGGATATTAAATGCTGAACTTTTAAAGCATAGTTCATCTCACCTCTCAGCAATAACTTCTCTTTTTTAATTAGTATTTCCACTAACAATTCGCTTTTTATTCAAGAGTGAGATTACTAACAATTTATAATTTTTACCACCAAATACTGAATTTAATTTTCATCAAAATTATCTTATTCGTATATTTGTGCTATGCTTGTATGGAATTTCCCTTTGAAACCTACAGTTAAATTAGAAAAAGTAAGGGATTAAGAATATAAGAAAAAGATTTATCAATAATCCATCGGGATTGACAGGTGACGTGTCTTATTTATATTTTCATATTGGTCAAGATACGTTCAATTCTGAACGATAGTTTCCCGTTTCCACACTGTTCCTTTTTCCTCTCTTTCAAATAGCATGACTTGTGAGCATTCAACTCAAAAATCATCATCTTTAAAAAATAAGATAGATATTGATTCTTCGAGTAGTTGAAATGGAGGACAGATTGCAATTCATCCTTTCTTTTTAACAATAGCAAAAATTTATTCTTATACCTTTTGATCAAATAAACTCAAATGTAATTTGAGCCATAAAGAAAAATAATCACCACAATGCAATTAATGTAATTAATATAAATTGAGTGGTGGTAAGGGTCTTTTGATGATAATACAGATGGCTAGCACCGGAAACGATAAAAAGCGCAACATACACGACAAAATCAGATGTGTTCAGTTATGGGATATTACTGTGCGAAGTGTTTACAAATGGTGCGGAACCATACTGTGGGATGACGGTCGCTGAAGTTATTATTAATGTAAGTTTTATTTCAATCACGAAAAGCTACAAAGTTCAAATTTTTTTCCCTAAAGAAGAAAGTGTAAAAGATAAAAATCAAACTAGTTGTTCATTAATTCCTATTGTTGGTTGTTTGAAAATTGAAAAATTTAGGTGAAGGACGGATACCGAATACCATCGCCGGATGCGATGCCAAATCGGTTACAGGCTTTGCAGCGAAACTGCTTTGCAATGGAAGCCTCAAAACGATGGTCAATGGCACAAATCCGAAGAGAAATCGAAATGATTTGTTTACAATTTCAGGATTAAACTTCTAAGCATTCAGTAAAAGCCATTGAATTGTTCTATCGTTAACGGAACGGCACACTATGCCATCAGGTTTTTGGAATAAAATCTTTCATACCTTTCGCTCTTATTCATCTTATTTCATCACTATTAATTGATCGATACTGTCCATTGCAATTTAATAAGGGATAGTACAATTTGAAGATTATGTCATTGCGTTTAATTAAATTAACACTAAGGAAATTCAGTACCATACCAAATCCTTTTATGCGTCGTCTATAAAATAGTACTGAAGTAGGTTACGTACGTCATCGCCACAGCCAGCTTCCTCTAAGCTAGGATATTAGCATTGCATTGCGTACCCGTCGATTCACAACTTTCAAGTCTGATTATGGAAATGTGTTTCAATAGCCCAGCAATGCAAGCCAAAAATCTTTTCACAGCAACGTCGGTTCACCTGGATGAGTGCTTCCCCGTACCTTGGCACCATCGAGAGTGTTCGTCTTTCCGCTCCACTAATGACAATCACCGTTCACACAACTTTGTCATCCATTCCACTCAAAGTAGCGTTATACGCAGTATGATCAAGGGAAATATGTGGATAAATCATCGCATGACTATGATGACATTATCCCCTCTCTTCCCTTACATCCTCCCTATCCGTCCCATTCATCACCCTCTCTTTATGGCTTGCGCCATTTCACACACAATCTTTACATCACTCCGCTTCCGATGTTCATCTCATATTTCCTTATTATATAATTAAGCAAACCCTACTGTTGTTACACACATCTCTTACTTTTTTCATACTTTTATCTTGTTATTTATGTGTAAAAAGCTCAATTATACTAATAATTTTAGTAAGTTCACTGTGTACTGCTAGACTGTTATCTCGTCACAGACGTTAAATCGACCAAAAAGATGGAGGAATAGATTCTGTGGCGACATCTGTTTTCCTTCAAATTTTGCATTCCATTTGATTTGCTCTTCTACCTTTCATTTTTCTTATCATAGCGCATTCAGAGAGGACTGCGCCATATCGTTATTAATTAATGGTTTCTCAAATTCAAGAAATTTCCAAACAGAGAGAGGCATAAATAAGTAACAACAATGTGTAGCAATGATTTTCATCATTTTCATCCTTAGCATCAAATATTTATGTAATGATGTAAATGTCAATTCATTTAGTATTGCATTTAGGTAGCTTCTATTTTTAATTATGTTAGGATCATTTTTGTTATGTTCCATTTGCTTCAACGGAAAAGCTTATGATTTGTTGCAAGAAGTGAAATTAAGCAAAACAAGCACATAACTATGAAATTTCTAATAGGATATCTTGTTGTATAAACAGTATTTAATTTTTTATAAATTATGTATGAAAACGAACTCTTCTTGCTAAAATGATATGATTCTTTCCACTCTTTTCTTCTCCTCGCATTTTACCAAACTTTCACATTTTGGCTAAGAACTCAGTTAGCTTTTTGGAATATCTCTGCCGATGATATAAGAGATTGCACATAGCATGCAAACTTACAGTTTATATATATATATATATATATATATATATATATATAATTAAAAAGCAGTTAAATTTTCTTTAGTTTAGATTTATACTGCCTCTATTTTCGAGTAATTTGAGGCGTTAAGCAATAAAAGCAGAAAGTTATTCAGGAAAAGAAAAAATAAAACTGGTTTCATTGGAATGGAAACTCATGAGCACATTAAGCCAGTATCTTGCTTGAAAGAATTTTATCAATATCATTTTGGTATAATCATACAACATACATTGAACAGAATCAAAAAAATCTGCTTTGAATTTCTTCTTTTGATTCAAATTCTTTTTTCACGATTTTCATGATGTTTCGTGCAGAATTTTAGAATTTTTTGAGATTCAGTTTTTAAGATTCATTAATTCATTTTTCTGGCTTCACTATTCATAGGATATTCATAGGATGATATATAGTATGTTACTGATACTTTTTAATAGTAGATTAGAACGACGAGTTATTGATCATAAGAGAGGAATTACTATTTATCTTTACATTTACAACTTTAAATGTTACCCTTAATTATTTGAGCTTAGGTGACGCAAAAGCACTGCTCAAGTTTGAGAACAAGGTAGATTAGGTAAAACACATTGCTGGTAATCCGTGTAAATTCATCAAATAAATTTCAGTGAAATCATAAACTTACAGGTTGAAAAATATTCCATATCACATTCCATCCACTCATTTTATGCTGTTTATCACAAATCCTTTTCGCTGTTTTAAATTATGAGGTAAAAGATAGAAAATCTCGCAGTTTTCCTTCGGAATATGAAACTATTAACTGCAACAAAACAAAAGCTCTCGGTTTCTTTTGTGCTTATTTGTGATTTATTTACTGCTTTTATTAAAACCTACATGTTGTTCGCTCGCCCTGGTTTTGTTTTGGTTATACCTTGAATGAAGCATATCGCTGCTTCGTATTTTGTCAAATCTTTCACCTCATTTTTGTTTTTTTTGTTTTTAAACATGCCCAGAGTGTGGATTTCAATTTTTTGATCTGTAAATTAATATATTAGCGCTCAGAATGTTGTAAAAAAATTTCAGATTCTTTTGTTTGTAAAATTTTTTAGGAATATACTGAATGAGATTGGTATTCACTTCCTGGGAGTCTGAATCTGAAGAAATTTATAAGAAAGGATGGAAAATACTTGCAGATCCAACAGTTTTAACTTCAAGGGACGTCGTGATTTATCACGGTGACATTCTTGCTTTAGAGGATGGCACTGTAGTACGTTTTTCATGTTGTTTTCTTATAAGCTTGCAGCAATAATTCATTCATTTAGTTAGCTAGCCTAGGTTATGCTGTTGCTAAAAACCTTTTTTGTCCTTCAGAGCAAAGACGTTAAATTCAAAGTTGGAAAATAATTTGTTGTTGTTTATCTTGTTAGCTTTTCCTCATGAAACATCGATTTGCAGTACATGTATACGTTATCTGGTACCAAGAAACCGTATCTAACCGAAACTTCGTTTTCTTCATCTCGTTTCATTTCATTCCATGCCGCCTATGAAAAATTATTTTTGGTAAGTGAGGAAGGTCGTCTTTTCGGTTGTGGGCATACTACTTACGGTGAATGTGGCGTGATTTCTCCAAATCCCATTGAATCGTTGCGGGAAATTGAATTGGTCATACCACCAGCTGTTTGCCCTCATGGATCTTCGGTTACTACTGCAGAGTAAGGGATTTCTCAGTTTTGTACAAATCGCTTTGAATAAATGCAACAGCAAAAATTTGAACACTTGTATATTTATACATTTACTGTTGTGCTTTATTTTCAATTTATTTTTCGCTGTCCTCATTTCTGCGAAAAAACTAATCTCTTCTTCAATAAAAAGAAGGAAATTTTCCTTCCTTCAATTTTTATCGAAGTGGACAAGAAAGTTATGTAATATTCAACCAAATTTTTTTTCTTTCAAAATAGAATTTTCTCTTTTTTACTGTCTCTAGTTTTTTTTATTCTTAGTTTTAGTTTAGGTCACTGAAGGTGATGCTTGTTCGAACGTCCATGTCAGAGGTTTGCCTCATTGATTTTCATGGTCAATTGTGGAAATACGGTGGTGGACGATTAGAATTTGATTCACTTGGACGCATTCAAGTGCGACCTCTACAAATTGCGTCAAGACGGAAAGTTTTGCAGTTGTGTGCCGGAAGGTTTGAATATTTTTCAAACACATTTTCTTTATAAAACTTTATTCACTGTGTTTTCATGAAATTTTTTTAGGGAACATTTTGTCTGTCTAGCAGTCCCTTTGACTGATGAAAATAATGATACAGATGCTAAAAATCCACCAACTCTGGGGATTCAGAGGTCGAACAAATGTGAAAAATGTCGAGATGAATGTGAGCTACGGCTGAGTGCATTAATGCATATAGCTGATCAAGATCAGGATCAGGTTCTGGCCATTTTTTCATTTTGTTTAATTTAGCTTATTGCTAAACTTTGACTCTACAGTTTTTCTTGTCAGATTTGAAAAAAATTTTTCTTAAAGAAATGATTGTCTCATTTTAATAAAACAATTTTCAGAAACCCCTTTCACGACATCAATATTGTTTTTAATAGAATTTTTAAACTAGCACATCAAAAGAAAAAAACTTTTTTAGAAAAATGAATCACGATTTTCATTTGCAAGCTGTGAGGAGTTGGCTGTGAAAAGAAGTTTCCACAGTCCATGTTTGTTTCTGGATACTGATAATAGGTAATCACTTTTTCAGATTTTACGGGCTGAATTTTATTCTGTAAATTCTATAACGAGAATTATAAAGAGGGATATATGTGCTGTCAACAGTTTATTCTAAATTAAGACCCGTGCTTTTAGTTCAAGAGAACACCAAATACTTCCATTCTGTGGTTCATCAAATGCAACTAAGACCTCAGTTGTAAAGTCGGGCAAAGAAACTTCTTTGATGAAGTTTGATGAATTTGAAATGGCAGAAATGAAAAATATTAATGTTCGGGGTGGACTTAGAAAAAATTCGACATCTGCTTCAGCAGAAAATCTACTTGGTATGTATTACATGCAAAATACAAATAGGAGTTTAATATTAGCATATGAAAAGTGAGCATATGAAAAAATGTAATGAAAAGTGACTCATCACTCAAACAATGTGTACTAAATATATTTTTCCATTTGTTAAAGAGATGAAAATAGTTAAGATAATTGCTCTTAGCATAGTGAACTGCTTTTTGAGTATAAAAATAATTCTTGAGAAGAAAAAGAACCTTTCCGAAAAATTATCTTTTTCGAATCTTTTGTCGACTTGACATTTCCGTAATGATGTCTTTTTTTCTTATTTTTGCACTTGTCATCAAAGTGGTTTCATCTTTTGAAATTCATGTGTTTTTAGATATAGAAGACTCATCATCAACTAATGGGAGTCCTTCACAATCAGATGGAAAAGTTTCACTTACCGGTTTACATAATTCGGACTTATTACCAGAAATTTGGACATGGGGTGCTAATGGAAATGGCCAGTTGGGACATGGGGATTTGACAGCGAGGTATTAAAATTTCCCATAAACTGTTTTAAGTATACCATTAATTCTCTTTTTTGATTTTATTCCAGGAGGGTTCCATTCAAAATAGTCGATTTATGTAGAATGTACTGTATCAAAGTGGCAGCAGGGGACGATCATACTATAGCACTTACGGGAACTGGCAAGGTGGTTAATGTTTTTCAGATTCCTATCAATAACCACTTATTGTTTTCCGAAAATTTTAATGGGATTATAGAATTAATGAAAAATTAATAATCTGGTTTTGTTATTTTAATTAGTTTCAGAAAGCATTTCACCAAACTGATTAAAATTTTTTAGTTGTATGTGTGGGGATCAAACAATGCTGGACAACTAAAACAAGCAAAATTGTCGTATATAACCAAACCAACGCTTTTTAAAGTTAATTTTATTGATTTTAGCGGTTTTAGACTAAAAAAGTGTCTTCTGTTTTTTTGCTGGTAATGATTGCACAAATTTTTGTCTCTATCAGATAATGTTCGTATTTCCAAATGTAACTTCTCTTAAATTAGAGTTTACACGTTAATTTTGTAGGTCGGAAACCATTCTTTTGTTTTGGATGCATTCGCAAGCGGTTGTCAGACAGGTGTTATTATTGGTGGTATGGCAAATTCTGCCATGCTTTATCTCTGCGGAAGTAATACTGCGGAGCAATCACCACAGTCACTATCACTACCAAAAGAGGTTTTTTTCTGCTTTTTTTAATTTGTATTCCCAGTTTACTTTAAATTTTTATTTTATATTTATAAATCTTGCATAAATGTGACTTGCTTTTGTACGTTTCGTTTATTTTCAATACAAGACCATAGGTTACTGCAGATTTATATTCGTTTGAAGTTCTTTTATCTGTCTAGTTACACATTAGACAGCAACCTTTTTCTAGATGATGTATTATAGATTGGCTGGCCGAGTTGGATTTTGACTGCAAATCAGAACCTTGTAGTTGGAGCACATGAATCAATAGCTGACATCGATAGGCATTTCCTACGTGTGTTCGTTTTCTTTCGATATGCGGAATTTATGCAGCGGATTTGTCAAATATGCCAAAAAATCTATGAAAGAAGTAATGTATTTTTTTTGAATTTTTAAATTAAACTATTAAGTCTGGTATTATTTTCTACAAAATTTGTGGAGGATTAATTTTAGCTAACTATTTTTAGGTTATGCTGTAAATAATCCATATTTGTCAAAACTGTTAAATAAGCTTACTTTATCATCGGCAAGATATTCAACGCGAATGTTCAGGTTAGTTTTTAATTGAATTTCGTTTACATTCATACAGTTCAAAGCGAGTTCTTGAGCAAGCAAGCAATATTATTTTGTTTCATAATTTCAGCTAGTGTTTTTTAAGTGGACAATTGGACTCATTTTTACTTTAAACGCTATTGAATTGTTCGTAAAATGTGTTTTCTTGTACTTTTCAGATTAATGAACATGATGCGTGACAGTTTTTGCAATACAGGCCATTTATCGATTGGAAAAACCTTGAAAACCTACATAAAGAAATACTTATTGAATGCTGTTTTCCAGTTTCATGCAGATTTTGTAGAGTGTCTTGCTTATGGATGTTTTACTGAGTTCGATGTTAGGTATGGCTTTTCAGTATTCATGATAATATAATGAACACGTAGGTAAGAATTATAATAAATTTACTTATTTTCATTGTGCACTTCTAGTTTGTGTATTTGAGTTTTTTTTTTTTTTCTATTTATTTAAATATTTTTTTAACGTTTGCTAAGGCTTCACTGCACATCTGCTTGCAGTCATTTGCTCATTAATTATTTTCTATTTCATTACCAGTTTATAAATTTGCATGTAAGTTATTTAAACAATTGATAACTACCTACACATTTCTGGCAGTATGAATCAATCTCAGTCGTATTTATTTCTGGTAATAAACAATGCCGCGGTATTGTCAACTGATTGTGAATTACATCAAGAAAAGATTGAGATCAACGTCTCATTAATTGATTTCAAGAACTTTTTAAAAATATTTCTTTAAGTAGAAATATGATAAGAGTAGAAAAAATTCTAGAGCATGAAAAGATTTTTTTCTGTTTCATTAGTAAAAATTGAATTTAAGTTGGTGTTTACCTAGAAATGGAATCTTTTCAGTACTATTGTTTCAGTTTATACTATTTTTCAAACATCTTAGTTTAAATGATTGCGATCAGTGAATTCTCACTATCTAAATGTTCATTTTTTTTGGAGCTCCACAATTATTTAACACCATGTACGCTTTGGTTGCAAATGCTAACATTTCATAAGGAAGAAAACAACTTTTTCATGCGTGTGAAACTCAAATTTACTGTCACAGTGTTTAATTTGTTAAACCTCATCTAATCAACACTCTTTCGGACTTTCTTAGCACAACATTTTTTATTAAAATGAAAGAGTTTGAAGCATTGAAAATTCTTTTCTCATAAAAGTTTTCTAAAAATCTTACTTGTATTTTGCTATTCTTTTTTCCTGCCGTAATTTAATAACTAAGTTAAATTTCGAAAAGATAAGATGCAAATTAAAACTACATCATCGATGACAGTATTATAGGAGAAATGGTTGAAAAAAAAGAAAAAAAAAAAAAAAACTTCCGTTTCTACAAAAAACAAGAAGAAAACTTCTACAAAAATAATTCAAATTTACGAAATTATTTTTGTAGAAGTTTTTTTTTTTTTTTCACATTTTTTGAAACTCGTTATAAAAATGTTCTTACTGCTGGAATGATCAGTAGCAAAAAAAGTAAATTTATACAGAGATGAAATCCATCGAACTGACTGGGACGATATTGTCGCTGCCATCAGTAGGTATGATTTTCAACTTCAAAATCTTTTTGTAGAAGTAGAAGATGTTGAGAAAGTGGTAGTTATGATTAACTACATTTCGTTTCAGTTTTCGTAATTTTCAAGAAGTTTAGTATGGGTCTGCTTGGGAAATAGCTATGCTTTTGTTTTTTATGCTAAGAAAAAAGTATGATTCAACTATAAAAATCGGAAGAAAAGTTATGTGTTATGTTACAAAAGCTATTTGCTTTTGCATACATATGTGTTTAAGTTTTCAACTTCAGATTTTTTTTTTCGAGAATTTAATCTTTTTTTGAGATCCGAATTTTCAACTTAAGCTTTTGGGATTATTTATTATAGCTTCGGTGAGTAACAATTGTAATAAACTGAACTCGTATATATATATATATTTTATTTTGAGAGCTGATGCATTTTCTTATACGATTAAAAGAAACTCTCATTTTTGAAATTTCCACGCCTCTACACTGAAAAGAAGAAATAATCTCTCCTCGAATCATACTAGGTGTTACATGTGAAGAACATTGGGGTTTTTTTTTTTTTTACTTCTCAATAACCATTCCGCTTTGTGCATGTTGGCTGATAGAAAACTCCTTTGATATTTCATGATGTAAAGTTTTCACGAATTTTTTTGATATATTGAAATTCACGTCATTTTAGTGAAGAACTAGAGGAGGAAATAAACAAAATGTCCTTCTGCTATGATGTTGGAAGAAATAGTCAAGATATTCATTTGCGGCGGTTGTTTCAACTAGCTTTCAGTTGTCCATGCAAACTTGCCGATATAACTGGAATTGGTGACATCTTAGAGGTAAGCATAGGTTTTAGTATTATGGCTATAGTAATGATATCGTTTAGAACAAATAATATGGCCATACTATGTCAAATAATACGTCACGATCGTTGCAGTACTTAAGGAATATAAACAATATTTCTTATTTCTTGATTCGTAAATATCAACATAGTTCACAAAAACACGCACAGTATTGCAATATTAATTAGACATTAGGAGCATTTTAGTATTGCGGTACAAAAACAAGACTGAAATCTTTTGATTTTGCATCTTCATCAGAACATGAATGATAGTTTGTTATTATTCCGAAACGGTGGGTCAAAATTAAAATAGTTGCATTTAATTTATCTGTTTTTATATTTTTCTATAAGTTAAATCATTCGCTGTAATCGTTATTCGTTCTTGCTAATTCATGTCTTTTTGCCCTTGATGACGGAATTAAGCGTGTACGATAGATTTCAGTATCCTTGTATTCTCTTTGTTCACAAATAATTTCTTATTCGGACAAAGACAAGTTGTGTTCAATTAACTGTAAAACAGATGAATTATTTACAAATAACAAAGAAATACACAACAACTTTTTTTATCTATTGATAGTAATTCTTATGTTTACACTTTAAGTAAGAAAAGTAAGATAAGGACGAAAATGGAAAAAAGTTAATTTAAAATACTGTTGATTTCGGGATTTAAATTTATGCTATAGAGATTCAAAATTCGAATAGTGGTGACAACGAACATGTTATAGAAAATATGGTAAAAAAATCAATACTAGATGGTGGTAAGTTAAATGAAAGTATTTTCTATACAAAAAAGCTCATTATTAACAGAGATAACTTTAAATGATAGTTCAATAAGTTACATGATGAGATTTCAGATGAGTGATTTGTTTAAATCTTAATATTTTGTGCTCTCTTAGTTTACTGTATTTATTGATCATAATTTTTTCGAAAATTTTTAACTCGCTATGCGATTTACTTACACAGCTTACTGTCAATAATTATACTCATTCAGACTAATTTATGGTTTGTTCTTTATTTTATCAATAAAACCAAACAAAACAACAAATGTATTTTTTTTTTTTTTTTTGCAAATTTAATTTCATTGAATTTCAATAAGTAAGAGATTTCTACTCCTCTTGAAATTTTCATTTAACTGATGTTTAAACTACATATTCATACTTAATTGTTTAAGCAAATTTCTAATTGAAACGTTTTCGATTTTGCTGTGAATATTTCGATATGGAGGATAAATCTTCCATAGAACAGAAAAACACGCAAATGGATATAAATAGTATAGCTTAAAAAAACGTTTAACAGTTGACTTGTTAAATAAATGTAAATCTCTCCCTAGTTAACCAATCAGTTTGTAAAAAACCTCGAGAATGACTCATTTCATTCATAAATTGCTTGGTACACTGGCAACAGATGGTGCACACCATACCGATCGGATAACCTTTATGAGCCACACAGCCATTCATCTGAACAAAGATTTGTTCACATTCTTCATTCGAAGTACCTTTTTCCTTGTTAATCAATAAACTGCCATCGTTTGGGTATGGTCCATGGCATGAGGTTAGTCGACATGTCGGTGCTTTGATCTGAAACCTGACATATTGAGACACTCTGCCATTATTGAAGTAACATAAGGAAATTTGTTTAAATAAATCGATTAATAATAGTAAATCAATGGTCAATTTTATACTCAATAAATTAGATATTCTTCCACAATTATTTTTTATTTTTATGGATTTTCCAAAGATGTACACACTCATTCTGTCATGTTTAATCGTATCATGCTAGCTAAGATTGTTATGAATGATGAATTTGGTGATTCTTTTCTTTAGGTCATTATTTGAAGCTAATAAATTGTGAGTGATTGACTGAGGCAGTAAATATATAAATATAAAAATCCCTTGAAGGAACGGGAAATGCACTTTACCGGCACATTTGTTAAAAATTCAACGAATGTTTCGGAATACCTAACTCTCTTGCCCTTTATTTTCTTTTGAAATGCAACAGTCGTTTGTAAGTGAAATGCTGTGGTATGACGTCATAATGTCTATAAAGGCAGTAAGTGAGAATTGAAATCAGTTTTTCCATTTAATGTGATTTCCTAAGGATAATCATCACTGATGAAATATATGAAAGTGTCACAACAAGTTGACATCAGTAAGACTAATTGGTATATCACGACTTTCGAAATACTAGTGTTCAGATTTGTCCTAAAAAATTGTTATTTCTGATATCGAACTATCAGGTCAAACCAAACCTTTTCGAAGTCTGCTCCATGTAAGTAATAATGAGCTGGATTGCTGATAGTTCCTAATTCACCTCCATCATTCCTTTTGAAGTTATCTGGATGTGGCACTGAACTAACCCGGACCAGTAATTGGTCGCCGTAGATCCTACCGTTTCCTGAATTCGTTGGCATTCTTAAATCCTCATTTTCAAACCACATTTTACTGCTTACTGGTAACTTCGCAGATGGCGGATATGCCGTCATCGGCGGGTAATCTGGCTCTGAAACAAAGTATTGAAACTTTCTTTAGTAAGTCATGTTGTAATTACTTTGTTTGTTTTGGAAGGTAATTGTTGTTCCCAATGTTTGCACTTAACGAATCGAGTGATTTTAATTGCAGCTTATAAATCGCTGTTATTAACTTAAGCTTATGACCGATAAAGGACAAAGGAATCTGCTTAGATTTTGAAAAAACTTATTTCAATAATTTTTAGGAGAATAATTATGCCCATATTCTATAAACAGATTTATCAACTTGCCAGTAACCAAAAAATGCCCTCTAATCATTGTTTACTTTTTATTTTATTTGGGAAACTTTATCTTTTGTTAGTAATAATGCAGTTTCTATGCATAAATTTCTGTAAATTAATTTCGGCTACCGAAAGTTTCGGAAAATTTGGTGCATCCAACTGTAAAGTCAGTAATTTAATTCATTGCTTTTTAACTCATTGCTCTTATAATGAAGCTAACCCATAAAGATGATAAAATAATACCGATAAAATAGCACATACCCGCTGGCGGATAGTAGCCAAAATTGCCTTTTGTAGAACGAGGGGATAGGGTATCTGATATAACGGACGACGTCAACAGAACTGTTCTGAGAGCAACAATAGTCAACAGAGAAGAAGTGAAAATGGACATCTTGCGGTGACTCAGTTTTCTTGAAGACTAAAGCTGTCTTCAACAACGTAACAAACCAGATGAGTCAAATGGAATTTCGAAGTACTCTATTTATAGAATAATTTCAGGTTTTTTTTTTTTTTATGAGGGGCGGAACTACCCTTGTTGATTGCAACGGATGCCAGTTTGGCAAATTCCGTTGTATCTCTCCTCTCCTTAATAGCTATTTGTATTGCCATTGATTTCTTGAAATTTCAAATAGAAAAATGAAAGGATCAGTGCAGAACAGTGAAATTGAAATTTTAACCACAAAGTTTTGCTTTTTTTTTTTTGGATTTTCCCGATAACAGAAAGTGAGAAAATATAAAGAATATTGGGATAAATAATTTCAAATGCGGTTTACTTTTTTTGGAAGTAACCATATTTCTGCTCTAAATTAATGATGAATTATTTGATTCGTTGGCACGAAAAGTTCTGCATCACGTAGAACATTCTAGGGCTTTCATTTTCTCAGCTTAATATATTGTGCTTCTTGGTTGACGATAACAGGGACAACTCAATGGCTTTTTTTCGTTTTGTATGAAAGTTAGAAATTAAAAAAAAAAGTTCAAATTTTATGAGTGTTAGAATTTTATGTGCATTTTTATTTTTTTATGCCAAAGTTCAAAATTTTCATTTAAATCGGTTTTAAATTTAAATTTCATTCTCTGATTTTTTTCGAATTACAATGGAAAAGCTTCTTTTTTGAGCCATAGTGAAAAAAAGATAATTTGTCCACATTATTGTAAATTTTTATAGACTAATTATTGTTTCAAATGCTGATGTGAGTTTTCTTACTTAGAATACTCAACAAAATGCCTTGAAGTTTCTCTTGAAATTTTACCTTGAAGTTTCTTTATTATCCTAATCATTGAAATTATTCCACAATTTTTACTACACTGTACTTATTATTGGACAAAAGTGGTAAAATTCCTTTCCAACATCGGAAAAGCTGAATATACACTTGCAGTACAAGTTGGAAACATATCTCAAATTTCAAATCATTGATGATATTTCAAAACTTTCGGGATTTTTTTTTTGAAGATTTATTTGAAAATCTTCAGGAATTTAAAGGTTTTCGTCGAATGTATTTAAGATGTTATTCGCAAAATTAGATAAAAAAAAATGTATTTGAATATGTTACAAGGAACTAGAATGATGAACGAAGATAAAACTGCCTTTCTCACATTGTTATTTACTGGGATCTTCTCAAAATTTTCAGGAAATTTTTTTTTCTTGACAGAAAATCAGATAAATTGACTGGTAAATGAAATGACGTATGAAAAATTTCAAGAATTTTACAGGCCCACTACATAAGTCATTTTATTTATCAGTCAATTTATCTAATCAACAAGTAAACGGTGAAGGAATTAGTAAGTGCAAGATCTCTTATCGGAATAAGAAGTACTAAAACACATTAATTTTAATTTTTCTCGACCGACCAACTTAATAAAAAAGTATTAATAAATTAAAATAAATATGAGGAGATCGTTACTGGTGATATAAGTAAAGAAGCTTTTTTTTAAATTCATTTGATTCTCTTTTACTCTCTTATTATTTCTACTTTATATATATTCTATTATTCGTTATATGCTATTTTTTCATATTTTTAGTTTATTTGGTATTTTAGTGTTTTTTTCCGAAAAAATTAGGGAGTTCAGTGCTGATTTCAGCAATCAACGAGTATTAAGAGTACATATAGGTACTGAGAGATATTTCTGAAGACCTGTTCAAGATATTTGTGATGTTGGGAGATTAGCTAAATCGAGTGACTAATAGTCCTGATAAGGAATCATGGTTGCGCTTGAATTCCGGGGTACGATTCTATCAGGAAAAAGATTTTTTGCTGATTTTGTTAAATCTTTATCATAGATCAGGGAATGATTAGCCTTTATCACACATCAAATAACCATATTAACTGTTTCATCCTTTTTTCTTCATTACGCTTTTACATTTCAAACCAATGAAAGGTCTGCAGAATTGTTACAAAAGTTCTTTTATCTGGTATTACTGGAGTAAAATATCATTGACATCGTTAAAATTTGTGATATGCATTATGAAGTTCTTTATGTTCTCAGACCAGCGAGAAGGATAATCAGTAGAATTTTGGATTAGCGTGAATTAATTACTGTGAAAATTTAGTCGCATATACTACATATACTACACTCTTCTAAAATTTAATGTTTCTGAATTAGAAGACATTGCTTCATTAATTTTGAATTTATCGAAGATTAGTTTAGTACAAAACATAGAAATCACAAAATGTGTGTAGTATTCGAGAAATCTATTCTTTATGTTTTATGTGAGAAATCTGAATCAAAATTTTGCTGTTTTTTTTTTTTTTGGTCAGATGCTCTGATATTATAGATTACTGAATAATATTGGAAAGTAAGTAATAAATCGATATGCTTTTAATTTCATAGTTTCGGAATCCGATTATCCTAATCTGGAATTTGGAAGAGAAATTTTGGGACTGCTCTAATATCAAGCCTGTAATTTGTTATAAACAGATTACTTACTTATTCATTTTGTCTTTAAAAACAAACAGTTTTATATCATAATACTTGTATCAATATTAATAATGAACCCAGTTACTTGCTTTGAAATTGATTTCTATGTTTAGTGTTTACTTTCCACCTCTATTTTATAAATTACGTTAAGCAGTAATCATTGAATTGTAATTTGTTGGTTAAATTTATAGAATTCGATGATTGCTTATCATTATTTTTTGTTTCCAAAAGTAAAGTAGTACTGTTATTGCAGGAAGTTTTTTTATTTTACAGCACATTATAAGGACTTGAATGAGACATATGTTAATAGCAAAAAAATTTGGTGTCCTTTGGGGCACTTTCTCTGTCCCACAAACAATGGAGTTCATTTGAACGTTTTCCGTTAAAATGAAAGATCCTTCAAACAATGACCTATTTCTGCTCCTAAAAAAAATTTTTTTTTTTAAATATCACATTGAGAGAATGTTTGTGCAGTTTTTGTCACATCAAGGACGGAAATTTTTTCCGCATGAAGCACTAAGCGTGGTATATCAAACCGGGCATTTACCGGTATGTGATTTGTATCCGGACGTGTTTGTCACGTCGTTATTTATAAGGTTTTTAAGTACGATGCTAAAATTTGTAGAATGCTAAAATTTTTCAAAGATAAGTAAGGATGACTAATTTATTTAGCAGATCCTATGGCTGAATGCAATTTCGCTAAATTGAATTTTGTTTCCTTCCAACGGTTCCCTTGATTCCTATCGACTTGCCAGGTAAATGCCAAGGTCGACTGCTTCAAAAAATTCTTGAACATTCCTTTATTGAAGTAACAATACTTTCTTTATTTGGCGAAAGAAATGGATTTTCAAAACAATTTAATTCATAACTGTTTAGCAATAGAAATGTCCTTGTTTTGCATAACTTTGAAAAAGATTCAAAAATCCAATTTAAAAGGGGGTGCAATTCTGTCTTTTTACAGTTCATCAAGTTTCTGATTTCAGTAATAACACTGAAATTGTACTCTACCATATTCATGTACTTTAAATGAATGCTTCATTTCATCTCTTTTTCATCTCAACTCTAAATTTATATTTTTTTCATAGTTTGAGAAAATGAATTGAATACTGTCTTGCTGCTTTTTTGTTAGTTATCATTTACCTAGCTTAATGGAAATTTTATGCTGGCATCATATGCTTTCAAATAAGAATGATGTTATTATCTTGGCTTAAAACTATGAAATCAAAGGAGATATTAAGCGAAAAGAAAAAAGAAGAAAACGAGGACCATTTGTCAACTGTTAAGGTTACATGAATTGATTTAAAATTCCATTGTTACATTCGGAAGGAAGTCATTAACTGCAAGTTCTGTAGTTTATCTAACTCTTTGTTTTGTTAATTTCTTTGACATTAATCTAGTCATCATCTTTCCTTTCAGTAATTCACTGGAACAGAATAAGTGGTGCGTCATTTAGTTTAAATAAATTTGATCAATTATATTTATTTCGCATCATTACTAAGAATAAATTCGTGTTTTATAAGGTTATTACTTAATTTCAGTTACGTTTACGATCCAGTCAATATTAGTATAAGCAATGATTGTAGTGGGAGGGAGTTACTGATAAAATGCATAATTTTTTCTTCCAGAAACTTACCAGTCAATAAACTGGCTGTCCTAACTGTTACTTTTCTTCCATCCACATTTTTTCTTTTTTTTAATTGTGCAGTGAACTTTCACAATGTCAAAATTTTGATGTGACTATCAGCGCATCAACATTCCAGAAATTACTGAACAACTGCTGAATTCATCGAATCATGCACTTCCCACTTTTTGCGATTCAAAAAAGATGATCGATATATGCCATACCTATTGAAGAAGAATTTAAAAGTAGTTAGTAAATAAATAAACAAAACATGGTACTTTCATAGAATACTTTCATTTAACAAATAATAGCATACTTTCATTTCCTAAAAAAGAATACTTATAACTTCTAATACTTTCAGAATTATTTTATCCTCTTTCAATATGTTAGTATCAGAAATGATTTAATGATAACACTGATTGCAGTTTTTTTTTTTTTTGAATGCAGTGCTGAATTAATTACGAATGGAAGAGTCTCAATTGTTTTAATGAAAAACGATAAATTCATATCATACAGTTACAGTGATGATATGAGTATCATTGACAACAAAATAACAGTAGTATACATGGTCAATGGATGTAATAGCAATTAGTTTTCTTTAAAAACAAAGCAGATCGAATCTTCATATTGTTTAGCATTTACAGATATTCTGAAAGTACCCAATATTGCAGAACAATGAGGATATTTTCTCAGCGGAATGGAAAAGCTATTGGATATCTGCTAAATATCAGTTGGATCATTTTCGTACTATCGGCGACAATACTTATCATTTTTGGAAGTGTGCACCTATACATGCGCAATCGGTTTGTCACTTTCCTTTCCGAAAGCTTTTTTAATCACCGATTTTTTTTAATCCTCTTTTTGTGCAAAGTATTATTTTATACTTTTTTCAATTTTTATGGAAAAGTTTCTGTTTAGCTCAAGCAACCGGCACGTTTGCTATTGTGGAAGGCCGAAAATAAGCAGTTAGAAACAGCAGGTGTGATAAACGTATATGAGAATTCAACATGGACTACAGTGAGACATGGCTGGCTAGCGGTTGTTGTCTTTAATGATGCTGTTGCAGTTATTGAGGTTTTATAAAATGAATTTTGATTGTTGTTTAAAGGAAAATTATGGAAAATAAGTTTTAATTAGACCAACTACTCAACTACTCAATGAATCAGATATTATATTACTATAAGATTGAAAAGGATTTTGGAAAATTATCACCGCCAGGATAATTTAAAAATTTATTAAACAAAGATAGGTATAAAAAAAAGCCAATTTTATTGGGAACCGTAAAATGTTTAAGATGAATTATGGAGCTAATACTATGTAGTTATTTAGCAATGCCAAGCACTCTGATTTTGGGTGTAACAAATGATTACGTTAATGATTCGCTAAAAAACCAATTATACTCTACATGTTGTCCATTACGATCATCATGCCGAAAGTTGAATATTTTCGGATACCTTGTTAGGTCGATTGTGAAAATTCGTAGATTATAAATTAAAAGTTACAAAAAAAATCCAGAGACAAGATGTTATTGTGCTGAACTTTCCGCTGGTGTGGTTGGAAGTAAATAGGAAAGAAGATGACGAATATCTAGTACGGGTATTTGGACCAGAAAACAAATTTCATATTCGATTTGCAAATATTGAGTGCAAGGTATTGTATTTGGCATATTTCTTGCATTTTTTATGCATATCATTAAATACACCTATCCTCATATTTTTAAACGAGGATAGGTATTAAACATAGCAATTCTCGTTTCTTGTTTAGGTATGGAAACATTATCTATTTAATGTTATTCTCAACATAGCATTCATGCTACATATAAGACATACATTCTTAACAAACTTTGAGACAGTTTGATATAATGCAAAAAATATCGCCTTTCGAACGAAATGAGACAATGTTTATTTAATTCCAATAAGATTACTTATATTTCCTGTAATTGTTCCCTCAGAATCTCAGAGGATCTGTACATTTTTTTTTTTTATTTTTATGCAGTCCTGATTTCTCCCTTAATCGATATAGAGATTTCGAAAAAATAAGATTTTAAATCGTTTTGATTTGTTGCATCATTTTGTTAGTGCAAGTATTAGTGCATATTTATATATAGCAGTGAACTGGTGAAGTACCGATGAAATGCCAAAATTATTCATTTTATCTGCAAAGAATCATATAAACACTATTAGTTGCCACTCGATTACCAACATTATAATGAATTTTACAGTTTAATCGTTTTAATTGACAGCTAACATGCGTTTATTATTTTAGAATACATTTTTGCATGCTATGCGACAATGGAGACATTTCGATGAACGATATACGGCAGATAACCTTTTGGAGCAATATACCGTCGACCTACCCGGACGGCGATATGGTTACTACAAATTTTCATCTCGTCATCCTGATTTTGGAAGTTGCACTTACGATGGTTATTGGTTATGTGGCAAACCTCATGGAAGGTTTTCTTTCTGGCTCATTCTTCCTTCTATAAACTATAAACTTAGAAATAGATTTAATTATTTTTATGATGTTTCTTTCCTTCAATTTAGGCTTTCAGTAATCTTTTGATATGATAACTTTTACGCCAGAAAAATTAGTCTGTCATTTTTACTTAATGATTTCTTACTAATAAGTAAAAAAATACTATCAAATAATGAAATACTCGTCTATAGCGCTAACTCTGTGAGATTTGCAAATCCTTCGCTTAGGTTCTAGTTTATAGTGTATTCTAATTATATAGTTGACTTTTTATAAACCTATTCATATGCTTTGCAGTTCATTTTTACATTTTCTCATTTCAGAGGATGTCTTGTGTATCCAAGCAAATGGGAATACCAAGGATACTTTGTTGATGGGCGTTTAGAAGGGTGTGTTAATTTATGCTGCAGTGATTTTAGCATTTTGTCTTCGTGCTCGTTACGTAGTTTTTATATGAGAATGATAGTAAATGATAACTGTAATTTATGATTTTTTTCATTTTTCAAAAATTTACTCATTTTTTATTCTAAATAATTCATGAAACTTTCTTTTAACTGGTGAACGAATAGAATCAAATTATATGATTAGCTTGATTTTTAGTTATTGATCACTTCAGTTGCTATTAACTTATAGAATATTATTGTTTTTCTTCCTTTTTTCCTTAGCAGTATTCTAATAAGAATAAGCGATGAGTTATAGGTTTGGGAAAATGTCAATAACTACAGGTGGAAATTTACGGAAGATCAACCCATATTTTGGAGTGAAGGAGGAAGGAACACCAGAAGTTGATGTACACATTGGTTTCTGGCGTAACGGCTGTTTAGAAGGATTAGCTCATATCACGTAAGTATTTTTACATGTGAAATTTCATCAGAAACTAGAGAATATTCGCAATCCTTATATTGATTGACTGGAGCTTTTAATGCTGTGGTTATTGTTAAACCATACAGTTCTTGTTTTATCTGACGTTGTACTTTTCGTTCAGTTCTTTTCAGATTTTCAAATGGTGACACATATGATGGCTATATGCAAAGAGGACTAAGACATGGTTATGGATTATTACATGTATCTAAAGGTGATCAGACGGAAACATATTTCGGTGGTTGGCAAGCTGGAATGCGTTCTGGATATGGAGTTTCTACAAGCAATAGTATTATCCTTATTTCTGTTAAAATTTTGACAGAAAGTTAATGCCCCAAATTAATTTGCTAGCTATCGAATTTTAGAACATAAGTGCTAGTGGTTTTTTTTTTTTTTTCTTCTTTTTTTAAGTATTTCTTCTGCTGAATCTTGTACTGGCGCGAAATTCGCAGTTTCTAAAGTAATATTTAGTGCCTCCAAACTTATTCTAGATAAGTTAATGTTTTTATCACATTATGATAATATAAAATACTCTTTTTTCAGAAGAACGTTATTTGGGCATGTGGAAGAATGATTTAAGACATGGCAACGGTACTTTGATAACCATTGAAGGCGTGTATCACGAAGGACTTTTTGATAACAACCGTTTAGTGGTTCGTTTCTAATCTAAAGAAATTTCATGCAGTTTCTGGATTTCTAACTGAAAAAATAGCAGTTTATATAAATAAGTCGGAGAAGTAAGAGCAAGAAAATTTCAAGAACTGCTAGATCATCATCGTACACGTTTATAACTCATCTTTCATAGAAGAGATTGGATGATTGTAGTTTTCCTGTTCTTAATTTGTCTGCTAAAAACATAGTTGGTAATTGTCCGTTTGAAATGTATTTTGAAGTTTGATGGGTTTTCCAAGCTATTTAAGTAAGTTTCTTGGAAAAAAATTACAGCGCGGTCGTTTGATGCTGTCAGCAGCGGACGATTGTTCCGAAATAAGTTTCGAAGGCGATTTCGAGAAAGCTGGTATTATTTGTGGGAAGGTAATCATAGAAATAAAAGATATGTAAAAATAAAAGATTCACACATAAAAAAAAAAGATCTATACAATAACTGTTTGAAAGTATATGTTTGCTATTACATTATAAATGAATATGATTCGTTTTTTTTTTTTTTTTTTTTTTTTTTTTTTTTTTTGGTTTTTATAAATCTGTAAGGTAGATTTCAACCTATGAAAAAGAAAAAAAAATACGCTTGCAGGGGACGCTTTATCTGAATCAGTTTGATCGTGTAAAAGGGCGGATGACAGGTGACATCATCAATGGTGAAGTAAAAATTACCAATGCCACTTACTGGAGAGAAAAATCTGTACTGCTGACATCTTTTTCATTAGACAAGTGAATTCTGGTCAACTTCATCAATCTGAACTTTACGATTTTCTTGGAATTATAATTTCTGCATTTCAGTAATATCCTATCAACAGGAATTCAATGGACAACTGATGCAGAGCTGAAATGGAAGGAGCTTTTCCAAAGTTTCTTAGTGTATGATCTTGGTGTTCCTGTCCATATAACAAATGCTGCTGATGTTAGCGAAGTTGCTGACGATGAATGTCGTCTTGCTGCGTGGAATTCACTTGCATCGAGTATTGCGAAGATTCGTTTAGGAATGAACAAAGAAGAAATTAAGTATGTTGTTTATTATAATTTCTAATAGTGAGGACTTGCAAGTTATCGGTAATTACGAGTTATAAAATCAGATTATCAGTATTTATATCCACCAATAAATTAACAAAATTGATATCTGGCAGCTTTTTCCTTGTTATTTATCCCTTGGCAGTGTCTATTTTAAGAGTTGTATTTGATGAAAACCTTGAGAAAATCCCGCAATATACACAAAAATGGTCGAATGAATACTATGATATGGTGCAACAGTATTGGAGCCTAGTACATTTTCAAAGTTCTATATAATTTTTGCTATTTTATTCGAGGCCCTCTTTGTAGAACAAATTCAAATTATTTTTGTCATGAAAATTTTCATTTGTTATCTCTGGTACAAAACCTTTTTGACTGGGAGATCAGACACTAATCTTTGCTAAAACTGTCATATGATGGGCATTATTGCTTATTTTCTTATATAATTCTTTGTAAAAACTGACCCCATTTCTACACATTTTTTTATTACAGGCCCTGAGACACAAATATCACCCACTTCGGCGATTAGTGTTTGGTTTATCTGAAGTTTTCACGGGTTCTTATGGTACAATTGGCACTCATCGAGCTGTTTGTAGACAGGCTGTTTGCGAACTGCACAGTATACATTCGAGAATTTATTCTGTTATGAGGTAAAGCTAATAATGTAACTGTAAGTAGTCCTTACAAAATGTGTCGCGGAATGTTTTCATGCAAGCATTTTTCGTATTTTCAGATTATTATTTAACAATCTACCTCATACATTTGAAATGTTTGCTCCTATACCAGTATGTACTGATAATAATCTAGCATCCGGCAATATTGATTCTAATCCACAATTAGCTAAGAACAGGTGAGTTTTCGTTCTCCATCCTTTTTTGTCCTTCACTAACTATACAAACATGTACCGTAAATGTAAAACGGTTATTAAATTAGGCAGATCTGTTCAGTTATGAAATGTATCAGTATTTTAGATTTTTCAACAATTCAATTATTTAAAATGTTTGACAAATCTGTCAAAATATTATATACGATAGGAGCTTTTAGAAAAGTTATAATTCATTTACTAAACTGATTCTCTCAGTCGATCGCTAGTCGTTACGTATAATTAATATTTTAGAAGTATAACTGGACGAAGTGTTGAATCGAGCTTCACAACATCTCTTTTATATCCTTCATGCAATTTTATTATTGAAACACTCTTCTCTGAGTGCTATCCCGTGATTTTCACACTTTATTCAGTAAATTGTTCTGACTTGGATCGACGATATTGGGAACGTGTAGTTTATTTGAATGCCTTCACCGATGTGAAATTACTCGCTTATCTTGAAATAAATCGGTAAAGTTTGAATTTTTTTACGCGAAGAATTTTTTCCGGATGGAAGGGTTTTTCTCAACTGGAACATCTCAAAATCATCTCTTCTCATTTCTCGCAGAATATCTACGAAACCTGCACCCCCTATTTTTCTCAAGCCTACAGTATTTCGTCCTCAGTCTTTATATATATATATAAGCAACCAATACTCAAAGCGAAGCTTTCAGCTGAAGATAAAAAGTTTAGTACTTTAAATTTTCCTTGGGCCTTTGGAAAAGAAATTCTTATGGGAAGTCTCGTGGAACTTAATAAACATTATAAAATGCGAAAGTTTCATGGATATTAATGAAATTCTTATTTGAAGTTTTATGGAATTTAATAAAGTGCGTCTGAGTTTTCTCAATTTGGTTTGGTTCAATGCTCTCTTTATGAATTATGAATTCCCTGCTGCTTATTCGGTGTTTGTTTTGCATACACTTTATCTAAAGCATCGGCCAGCTCGTCCGCAACCGTTTCTAGAAATACTGTATGACCAAACAATTATAACTTATTCAAGTAATAAACTAATAATTTATAGGGATCTCTGGCCGATTAATACTGAAAATGTCGATGATTTTGACATGTCACTGGTAAGTTCTTAATCAAATCTAAATAGTGCTTCTTGGCTATTCTCTTACCTGCAGGACAAATGATAGTGATTCATCCGGGCACTTAGGTAAGGCATCCATGTGCTTAGAACTATTCAGAAGTAAATTCGGTCCATGATTTAGATTCGTGTAACTGCTCGTAGGAAGTTCTATAAATCGGCTATTCAAACATTACAGCAAATCAGTTCATATTTCAACCCAGTATCAAAACTTGCAGCGTTAGCGGATACATTCACGGAAATTGGAACGGTTAGTTTCTTGCTGTTATACCGTTTTGTAGTTTTTCAATGAGGTTTAGAATATCTCATGGAAAATCTTAAGCAGTGGAACATAACTTTACTGTAATTCCAACGCTTTATGTAAAATGATAGGCTGTATTTCCTTTTCTTGTCTCACTCCAATATCACTCGTCTATAGTTTATTCATTCCGAGTTCATACTTTCTGTTGGCATTGTTCTATACTTCAGCGACAGGGTTAAACTAGTATAAAAAACAATTCTTGGCAGCTGATAACAAATGAGTTTGTCTTATTGACTATATATTAAAGCCTTTCTCACTGTTAGAATAATACCGTTAAAACTTAAAATAAGTAAGTACTCAAACAGCTTGATCAAAATCGAGAAATTTGTCTTCGCAGATATGGGTTAGCATAGTTTCCCCGCATCTCTTTTCGTTCATGAAAGATGTAAACAAATATGAATGAAAAAGTGCAAATTATTTTCAAGTATGAAAAAATCAACCCTTATATATAGACAAAAAGCATATAGGCACACGACAACAATAAAAACAGTATCCATGAGATTTAACATTACACGTCAGGAAAATTAGTTTTTCTATAAAAAAAAAAAATTCAATCACTTTAACATCAAATCAAGCGGAAATTATATTGAGGTAGAAAATAGGAAGACCGTTTTTAGTGATCAGTTATGATAACAGATAAATGATGAGGTCTGAAAGCATTACTCCTGAACTATAATTCAATTATTTTCAGTTAATGAAGTTATAACAACAATAAAAGATCTCATGAAAGAAATTAGATATGAGGTACCACATATACTTATCCTGACTTTAAAGTTTAGTGTATATTTTATTGATGAGTAATTGCTATAGGAACAGCTCCTAAGCTTGAGATTACCAATTTATTTGATTTTTTTGAAATTCATTCAGTAACGACTAAAAACATCTATGATATAGGAATCAAATAACGGAAGTAAACTCTTAGAAAAAATTCATCAAGTACTAATAAGGGCACGGGATGTCCATGTTCCGATTTTTAGTTAAAATTTTTAGTTTGCCAAAGATCATTTCTTTTTAGTGTTGGTCATTTATACCTTATATTTCTATTTTTTGAGAGACCACTAAGCAAAATTTATAATACAGTTTTGATTGTCGGCAAATTTGCCATAGGATTGGGGTGGTTTGTCTTTCTAAATAATAAAAGATTACCAGAACATGAATTTGTGTTAGAAAGTACCGTTCTATTGAAAATCACGAGCGACTAATAAAAAAGTAAATTAACAGGTAGGGAGATTCAGGGAATACAGCTAGATTTTCAAAGATAAGAAAATTTTGAAAGCGCACTTACGCATGAAAAATTGACATGCTCAGCAGATTACTTCACTGAGAAGTTGTATTGTGATGAACATAAGTTTGTCTTAATATCAAACTTGATTTAACTTTCTTTCCTGATTGCGTTGGGAACCCTCTATGAACCACGAGTTCCACTAGTTCAAACACACGTTGATTTCTTCCGTCTTCAACTTGCATACAGAGCATGTGCTCAAAAATTTCAAAAATTCACATAAAAACTTACATAACTAGGAATCAAGCATAGTTTGTAGTATGCGATCTAAAAGTGTATTGAGAATTGGAATCGGCAAGGCAACTGATTCTGGTACCATTGTACATGGTGAAGCATTTTCTTGAGAGCATTTTTCGTCGGAAAAAGGTGATGAAGCCGAATCGGATAGCTTTGCCGGCAAAACGAATGCATGAATCACCGGGACATCCGAGTCCTTATAATTTTCTAGTTCTCTGCACAGTTCTTCATCTATTGCTGAATTTGGCCAATATTTTTTTTCATTCTCATTCGAAGTAACAGAAATATTTTCATTTGATCTACGCCGATCAGGTGTTGATATGTTTCTCAAATCTGTTCTGTTTGAATTTTCTGGTTCTGTATCGTTTATAAATTGCTTTTGTTTTTCCGATTTACCATTACCACCGTTTTCCTCCGCTCTACTCCTATTGATGTTTGTACTGCTGATCATATTTTCATCTTTGATTGGCAAAGGAATGTTTGAATGAAGGGCAATAGCTGCCATACATTCCAGGAATCGTGCTTCCATGGCTGGTGGACGATGCTGGAATAGTCACAAAGGGTGATGAAAAAAACATAAAATTGCATGGTCAGAGATGAGGTAACGTAGACAAACGACAAATGCCTCCATGTATCACCCAGCAAACATTACAAATTTGGTCGATTCAAAAGATGAAAAGAAGAAAAGAGTGGTGTCCGTATGTTCATATGCAACACACAAAAAGACCTACAGAACTTAGTGAGAGCGTATGGTCGAAAAGTTTGTAAATGGAATCATCAAGAAGAATAAACGAACATTTAGAGGATGATGACGGTCTGGCGAATTTTCATCATACGGATCGGATGTTACGCATTTTTCAGCAATTTTCTTGCTACTTTTCGAACTTTCTTCCAATAAATCTTTATTGTCGAGCTCCACCAGACACTGCTGTTGCTGTTGATTTTTCCCTGAATTACATGCTGAAAAAGAGAAATTGTCATACAAATCATCCCAGGTAGTCACAGAAAAAAATTTCTAGTTTCACTTACCACCACAACGCTGTGAAACACTATCCGTTTACAACTGATATGCTCTTAAAATACAGAGTCAGCGGACCGTAAAACTAATCTGCTAAACGGTTTTTGGTAATAATAAAAGTTTCTTGTGGTGACTTTTCAGTCTCTAATATCTATAATATGCTTCAGGTACAAAAGCAGACAAATCTTTTTGTAATAGCGCTTTCCCTACATCTTACAAAACACAGACTGGGGGTACAACCCATTTAGCAATGAAATCTCGGAAAGAAAAAAAAAAAATGCATGAAATAAAACAAGAGGGAAATTACACTGACTTTCTTGTGCTCTTAGATGATGCTGAAATGTGTTGAAAGAATATATAATGGAGAAAAGATTGAACTAGCAACGTTATAAACTCAGAACTGTCATAAAACGCTTCTAAAGTTCATTCTTTTTGTAGCCTAATTTATAATATAAAGAACCTTTCGTCAATTTCTGTAGGCTTCGTCGTCCACTTTCATCGGCTACAGCTAATTTACTTCGTTTTCCATACATCGTCGCCATTTCTTGCTCGCTGGTATAATTTTCACTACAAAGAGATCGTAGTATTGACATTTCATCATAAGGTCTTTTCATTTGCATGCGCTGTTGTTTATTGCCATTATTGGTATTATGTAGTGAGGAGTTATGATTCAATGTAGGATTTAGCTGTTGCACCAGGGAAGATGTGACACCGTTAGGTGATGTATCAGATGCCGTACCACTTACACATGTATGGTCACTGACAGCAGGCGATAATGACGATCCATTTGTCAACAAATTAATCTATAAATAGGATGATTAAATTAAAGCATAATATACTATGTCAGAATATAGAAAGTAGTGTATATTATAAAATAAACATGATGCCTGTAAATTTCTGAGGAATCTGACCAGTTGCATACTGAGGATTTTAAAATTTAGTTTGGATGTTACTTCCCTAAGATTCAAATTTGATTTTACGCATTCCTCCTTCAAATTTTTTTATGCATTCCCTTCACACATTCGCTTGAATCATAAAGTAGTGGTTTGACGTCTTGCAACTTAATTATGAAGAAAAGTTATAAATAAGGACCTGTGTTTGTAATAGAGATCTTTCGATAGCAGATGTGTCAGTGATACCCTTATTCATTACATCAGCCGCAAATATGCCATTCGTATTTGTTGAAGCTGAATATGGTGAGAAATTCAAATCACCAAGTTGTAGCATTCGAAACTGTGGTGCTAAAAGTCCTAGTGCGGCAGCAGTAACTGGTGGAAGGACATTAAAGGCAGCAGGGAAAAACCCAGCACTAGCAGCAGCCGTAGCCATTTGCATTTGCATGAGGAGTAACTCTACGGACTGCTGTGGTGCTACTGCTGCTATAGGAGGTATGGGAGGTGGCTGTGTAAGTAAGGAAGGAGCAGTGGACGTAACCGTACTAGTTAAATCCGTATTTATAGGTGAAAATGCTGAGAAATGATGTGTCAGTGAGGTATTCATTGATTGTTGTTGTTGCTGTTGTTGTATGAAGTTTCGTTGCTGTTGCTTTAAACAGTAATGTACTTGTGGTGACAGTAAAGAATACAACCGGTCATTATCAACAAATGCTGGTGAGGATTGCAGTGTTGTAGCTTTCTGTATTGCTGTGTGGATATTGTTGGCAGTAGTAGTAGATGTTGTTGTGATAGTAGAAGGTGATATAACAGCAGTTGTATTAACAGTAGCAACATTAGCAACAGCAGCAGCAGCAGCAGCATTAGCTAAATGAGAATTTTGCTGTAATTGGTTGTGTAGCTGAGCAGCAGCAATGTATGCTGTTTGCAATGCAACCGGATCAAATAATGGATTGATAGCAGCGGCTGAAGTAGCTGATACAATGGACGAAGTAGATGTAGGTAATTTGTTTGTCTCCATTTCCTTCACCACCACTACCTTAATACCAACCGTATTGCATCAGTTTGGTCTATAAAAGTACCGTTGAATTAAACAAATTTGCAAAATAAGAGGAAGAGGGATGTAGTATACGTATGAACGAAATGAATCCAAATAACGATGCTGCCCGTCTGTCACTTACGGTGACAATGAGAATGAATGGTGAAGAGTGAAAAGTGAAGAGCTGGGTGCAGGGAGAGGGCTGCTGTTACTACTACTGCTTTAGTGCCCACTTTTAACCGAAGTACAAACATCCCGTAAAATGAGAGAGGGAGGCAATTGTACTACACTACTCGTAAATATCAATAGGAAAAAAACATAAAGTGCATTTAGTGAAGTACTTCTTCTTTTCTTCATCTTCCTTTCGTTTCGCTTCAGTAGCGAGTAAAGAAATATTAATGGCATAATGGGCTGTACTTCAACGGATCGTTTCAAGCAGAATCTATCAAGCTCAGAACAAAATGGAAATACAAGTTTTAAAACAGTAAAGCAATCTTCGCTTCTTGCAGCTCTCTGTAACTGTACTATTTGTTGATCTCTTATAGTACCACCTCTCACTGCTTTTCTGTATTTTATTACCACGGTTGTTTTATTGTTTTACTGCCTATTTGCTACTGCTTATTTACTGATTCGTAGCTAAATAGTGCAAATAATATGGGTCTGTTCCTGAGCGGAAGAATTGACCCATTCCTTGTACTTAGCTGATCGATGAGCAGTACTATCAAAGTGCTAATATCTAGTGAAAAAAGCATGGAAGCATAGCTCTTTTTTTTAGTTCTGCTTATTTTCCAAGATTCTAATCATATAAACATGTACTGATGATAGGTGATCCACAAGAATTGAAACTGCAATCTTAAAAAGAATTAGTCAATTTATAGTGAGACAATCAGATACTCTCAAAATACAACCAAATATCGCTTAATATGTTAACTTCCGATTTTTCCCGAACAGTCCTGCCACCTACGCGACATTACCTACGAAACTCTAATCCTACAGTTATCGAATAACGGACAATTAAAACATAATGTGTGCATATCATCGGATATGCAAATTGTTTAAAATCAGTTATTACTGGGATGAATCGCGATTTACGACAAAATACATCCATTACTGTCCATTACAATTATTATTATGCTGTAACAAAATGCAAATTCCTTAAAACCCCATAGTTCAAAAATATTACATAAAATTTCGCCTCCTTGGTTAAAGGTATTTCTTGAAATTTCAGTTGTTCACTATAACTTTATGTATATTTATTGTTGATAGCATACTTTTCTACGGCTATATCACAACACTTGATAATATTTGGCCATAAAGTAAATTCAATATTGACTTCATAAGAGAAGTGTGTGACATTTGTTTCGAAAAGTGATGAAATCATTACAAATTACGCACAGTTTCTGCAGTCAAATGACAGCCTAAAATATATATAGTGAAATCTAACAGTTTTTTTCGCAATGAATTTCAATGAACAGAGATACCCACCTAAATGACACAATAACGTTTAATGTCTCACATTCAAAAACTTCTATGTCATTATACAAACGATCAGTCTGATGCTGGGTATAAATATAGAAGCGTATCATTCACGAATAAATAGGACAACAATGAACTATAAAACATTCTCACTAATTTTAAATTAAATTTGTATAAACCGTAAAGCATAAAAGAAACATCAGCAAGTTGAACTTAATATGTATGAGATAGTAAACATTTGTAATTACTTCTTTAGGTGCAATTATCAGTTTTAGTTTAAGAAATGTAAATTATTGACCAGTGAAATGAGATGAACTTACTTACTAGAATAGAGCAAGCTGTATAGTTCTTAAAGCACAGCAATAATAATATTTGCGTTAGCCTGCAAGGGAGTAGGATTATTTAGAATTGAACGTGAAATGAAAACAGATAGACAGCTGGTCGATGCAATATACAAGTATTTTTCATCAAATTTACCAGATAAATTTCTTCAGGAATGTTTAAATTTAAAAGAGAAAGACAGGAAGAGAAGGACTGCTCATAAAATACACAACCAATAGTACTATCAACAGAGTAAAAAAAAAAACATTGAGCAAAAGAGGCCTATGAAAAGAAATATTTACGATGGCCCAGACAGCAACAGGAAGATCAGTACACCCGAAACCTCTCTCCAAGAGCAACAATCTTGTTTTCAAACAAAATCGGCACCAAAGTGCATAGCTTTTTCCTCCGTAGAGTGCAATGTATACGAGGAATTTGTCATTTCTCCATTTATGTTTTTCGTCTAACAAAAAAACAACAGTGTATTTATATGGCCTCAATACATTTAAATCTCAGCTTTTTTTTTTCATTTAATTGGATGACAGAAGCTATTAAAATTACAGCTATTGATTATAAGTACGAAATGTTTTGGGACCTACTCTTATATTTTCTTTTTCTTCAATTTAATTTAAACCAAACTATTAAAAGTCTAAAACTAATCAATGAATTAAGAATAAATGTATGACTACTAGTTTTGTGATTTTTTTTTTTTTATTTTTTGAGATTCCCCGTATTCGTGTGAAAACATGCACAATTATACTTTCTTTGAAATATGTAACAAAATCAAAATGTCCTTCATAGACGAGGTAGAAGTAAGAGTGGACTGTATTTCTTTCTGAAGAGTCAAAAGTTATAAAATGTAAGTAATGGAGAAAGTGCATGTATACTTCTAATTAACTTGAATCTTCTGCATATATTCTATAAATCCATTTAGCCAACCCTCAACATATATGATAGTCTCGATTTATGCATGCTATATTTTACTTTTATTCTGCTTCTTCGCTCTCCCTATGCGATCATTTTGAACTCTGTCGTTGGGAAGGTTTAAATTCATTTCCCCGCAGGGAATCATTAATCGTTATCTTCCTATCTCAAAATTTACAAGGCTAGCTATTCGAGAATGTGACATCGGAGCGAATGCTATGTTAGCTTACACTGCTTTGTAGTATTCAAGATTTTACTTTAATAAACAAATCAGACAAAGCACAAGAATCAAGTGGATCAAGATTTCAACTATCGGGTAATATATCAAAATTTCAGAGCGCACTCCTCTGTATAAACAAGTCCTGTTAAACTTTAATTCGAAAAAAAAATTTCACAGTGAATTGCCCTCTCTCCCACATAATCTTTGAAGAGTACATTTCTTTAACTGCTCACTAGCACAAAAAAGCTCACTACTCATTCATCCTGAAAACACATCTCGCTATTAGAATACACTGATTCGAAATCTGTTAAGTCTCACAGCTCTTCGAAAGGTCGAAAGGTCACAGTAAATATCACTAACCAAAATTAATCTTTCCTTTTTATGGTGTTTCCTTTTCCAATCTCAGTAAAATTGTCACAGCAGTTTCACTAAATAGTAATCAAATACTAAGTCGTTGACTGCACAGTTCTCATCATAAATCGTAGTAAGTTGAAAATCATGTAAGAGAGTGACCTCAATCATCTTATTATTAAAGAGTGTATTAGGATACTTGATGGATTGAATGGTGTTGGTTCAAACTGTTATGACGGATATCTGACACAACTTCAGGAAACAAGTAGAGCTTGGATATGGTCAAGGTAAACGTAAGCAAAGTGACCGAAGATCGTTTAAATAGCGCATATGCATGAGTGACGTTGATTGTGTTGTACAGAAAGAATTGTAATAGTGAGTTAAATGTATGTTAAAAGTGGAAGTGAGACAGATGAGTGGGAAGAAGAGAGAGAGAAACTTGTTTGAAACTATTTTACGGCGCTAAATGAAGATCTCGCTTGGTTTAGCATTCATGTCTTCATATTGACAGCGAATGAATCGACGATTAGGGACAAACGTTGAAATTTCTTCTCTTGCTGTTGATAGATGGGTACCGCCCAGTAAGGCGGACATTCTTTGTCATCGTGACGAAACGACTACCACACAACAACGTTATCGAAGGAGCTGATAAGGAAATGAGCGGATGTAGTCGGCCAAGTGTCAAATGCTCGCGCGGAGAAAAAGGATCACTGCTGAGAAGCGCACGCGTGAGGTTTTCGTCTGATTGGATAGATGAGATGAAATAATGGAAAAAGTGGGAAAACATGAGGACGAAAGAGAATGACGAGAAAGAAAGGTTGTTGAAATGCGTGCAGGATAATGCAGGAGACTTGCAAGCAAGCAGTTGCCAGAGGAAGTAACGAGGGAGAGCGAGAGTAAGTGCTGCAACATTTCATTATCAAAGGGAGGAGTGGCGGTAGCGACGGCAATGATGACAACTACGAGGAGAAGACATAGACAGTACTGGAAGACTTTGAGGAAGTGGAGCATGGGGAGGGGACAGAGTGGGTGTGGCAGTGCGTACCTTCCAGCAATCACACTCACCAGTTTTCACATATTTTGTCGCTTCTAGCGATGAATTTCTGTGAGAGGATAGCATGTATCATGTCGATCGGATAGGTAGTAGTGGACATAGCAGTGTCGCATAGCGTATCTCATAGCGGCTGGTCTCGAAGGAAAAGACCGGAGGAGATGCTTCTTTTCATGATTCGTTCCTTTTCTTCAGACATTTACTTTGGATGTTGCTCATTGTTCTCAGTGAAAGGGATTGTTCCGTTTACATTATAGAAAATGCCATTCTTTGCGATGCACTACTGATGGCGGAATGATAGAGTTGTAGAAGTTTCCGTTATTTGTCTGTGATGTTCTACCAGTGAGCGAAGCGGGTTGCCATTGTTCGCAGTTATTTGTAATCTCACTTAATGGTTTAAACCATTGTGTTATAAGAATAGAAAATGATAAAAATGAGATAGCATTGAGAGAGTGATTCGAAGGTTGCATGAGATTCAGGAGAAATTTTTTTCACTAAGCCAGGTTACTCGTGCTTAGTGCGCCTCGCAATGCATTATGCGAAGTAAACTGACAGCATGTCGATCTTCTTTTGCAAAGTGGTAATGTCAGTTTGGAGAGAATATTACTACATTTTACGGTGCAGTAAGAGAGCGTTGTTCAAGTTCTTAACTTCTGGCATCTGCTTGAAAGTTTCTGATGTTAGCAACATCATAGTGACAAATGACTGCTTAGCTTTTGTTCTGCAACGTTCGGAGAAGTGGATAATCATCAGTGAAATTCATCGATGTTTAACATGGAAAATGTTAATATCTATGATAAAACATAGATTTATATTAATGCATAAATAGATAGTTAAAGTGAAAGAACACATGCCGCAAACATCAAAGAATAAGGTTTGCTTGATAGGAAGTGATAAAAATCAACAACTGATTAGTGTTACTTCTTCAGTACACCATAACACCTTCCCATTCATCTTTCTTCTTCATCTGCAATATATTGCTATCCTGCACTTCATGATTTGCAATTTATTTTGTCGGGAATTCGATAGCTAAAGTTTGAAAAGAGGCAGAAGGTGCCATATGAGTGCTGTTTCTGGGGCAGTCTTTGTGATTTCATTAAGCCTAAGTCTAAAGATACTGATGCACTCAGTTAGCACCGGAATTCTTCGTCAGTATTTTCTCAATGAAGAAAAGCAAGTGAAATGTAGTTCAGTGGATGTTTACGATAGCTTTAAAATGACAATTTCATCTGGAAGTGACTTCTCGTCAACAAACAGTCTGCTCTCCTTGCACATTTAATTGTCTGGCGAACAACCACATTCTTTGTTTGTTTAAGACTACAAGAGAAAAGGCATAGTAGTCATTATGTGTTGTAAAAGATATGGGCGGGATTGGGTGGTGCATACTCGTTTTCTCGTTCAAAAATTGAGAGTGCACAGGTCATTTCGATAAGGAAGGATAATGAGCAAAAGTGGACAGATGGACCTTGCATGAAAAAGTGGAGAAAGCAGTTTGCTTCGCAGTGATATAGTTACTAAAGAAAGCATCGTATTATGGTCTTTTTTAGCTTATCATCACTCAGAGATAAGCTGCTTTCTTTTTTACATTCATATTAAGTAATCGATATATGTCTAGAGTATTATTAGTTACCGCTCCGATTTTGAGCTATTTTAAAGTTGGGAAGATAAATTAGATATATCACTGGGGGTGGATTGAATAAACTTTTTATATTCATCCCTGTCACTAAATGAGAAAGAGGAAATTATATGCGATTGATCATTTCATTACTTAAATATTTACGTTTAGTAATGAGTAATATAATATAGTGATCCAATTTCATTAACTTATCATACTGATTACTTTTTTTTTTCATATGTCATAAAATGACATCCACGCATGGCACTATCTCAGTAAATTATTCTTCGCGAAAATATTCTAGTAGGAATTGTCTTTTTCAAAAATTGATGCACTCAAATAACGGAAAGATTAATATGGAAGTAATGGTTTATGTTGTTGTGCCACAATTGAGACATAAGACTCAGTGATACTGACCACAAATATTTGCGATATCATTTGTCATTCTCATCAGTATGACAAAGAGAGAGTATGAATAGAAGACAGTTTGCAGTTTCAGCCTCAAAGCATTGGATGAATCGGTCTCTTTCGGCTTTGATTCATCTTTCTGTCCATTTAAATGATTTTGTTCTCTTTCTTTTCTTCAAAATTCTTGGCCAACTATACTCCTTCCTTTCTGTTTGTGCACTCGCAATGCCAAACAATAATAATTTGCTGTGGAAAGCATTGTGTATATGACTTAAGCATGAAGGAAATGAGCATAGCAAAAATATTGCTATGTCTAGAGAAGAAATACTATCTTTCAAATGGCATCATAGATCGGGTCATTATTATGCCTGCTTGTTTAGAAATGACGAGAGAATTAATTAGCTAGAATTAAAAATACCAAAAGTATCACTAGAGGAGTTTGGATAGATGAAGTAAACAATATAAATAAGATAATTATTTCACGTTTAAATTTAATGATAAATTGATACCTGGGAAAATGTCTTGCAGAAGCATATAAGTTGATCCTGCAGTTTGCCATTAATAGAATCAAACTTGCAACTAAAAATAGATTCGCGACTTGAAAGTACAATACAACGCTTGGGATTTGTAATATTTTGGCCAGATTTCGCAAAAAAAAATGTTTTAAAAATATTTTGTATTTAGCCTAGCAAGTTAATCACATCCAAAGATTTTCCGCCATACAAAAAAAGATATTATCAAAGATTAATTACAGATTTAATTCGGAAATGTTTCGACCGTTGGAAATCAAGCTTAGAATTTGAAGGACTTGTCAGAGTTAAAAAATTGCTTTCGGACTGAACTGAAGTCGACTTTTAGTTAGCCAATTACTTTAACTTCAATTTCCATTTTAGCTTTCCATCCCTTATCCACGTTTGTTCCAGTTCCGTAAACCTGAACAGAATGCTACCTGCTGTGAAAATATTCAGTCGTTGATATCATTAAGTGTAATAGCAGTCGATTTAACGTCCACATTTTTTCCATCTCTTACTCTTTGTATCAAAGTTGTGTGAAATTTGGAAGATATACGGGATTTAGTTACCACGACTAAGTCCCTTAATTCATATTATTTGAGAAGAAAATAAAAAAGAAATATTTCCAGAAAGATATTACTTCAAGAAGCATTGTTAGTTGAATGAATACACTTTTAGTGTAAATGAAATCGACCGGAACATATCCTTTGCCTTTTATGTAACTCAATGTTTGTCTATACACCATAAGATGCTGCAGAAATAGGGTTTTCTTATGTTTCTCTGAGTTGTTATTAAAAGTTGTTCTGTGTTGTGTTATGTAATGAATGTAAAAAATTTGAAGTAAGGCTGCGGGACGGTTCAAAGGTCAAGCGGAATTGAGGTGAATCTCTTATCCATCTTTATGTTTTCCTTCAGAAAGTGCCTATAAATAAGACTGGAATAGGCATGAGTAGATAAAATAATTGGTTATGAAATTTAAGTCCAATTTATAATTTCATTATTGGTCGTCATTTTAAACGATTGATTATAATGATAATTTATGATTTCAGTGTGTGTCGCAGTTTGCACCAGCTGGTGATAGCCATGTTTGGACTACAGATGATCTTCTTCCAGCATTCGTATATGTGACCGTACGTGCTCAGCTACAACATTTAGGCGCCGAGATTCGTCTTATTGAAGATTTTACACCGCAACTACAAGGTAGTGGACAAACTGAACTGATGTTCACCACCCTTAGAGCTAGCTATTTTCAAATTTGCAATGATAAGAATTTGCCTTGAAGCTTGTTTTTTTTTTTTTTTTTTTAAATCTTCAGTGCCTTCAGAAGAAACGAGAAATTTCTTAATAACATATATACCATTTGATGAAGGTTGATTAACTTCCAGTTCTACTACGAATCCTTGCACTTCATATCTCGTTACTATATCTTGTTATTGCATAACAAATTTTAAAAGTTTTAACCATTCATTTCAGTCTTAAAACTTTCGATATGATGATATTATTACGTGATGAATTCACATTTGTCACATCTTTGCTAGGATTATTTGATATGTACATATTTGCTATTGTTAAGCTTTTTCAAATAATAGGAAGGACTTATTTTTTGTGACAGATTTATTTGGTAACAGTCTTTTTTATGAAGGATCTTATAGTTTATAACAAAGATCATTTTATATTTCCATCAAGGAACGTTTTGGCATTATTGGTAGATCATTTCTGATGGTATCATTTGATTTTTTCAGAATAACTGTATTATTAAAATTTGAATTTCAAAGTCGATTACTTTGATTATCCAGGAAGTGAGATTGGATGGCATACAGTACTCAGAATATCTCATTCTCATTCTCGCCATTGTAAGCTGATATTTTTCTTTGAGCTTATCACCTTAACGTTGTATCTCATCGTCTATTTCAATTATTTAGCATATATTATATGGTCTTCAAACTTCTTTTTCATATCTTTTGAATAGTAATTCTACAAGTGCAGATATATGTTGTACAGATGTCTATCATTGTTTTATACGGATCTTTAGGTAAATTCATTGAATGATTTATGATTTCATGAAGTATAAAATTTCATCAGTCCATATATGAAGTCTTGCACAATGGGACAGAAATTAGAATACATAAATGAGTTGTGGGCTGTTAAGGCAAATGGTTCTTCAACTGGTGATATTCCAGTTTTCTCAGCAATTCCTATTCCTAACTATTCAATCATATTCAGTTTGTTTATTTGTCTTATCGATGGAATTGAAAGTTGATATCATAATGAAACATATTTTAAGAATTCAGGAGAAATATCGAAGAATTCGATCTCCGATGTTTATTAACACTCAAAGTACATAACATTATGCGATTAATTTTACTTATAGTGCTACTATGTTTATTTTGAATTACAGCCGAAACTGGTTGTAATATTTTGAAAACTTCTGAATTCAGTTGAGAGTGAAAAGTAAATTAGGTGAATTGAAAAATAAAATGAGATTGAACAGGCAGCAGAAAGAAAATAGAAGGGTACGAATCGAAAGAATTGTCGTAAAATGGCCGGTAGTGTCGGCTGACACCTTAGAAGCCCTTCGGCATTCGCATCTTCTCTGACATCATGCATTACCATTTTCTAGTAACCGTTTAGCAATCAAAATTTCAATCTACCAGTTGAAACTTTCCCTAAAATGCAGTGTTGAATTTATATGAGTTTAAAAATTTCTCCGTTATCAGATAACTTCGATTCTTTCCATTCTCCTCCCACGCAAGATTCTGTAACAAATTTTATAACTTAGATTAGTTTACTAACGGTAAAAGTTATTTTGCTAAATTTCGTGCTTAAAAAACTTCTACGTGTGTCAATTTAACATATGATACAGTGATGCAATATCATTTAGCATGAATGCATTTTACTGCATGCTTCCAACTTTCATTCATGTTGATTTAAGTTTAAAAATCAATGAAAAAGTTAAATGAAAATTTTCAGATCTCATTTTATTCAAAGTACTATTTTGCAATTTCAGTTATTTTTGGATGTGTTTTCTTAAATTTTTTTCCCCTATTCTATAATAATGTAAACAATTCCTGACTTGACATTACTTGACTATACTATTTCATATTCTATGCATATTTTGTACTTGAAGGCCTGAAACTCAACTCACGTTGCCAATGAAATTGTTATTTTATTTATAAGTACCATAATTGACATTACGATTAACAAACACATTTATCATTGTCATTTTATTACGATGGAAAATAGCAATTGATTTTGGAATCAAATCAGACCGATGGTGCATATGATACAGTGATCGTTCTCCATTTTCAGCGCAGTATCGTTGCCTGTCGTTACGATTGGTAATAAAAGTTGTTCAGCATCATTTTCTGGATAAACGAATATCCATCCAATTTCGTTTCTAATTCATTTTATATTCATTATTGCTCTTCATCAGTACCAAAAAGAGGAGGAAAAAATTGACCGGGTAATTCAGGGATAAATATGTTCATTTTGAATGGTTTATGGTTGTTAAATTCATCGAGCAGAACCAATAACCACGTCGTCTCAGTGCTTCTGATCATAGTTGTCCTATGTGTCACTCTAACAATCGTCCACTCTCAACAACGACAAACGCTTATTGACTATGACGATAATCTTTATATTCTCATTGATGAAATTAGTGTTTATACATGTCGAGGAGGTATGCATTTCTATAGTTTATTAAGGAAGAAAATACAGCAAATATCTCATTTTTGCCTTCCTATATTATCTTTAGGGTTTGATGAAAGAAAATGATTGGAAATGAATGCAACGAATTTTTACACTTGAAAATATCATTTATTTAACTGAACAGGAATTGTTATTACTTACTATTTAATTATACCTTCGATTGATCACTTTCTTTTCATTCATAATATTTGCAGCTAAAAATGAGATTAAGTTAACAGAAGATGATATTGATATTGTGAATGAGAAAGGTAATCGTGTGTACTTCATCAAGGCACCCGGCAGTTACTCTTTACATTTCAAGAAACTTGTTGTTACCAGAGATATTGGATATTTAAGCGGCGAGATTGGTGTCACACTTCAAGTGCCAATAATCGAAGGTCCTGCAGGTTAGCATTCAAATTTAAATGCAGATTTTCGAAATGTTTCGAACAAACGATATTATAGAAATATTTGTTTCGTAATTGGTACTTTAGGAATTCGTTTTGACTTGCCTTATACAGTAGTACCGGAAACGGGAATTTTGGATCAAGAATGTGACAAGCACAGCGGCGTTGTAGAGCGTGGCAATCGACAGTACTGGTAAAATTATAATAATTATGGATTGTGGGGGATTTCGCAGACTTTAAGTCTAGAACACTGGAAGCCTACGAGACATAACGTTTCTGGAAGGTCCCTCATTGAAGTACTATGGCAATGGTAGCGAATGCTACATAAAAAAGTTGATTTGAGTGAAAGATTCCAAACTTCCTTTTTCTTCGTTTGAAATCAAATTGTTCAGTAGAAGTTTGCTAAATTCAGATTTTTCCTGAATATAAAAAAATATATTAAAAATTCAGAAAAGAAGCCCATAAAAAGATTCAGAATCAAAATGTTTCATTTTTTTTGAAGGAATAATATATGGCAATAGATTCCCACCGGAATAGTACTTATCAAGTATTCAACGTTTTTCATTATCATTAGAGCTACTGAATCTTATCAGTGCAACATAATATTCCATTACTATTCCATATGTCACGCTTACCGAACTTACTGGATATTCCAGTCGTTATTGCGATATTTGTGGGCTTACCGCTAAGCTAGAGACAGATTTGAATGATAAAGGCCATTTATTTTTGCCTGAAGTGGCACGTGGCACAGAGGAGAAATTTGCGCCAGTTTGTAATCGAATTGCGTCGAATATTTACGAGTTTAATCGAACGATTAATTTGCCTGGTAGACGTGAACTGTTAGCACGGATCAACGAAAAGGTTCAAGGCCTGGATGGTGAGATTCGTGAACGCCTAAACAAAAAAGTATTTTGTTTATGTTCACTCAGCAGATTTGAAAGAAGATTCATTTCCTTTACACTAATTTGAGAACGAAAAGAATCGAGTATGTGACCTTCATAGACCGATAGGTTTATATTCCTGAACTTCTCAATCTTAGCAAATGCTGCTGAAAATGACGTGACCTAACTGAGTGCGCAAGTGAAGCACGTTACTTTCTATTTAATGCAACTGAAGTAGCAAGGTAGGAGAAGCCCTTTTCGCTACTTTAAGAAACTATTTCATATTGAAAGATAAGCATAAAGAAGGATTCTATAAATGTGTTCATAATTAATGTCTTGTTTTTGAGGTTCTTAAATAAAAAACATTTTCAGCGAGGCCGATTTCAAATATTTCTGAACTTAATCAGTGCCGAACAACCAGCAATCAAGCAAGATGATTGGTTTGCGAAATCTGCTGATGTAAAATTTTGTTGTCTTGTTAGGAACTCAATAGTCAGTTTACTTGATTCTTATTTGATTAATGATTTATCGTTGGGACGTTCAGATTCCCTTCTTGTTGTCATGATAATAAAAGACAAAAGTTTCTGTTACTCAATTTGAATCCTAAGCCTGAACTATGAGTAGATTAGGAAATCAAGTAAGCTCTAGATAATCTTTTGTAATTACTTAAATGATTACTTCATAAATTCAATTTTAACTAAAAATTTATTTCCTATCGAATAAATTTGTGCTTCAAATATTTTGAAATAAAAGTGAGGCACGTGAATCCCTTGCTAATCTACAACCTTTCATAATTTTTATCCAAAATTTAATAATTTCTCGCATCTAGGAAATAGTATGCAAAATTACAAGATTAAAAGGAAAGGAAAAAAAAAAACAAAAAACAAAATTTCAGTGTCAGTGCTGCTGGGATGATCGTGACGCTTCGTGCCATGGTGTACTAAGCTTCTTGTACTGCAGTAAAGAAGAGTGCAAGAATAACTGGGCACGGCGCTGTTTGCATCATACAGCACGCATCGTTGCATGCTATACAGTTGAATTTAATTATCGCACGACAACATCATATGCAGACGTTATTCAATTCTTGAAAGAAAACAATTATCCAAATCAGGAAGCTATTACTTCAATACCGATAATACAGTGAGTTTCACATTACTTGAAAATTTTTTGTTAAATTATATTGGAATTTAAATTTCAGTGATTTAACATATTTGTAATGTGCATATGTATATCACCAAATTACTCAACTGTGAAAGCTGGTAAGTCGATTTCTTCTGGCTCTATAATTCTTTGTCAGCAAATTCAACTTAAACCTATTCATTCATTCCATCATTCCCAAGATCATGTGACTGATCTATGATTTTAAATCGACCTCACACTAAAGATTATTGGGGAATTTGAATGTTACCAAATTTGTATAATATAATCGTACTGCAAGTTCTCTTTAACCTTAAGGATTTATTTTCAGACGAATTCCACCACATCCAAGGGGTACTGTTGAAGTCAAGGATATTGCCCAATCTCTAGCCGAAAGATGTGTGGCAAAAATGCCTCAAAGACTGACCCATTTACGACGTTATTGCACAATCTTCTGGAATGACAAGTTATGTTGTTCGCATTGTCCTGGTGTATGTTAATTTTTGGTTTTTCATGTTTCAAGTTTAACAGAATTTTCTTTCATTAACGGACGGGTCCATCACATACATATTTTGATTTGGTACTTGATATCGAGATAAATCGCATCGAGTGATACACAGTATCATCAAGACAACCCAGTCCAGTCGCTCTCTCTCTCTCTCTCTCTCTCTCTCTCGATGCTTCCTGATAACAGCTGTTCTTATACGAATTCCGCTCTTACTGCTCTCCACCATGGATTCTTTCCTATATCGTTTTCTACGTAGAGAGAGCCTTATAATATCAATTATCAAATATCCGACTTAAGCGATTTCTCATTATTAAGAAATCAGTAAAAGTTTGTATTAACTGGCGATATGCTTTGGGAAGTTTTATTCTGCAACAAAAAGAAAATTGCTCGTTTTAAAAAGAAAAGAAATGAAATTCAGAGATGAACTTTCAGCTGAATTTATTTTTTGTTTGTAAAACTGACATGTTTTTCCTCTTTAATCAGTAGTGATTAACTTCTCTCAGTACAGTTAGCCTTGTTATTTTAATTCACTTGAATACCGTGCAATATATGTTCAATAAACAAAGTTCTGTTATGTTATAACGAGTTGAAAGAGTAGTTTAATTTGAAATTAATCCTTAACGTACATTTTACTATCGTCATACCTCCCTTTATTTATTCACTAGAAGAGGAAGATAAAAGTAATTTAAATTACGTAGCAAATTTGAATATGAAATATCGTGCAAGTTGTTTGTGTCACCTCAAAATAAAAGAAATATTTTGCATTTATATTTTATTATTGTTGTAACAATATTATGACTCTAAATAGTTTAACTTCAAACCATATCAAATTCTGCGAAGGAATTCAATGAATACAGTACATAGTAACTGGTAAAAGTACACATAATGGATTATAGCGAAAGTCATACTGTAGAGAATCACTTTTTAGCTTTCCTTTATTGGAAATGTGAGAATGTTCAAAGATCAGATGAATCCTTCAAGAAGGATATTAGACTTTTTTTTAAATCATTCAGTTATTTGGAAAAATCGATTAAAAAGCATGTTTTAGAAACTATGGGATTCCGTTCTACATTTTTTGCTGTGGAATACAAATGATAATAGCTTGAGAGAATGACAATTGCTTCGGGACGGAATGATTGCATTCGATTGGGTTCTATTTACTATTTACAGTTTCTTTCTCCATAAATGGTTTCTATTAAGTGGAATGAGGAGCTGTATCGTTCGTATTTTTGAGAAAATTGTAAATGTTGTAAAAATTATAAATGTCTTTACTGGAAATGGAATAGCTTCAGGAAGGAAAAGAGAAATACACTGAAAAGATTCTTAATTTGATAATTCTATCATTTAGTGATAAAGTGGCTCATGCCTATCGTAACACAGCTAACTGATCAGAAAGCTGAGAAAATTGTCATTCTTTCACTGGCAAAGCCTTGATAAGTTTATTACTAATTTAGCTTACGAAGTAATCATGTCTAAATAAAACCCAGTGTAAATTGTTAAGATGGATTTATATCAACTGATGATCATTCGGATTTTGCTTGTGCTAATTAATGGCTGAGTAACGACATAACATACTATTGTCAATCTCTCGACACTCAATTGTGATGCCAACAAAAAATTGCTCTTTCTGATAAGAAAAATCGTTTTTGATAACTTCATAAGGATTGCGTTTCGCCTCATAAAATTAACTATGTTTTTAATTTAATGTTCCCAAAGGATAGTTTAAACTGAGAGGTATAAAAAGAAAGATTTGAAGAAGCTACTTGTTCGTATATGTCTATAACCAATAAGGAAAAGATGTCCTCTAAGAAAGTACTTTACTCAAAAAAAGTTTTTTATTCAGATTATATTGAACTGAAGAGAAATTAAATGATTGAAACCACTCTCCATTAAGCTAATATAGATTAAGCTGTTTGGATCACATATATTATAAAGTTCATTCCACTTCATTCTAGAATGAAACAAATTCAGCTAAACTGAATTCATCACCCATTTAGGGAATGAAATAAATTAAAATTTGGGTATTTCGATTGGTATTTTCTACTACTTTGCTTCAGCTCATTTTGATCTGACTAACAGAATGATACTACTTTTTTTGAAATAATGGTACATCTCCTGAATGCTACATCTTCGAGATGTGCACGTATTGAATAGAACCGTTAATTGACTGAATTGAACCTGCTAACCTTAACAGAAATACTAATGTAGTTATAAGCTCTTTTAAAATGACAATCAAAATACGTATGTGTTTTAACTTAAAGTATGCTACTTAAATCTCTGCTCATGCATTTTCATGACTGTCTAAAAACATTCTCCTATGAGCTTAGTTATCTAATCGAAGTACTGATGAAGAAGACATCATCATTTCTTCAATACCGATGACTAATGAATAAGAAATAAACTACTGTTAACATTAAAATATTGGATATAGTTGTGTAAACAAATATAATTTCTGAAGAGTGAGTGCAGTAAGTTATTCAACAAATTAATCAATGTTATATTTAGATTAATATTATCCGTCTAAGATTTTGATTGTACGATTCAGTGTAACTACGAACAGTTTCAGAAATTTTAAACTTCCTGTAGGATCCTATTAAAAACGATCCAATCCGTTACAGCTAAATTTGAACATTTAGAACAAACAGAAGTAAAATTAAAAGACTAAAATATAAAGAGAAAAAACAATCCTTCTGCCTGAAATCTTAAACTAATACATGAAAATAAAGAATAATAAGAATTTCATGAAAAACAACATCATCCACAACAAGCATTATTTTCAGTGTAAACAAATTAGGCCCCCTTTGCAAAACAATCAATATCATTAATGAATGCACAGACTATAAAAAATCATGAAGAATTTGCTTAAACATATAATGATGTAATCTTGTTTGCATTTGATGTAACACGAATGAAAGATTTTATATTGAGGTTACTGAGTACGTCGAGCGAGGTATGAAATGAAACATTAATCACATAAAAAAATAATATTTACAAATAATACATTACAAATTTCAATGAAGCAAAGCAGTGAGAGTTCCACTTGTCTAATAACCGCAAAAGTTTAGACTGCAAAAATCTGACAAAAAAAATCTAGCTGGAGATTTAAATTTTTAAAAATCCGAAGTACTTCAGTTTTACTAATTGCGATTTTTTTTTAGAGAACTGAAAAAAAAAAATTTTTTTTTCGACTCTGGTAACAACAAAATGATTCAATTCTAGTTTTTTTTTCTTTTTTTTTTTAGTCTTAATTTTTTTTTTCCATTGTGTTCTATTGAAAAATTGCTACCAGCACAAAAATTATCAGCTAAAAATTCGAATTAAAAATTATCAAATTTGCTTTCGCCTTTATCACCTTTCCGCTTTGACCCAGCCATCATCGTCGCCAAAACTTCAGCTTCAAAATCAGCGAATTCAACAGATGTCATCGGCCGTTCTGCAGTGCAGTATTTCATGATGGTCTCACTTTCTGGTCAATTATAAAAATTTATTTGTAGAACAAAAAGTGTTTTTAATCGAAGTTTTACGCAAAAGAAACAAATCTTACCTACTGGTCTACTTCGTTGTATTTCCGAACTTCTCAACCTGGAAGACGGTTTTTGCAAACATGTCGTAGCAATTGGAACATCAGGTTTCCCCGTTTCTTTTTCAATCCCATCCTGAAAATAAAGACAACATATGAAATTTGTGAAACCAAACAAATTTTCGAATATTGACAAACGTTTTCATCCACAATACTTACTACATCCAACAATTCATCGAATTCCAAAATTGCCATGCCTTTGCTATTGCTTGAAACGATTATATCGGAAATGTGTCCATACTGAAATAACATGTAACATATTTCACCGTATTCGAGGGTCAAACACCGCTAAGTTGACTGCATTTGAAGTAACCACTCTGAGTGTGAAAAAGAAAACAACCTTTCTCTTATTTGAGAAATTTAGAAATTCCACGACAAATAATTTTAAAAAATTCACCTTAGAGAATAATTTCCTTAAATCATCTTCATCATAATTACATTGATCAGTTTCACACTTCCATCTTAATTTATAACAGGCTAATAACCCTGGAAATACAAATAGATTTCTTGGAGAATTCAATTTCCTTAAATAAAGTAAAGTGATTAAAACCTAAAACGAAGAAGGCGTTAAAAGTTACGTTTATCACCGCTTTGCTCTTCCACAGTCGCATTTTTACGAATTTGTTGTTCAATATTTTCTCTTTCACGTTGTAGCAGTTTGGAACCTTCCTTCCGTAGACGTTGAATCTGAAACTTTTCTTTCTCAAATAAAATAAGAACTGTGAGTTATGAACTGACTTTGACCAAATTTTATAAATATCATAAAATGGAGTCATATTAAGTAAATTACAAGCCAATTAACAAGAATGGGCAAATTTGAAAATACCTCTTTCTCAAGCTCCCTTTTGGCCTTTTCTTTCTCGTGTTGAACGTTTAACACATTAGCCTCTCGCCTTTCAAGTTCCTCACGTAATTTCCGTCGTTTCTCGCCTTCATTATTTCGTCTTCTTCGTACATAAATGGTATGTGCTGTTCTAGCAGCCAGTACATGGTCATAAGCAGCTCGAGCCGCTGCATCCGACAACAACTCAAAAGCCTTGGATATCTTTAGGAACATTTCTTGTGCTAAAATTAATGAACGCACTATGTTTTGGGGAAGAACGGTTTAAAAAATCTTGATTGAATAAACGAAATAGAATACCTGCTTGTTTACGATCGGGATTTTTGTCGGGATGCCACTTCAGAGCAGCTTTCCTGAATGCTTTTACAATTTGCGCATCCGTGCAGTCCGGTTTCAAATCTAACAACTCATATGGATCGAAATCTATCAAGGAGTTGCCAGCCATACTGTAAATCTAATAAAACAATAATTAGAATTTCAATTAATAGCAGATTGCTCTAACAAAACACCAATGAAGATTCTGGGTTACCAAGCACAGAAGCATAAATACTATCATAAAGTATGACTTGTGCTACAGATTTTTGCTCTGATAACGTTTTAAGAATTCAAATGTTTTATTTGGAAAAGAAAGGCTTCATAAATTAACTCATAATATTTTTGACAGGTCAGAACAGCAAACGAGTTATATGATCCATTGAAATTTGGAAATGAAGAAAGAACAACGTGGATACATTTATGAACGAACTACAAACATTAAACATTATGAAACTGATGTTTATTTACTATCACAGTAATAATCAAAAAAACTTTGAAAAAAGTGTTTCTTGAAATACTATAAAGACATGTCAATAACAGGATGACCACACTGAAGTTACACGATATAATCAAATAAAATAGTGTGATGAAGTCCTGAAGTCTACACTACTGTTTCACATATTTTCACGATAATTATCCTTCTAATCATCATTGGCTTCACTATGCGTGACTGCATTTCACAACAAACCCTATGTCAATATACACATTTTCGAAACAAATAACACCTAGAAAAAACATATGCTATTAACTACATTCAATCGATGGTCTTTTAGTCATTTTAAAATGCAATCACCAAGTTTATTTGGCATTCCATTGAAGTGCGCGCAACGCAACATTGTAGAGATTTTCGCATATATATTATTTACAAATACAAAAAAATTTTTTTCGATGAAAAATCAATGAAAAATGAAAAATCAAGCTAAACTACAGAAACCATAGGGAAAAGAGTTTATTCAAATTAAATACAAATAATTTATCACAGAAGAATGAAAAAATATAACTTTCTGTACATTTATTAATAAATAAGAAGATTGCTTCTAGTAGTGGCGTTGACAATCCAGTTCGGATAAATGTACGGAGGATGCATGCGGTGTATTTGACGGTGTTGTGCTCAAGCTTGCACAACAAATCTCACAATCATCAATCAAACGGAGAAGTTCATCAGGAGTTGGTCCCTAAAAAACAAAAACTTTAAATCTTATGGAAATTACCCCTTAAAGATGGACTGAAATCTCGAATTTTTTAGAACTCGACTTCTAAACAACGTAAATAAAACACAATACATAAACCTTAATAAATGTCACCAAACCAGCCTAAATATTTATTGCAGCACCCCAATTACAGTAATGCTTCTGGTGTTTTCTATGTCTCCTGACTAATTATTGATTAAATAATTATTACGTTGTAGATAAACTGTTACTTATTACGTTATAGATAAAGTATTAACGATTTAATAATATACAACTATTAAATCGTTAATAAATGAAATACTGACTTGCCGTATGGTACCACTGGCTCGACCTGCAAAAAGTATAGCATTGGCGTTAATAGATGCTGTAGTAGTCGAAGATACAGTACCAGCTGTTTTATCAGCTGCACTTGTTTGATTACTTAAAGAAAAATTTGGGAATGATAAAGTAGCGTGATACTGGTCCAAAGCTGTTGTTAAGTCCCACATCTGAAATAAATGCGGAAATTCAACAGAAGAGATATTAAATCATCTTCACTAGTAGCATTACAACTCCTGGAACCAATTACTGATTTAAAATGATTCAGTCCTAGCAATAAGGTCGGAACAAATATCTCACTTGAATGGAACCATTGGAAGTTCCAGTGAACAAAAATCTCCTCGGTCTTGAATTTACGCGTGAACCTTCACATTCGTGAACCAAAAAGGCAGTTATTGCTGAATCACCAACGGTTCGAATAGTACAAAGCCTGCAAGCAACAAATCAATAACCTATAGCATTTTACAATTTAAGAACTAATTTCAAACAAAAAACACAAGAGTAATAAAGTTAGCAACAACAAAAAAATACTTTTTACAAATGGATATGAAGGAAACTAGCATTACTGACCTGTCACCGTTCGATGCTAATCTTACAAAGACTTGGTTAGTACCAGGAACCACACGCTGCACAAAAACTTGCTCACCATCTTGATCACCAAATGGTCCTATAGAAAAATCGTGCTAGTTCAATAGTGGTAATTAAGTTAATATGAGACAAGCTTGAAAGAGTTAAGGGTCCAATATATTAAACACATTCAAATTATTGATATTCAAAGTAAAGAAAACGAATAATACCTGGATCATTTCCGTCTGCATCAAGTATATCATCACTATTATCTAGGGTAAGCACCTTGAAAGATGCCAAAGATGTACTGCCTGGCTGCGTCGAAATCATGCCACGAAAACGTGTTACACCCCAGGAACGAACATGATTATATTCACTGCACACTAAAGTGCGATAAAACTTTCCAACTGGTACATAAACAGTGAGAACTGGATGAATATCTCAGAAGATTTTACATTTAAATTGAAAAAGTGTTCTTATGAGTAGATGGATAAAATCAAAACTGAACCATGAAAGGTATAACTACTACTTCACTTCATCCTCACCGCTGATAAGATGGTTGGTAGTGAGAGCGACTCGTGTAACTGGAGATGTATGCACAGTGTACGTTTGGAATAGTTGTGGGCCATGACCAACTGTTTCTGGATGCTGCACAATTACTCGGACACTACCACTTGAAGTCCCATAAGCAATTTCAATCCAATTTCCACGGAGATCTAGAAATTTCAAGTTGTGCAGTGAGAAAAGCAAGATTCTGCTTCTCATGATTCTAAATTTTTGAACAGCTCAAACATGCAAAAATATACTTGTTTTCGGTGTCAAATAGACGCTTATAGCAGTGATAACATCAGCGTTTGGATCACGATAAAGTTCCGTAATTAGCAAATCGTTATCTTTCATACGCAAAGGGAATTTCTGCATATCAATATAATAAATAGATCCATTAGTGCATCCAAGAAGCAAAAATGACCCGGCTGTATCATAACATGATATCGCGACAACATCTACGATGAGGGAAGCACTATGATTCCCAAAGGACTTTAAAAAATTATATGAATAAGCAAAATTGCGTCAGAATTCATGACTAAAATGAGCTTTGTGTTTTATATCAGCAGAATAAAACCACGATTTTATTTCATAAAAGCATGACCTTATTTTGGTGTTAAATGCATACTTATAGCAGTGATAAAAAACTTTCCTGATTTTCAGCAACAGCATGAGAACATTTACTGACCTTGGACTTGCCAATTATGGGTCATTGAATGCCAGATTCCAACCTTTCCAATTTTACTTAGCGCTACCAACTGGCTCCCAATAAAGAACAACTTATCAACAGCAACCAAGAGAGTGAACGTTCCTGCACAGAAATTTGTCGAAATATTCAAAATATGGCTTATCCCAAATTTGTTAGAGATTTATAATCTTATTTGCAAACTATCACTTCTGTGTTGTTCGCCGATCACCAAAAATTCAATAATTTTATAAAAAAAAGAAAAGAAAAATCACCAATTTTGGTCCCGAAATTAGCATCTCCTTCTGAAATATTCCATAAATGTATAGCATTATTAGTTAATGAAACAGCCAGCATTTTTTCGCCAAATTTTGCATACAACGCTACATGACGAACAACAGCATCCATACGTGGCGATATATATAGTTGCTGCCAACCCAAGCTTTCCTTCATTCTATGTATGAAATTAAGAATTTATCCAGAAATTTTAAAAACTTTTCTCCTTTTGCTGTAGGTGAAGGTGAAGATTTAAAGTAGGATACTGGATCATTTTAGTAGTGGTGTTTCTTCTTAGTGCATGCAAGAAACTTCGTGGAAAGGAAAGCTAATGGTGGTAATAAAATAAACAATTACCTATAACAACACACAAAATTTGCATAACCTACGGCAACTGCATTATAATGTGCTCGAATCACTCGAACTCTTAGTGGTTCCGACAAATGATCAGAGTAACGCATCAACAATGATAACTCCCCTTTCAGCTGAAAGAAAGTAGAAATATTACAACAAAAGGTTCAGAGTAGAAAAGTAAGCTAGTGAGATAAGTGTCATTTGTAATGCAACTGGTTGTGATAAGCAGTTGTATCGATGTGTATCACAAAAGCCAATTCAGGTGATTACCTGACGAGTTAATTCAGACGAGCTCTTCTTCATAAGGTTTGAGTAATTTTTAAAAAGGTTACTGCAAACATTGTGTGTGCTCTGAAATAGCTATGCGTAGAAATTATTCATTAAATTATTAATATAAAACAATATCAGTTGAATTTCTATCGAAGCATTTCAAAATTTTTCTCTAATAAAAGACATATATTACTGGGAATACATAACCTGAAGGATATCAAAAAAGTTAAGTCTTGATATTTTATGTAGTCAAAGTTGTTAATTGCAGAAATGAGCAATTTCCTTGAGAAGGAGAAATTACATATCATAAAATCCAAGCTAACTACTGGGAGATGTGAAGCAAAATTCTGTGATGTGTTCCTTGACGTATTGCTGCTACTTTCCACTGATAAGTTTGTTGCTTCCGATTTTTCCGTACTGACTGGAAATTTTGGATCTAGAAAATGAAAATGTGTTTGAAATGAAAATATACATAACGAGTCAAGAATTACCTTCATTTACAAATGATGCATGGCTTTCAGACGGTTGTTTTGTTGGCAAACTTGGGTAGCCCTTTACAGTTTTGTCGACCAATACTTCGACGGCATGTGGAACCTGAAAAAAAAATTAATTTCAGTAGAACTTTTGATCGTCCACTCAGTAAATATGTATAAAAAAATATACCACTTTTCTTAAAATTTAAGCAATCGTTTAAGCCTATTCATTAATCAAATCTTAAAATGTTCACTTTCCCACATCGAACTTTTTCATAAGGAAAGACAAAATCGGGAAGAATCAATGATACAATCAAGCTTAATTGTAATAATAAGTAACTTATGCACATAATTCTAATCCACACTTGAAATTTAGCTTCCATGCTTGGAAGCAAACGTGGCTGTTGCGATGCTTTGAATGGAGAACCATTTAATACGACTTCCACTGCAGGCACTGCTGTATGTTCAGTTAGATTGCAAGACTGAGAAGGAATGGAGACCGAAACTGCACCACGTGGTCCTGGTGAATTGGATGACTTCTGGTTGTTTCTTGTAAAACTTGGTGATGGAGATGAATAACCTTAGAAACATGGCTAATTTTTGAAGTTCAAAACAACTAGTTTAAAGAGATGAATGAATGAATTTTTGGAATATTTATTTTTAGTTAAGCTTAACTACTATCAAAACATACCTTCATTTAACGGTAATGCAGGAGGAGGTAAACAGGCATTAAAAAGCACATCACCACAAGCACATTCGTCTAATTCTTCACACAAAGTCAACCGTTTCACTAAAGGTCCCAAGCCATAGTACTGCGCTTCATGTTTCAGATTCACTAGACTCACCCCCCTAGAAAATACATTAAGATAAAAAAAAACAAAAATAAGTGAGGATATACCCGTGAAGAGAATTCACAAAAAAATTACAGTGGAAATTAATTTCACCTTAAATCAATTTGCTTTGTGCGTAGGTAATTTAAAATTATTCGAAACATTTCTGGATCTCGATCAATGAAGATCTGAAATAGTAAAAATGTGAAGGATGGCAAACAGCGAAAAAAAAACCTTCATCCGGCAAAACCGAAACTAATAATGCTAATACTGAACTGATTTTAAGCGTCTACTAACTTACGAAATCAAAAATACAAAGGCAAATGGGGAAGAGTCAATAAATTCAAATCAGGCTAAGAATTCATCTGTAATAGCAAAAAAGTTTACCGCGTTTGTTTCATCATGTACAGTAGGAATTCTTCCACTTAACAAACTGAAACAATAATCTGTACAAGAAAGCTCAGTAGATATATTACAAGTATCATAATGTATGCAATTCATCAACATATGGAATTAAATCAACTTTACAACAAACTTCTAGCCATTTCGGTTTACCAAACTTTGTCTTAAGAACTGTCACAATATCCCTTCCGTATACTGATTTTAAGGGTCCAAAAGCTTCCACAGTTCATAAAGTTACAAGTAATCAACCTTGTGAAGAATGTATCCGGCATCCATGTTAAAGTCTGTCGCGAAGTTGCAAATCTGTGTCCGCCAACATTCAAATTAACAATCTGTTCCGCCATTAAAAATTGTGTCACTGTCCTCAACGATAAAGAAGAGACACTTATTCCTTGATGCTCTAGCAATAACACCAGAAAAACTGACCTCCAGTGTAAATGAGCTGCAAAAATAGAGCTCTTTTCTCTTTTTCAATTTGACAATAAAAACAAACTTCTCACTTGAAACACAGCAAAAAGTAGATTTACTTTTATAACAGTTGCAAACTGCTCTTCAAAAGAATTAACAGCTTCTCACTGATTTTTATTGGTGAAATAAACACATAAATCCAACAAACAAATAATACGAAACATGACAGCAACAAAAAAAAAAAAAGAAAAAGTATGATAAATTGCAAAGCGATGTTTATTCCGCTGAACAGCAACACAAATATACATCGACGAAAATGCTCAACTAAAGGAATCTTTGTATCATAGAACGAAATGAGATCCTTAGATTTATTTAATGAGTCTCATAATAAACTCACTACCTATTCTGACGAACTAGATCAATCTTGAACAACTAAATAAGGTAGCCTTATCTTAGTTTCTGTAAGTGCAATGTGCTTGCCACGAAATATAATTTCTGCAATCATCGGAATAAACTTTTTAATGAAATATGGTATGAAATCGTAAAACTCATGCTCCATATTTTTGGAGTTGGAAATAAATAATGTCGAAAATAATGTCTTCCAAGATACATTAAATTTGATTCATATACATTACAATATTCTGGAAGGAATCGATAAAAAAGCAGAAATTATAGCCGGAAACAAGTTGATAACCCATAATATAATATTATCAAGCAGAGAAAGCAAATTTAAGTTCATGTACAATTATTTCTTCTTACATTTAAGTCAGCCTTTCTTTCAGGCATTTTTCGTACAAATCATAGTCTTTGTCCAAAAATGTAACGAAGATTATTCTATCAATCTAAAAATTAGTCAGCACGCCATTGTCACTTTTGCTTGTTTTGTAAGAGACATTATTCATAACATTAAAAGAAATTATGCTCAAAATAAAAATCTAACGGAAGTTGAAAAATCTTACTTTGTCTTTATTTTCTTGCAACCATGCCAAAACAGAGGTAACAACGACGTCACAAGCTTCATCATTTGGATAACCATACACGCCCGTTGAGATACATGGAAAAGCCTGAAGCTTCTCTCTCTCTCTGAATGCCACATGATAAAATTCCACAGAAACATATAATTTTCGACTGCCTTTTCAAGAAGCAAGTACTTACAATAGTTCTCAAATTATTCGCAATAGCAATATTGAGGGATTTAATGTAGCAAGACTTCAACAAATTTCGCTGCTCTTCGGAAACCCCAGAGTGAACTTGAGGTCCCACCGTGTGTATTACATCTGAAAACAAAGCTTAACACGTAACAAATTATTTTGAGAACAGAAATATATCTTGAAAACATACTTTTAATGTGCTTCATGTCATAAGCACCTGTCATTTTAGCTTCCCCAACTTTGCAACCATTCAGCTTTTTACATTCATCATACAAACATCGGCCTGCAGCACGATGAATGGCTCCATCAACACCGCCACCTTGAATAATAACACAAAAATGGATGGATGAACCGACTTTTAGAGGAAGTTTGCTGTAAATGAAAATATGGTGGAATCGTTTCAAAAATAAAAAAACCATACCACCCAAAAGTGAGCTATTGGCAGCGTTAACGATGGCGTCAACTTGAAACTTAGTGATGTCGCCCTTATCAATGGCAATAAGTTTAGCAAGCGGATTGTTTGATTTTGTCAATTCAGCAGCTGTTGCCACTTCGCTCCACTTTTTGATCCCTGCCATATTTCCTGCATTGATACCAATTCATCATAAAAATAACTTATTTTATATTCAGCAAACATCCGAAGATCGAAATTTCACAATATAAGATTATCCGGAGATGATTAATGACTTTGTGATATAGCCATACCAAGAGAGCCTAATCGAGTCCATTAAATCATATGCTATTAGAAAAACCATTACTCTGAATAAGTTTCACACAAAAATTGCTCTAACCCAGCTAATTTTACACTATCATCTATCTAAAAGAATTTCTGAAATATCAAAATTAGAACACATAGCACTGAAACCAACCTAAAACTGAAAAAGTGCTAAGCCTTCTCAGCAGTATGCCTTGCATTCTTGCATGAAAACGAGCCCAGAACTGAGCAGAAGCCTGTCCTTAGACCCCAACTCACACAACGCAAATGCAAAACAAAAACATCTCTTACGGATCACACGGCCGCATCACATTTTTACGAATGGATCGTAACTACGTGGTAGGTATGTTGTGTAGTTAACGTGATGTGAAGTGTGTTGGTCATGTCTTCTCTATCCAGCAAAAGTGATCAGTTCACTTAATCAGTTGTCACGTGAGATTACGTGGTACAAATGACGAATTTCTTATTTCAAAATAGCAAAAGCATACTACTGTTAAAAAGGATGTGATTGATGGAAATTCAGGCATTATTACATTATGAGTATTGCAAGGTAGTTATATCCACTAAGGTGGTGATAAATTAGAAATGCTGAGGTGATAAGTTAGGAATGCTGAAATGATAAAAGCGTCAGTTGTAATAAAGTGTTATATAAAGTTATCTTAAAGGATGACGTTACAAAAAGAATTAATTTTAAAAAACGTTGGAGATATTAATTAGCTTTGCTGTAATCTCCTTCGTCTATTCTATACTTTTTCATTTTTGACAAGTATTATAATCTCATGTCTTAGTTCTATTTATTGGAAGCCAAATTTAAGCATTTTAGCATAAGAGAAAAGTTTGACGAACGGCTTTCCTCAAAATTTTCATCTGAATTTAATTCAGAAGATCAAATTATCGAACAGAAATTTATAGGTCGTATCTATCATTTTTTCTCTTTCCTTTTACTTAATAAAGAAGAATTGGTCAGCAGAAATCATTTACATTAAGTTGAATTTAAAATGACTAAGAAAGTCGGAGTTTATGAAATTGTTATCCAAGAAGGTTAAAGTGATGAAAATTGTTGAGCCAATGAAACTTTAGAATATAATACTTTATGATTTTAAATTATGTAAATTACGTTAGAATATTATAGAGAGCAAAATATTCTAATTACTGACTATAATTATCTGATCACAGTCCTTTAAAATAATTTGACAGTTCGGAAAGAGTGTTATTTTTCCACTCAGTGCTTTGTCGATCGGTTCACGTATTACAATCAGGTAATCGTTTTCTTTAAGAATTATGTTGACCTTTATGCTAATGTTACAGTTTATGGTTTGAATAAATTTAGCTTTCTTGCTTTTCCTTTTCGAGTTAATAGATTTTGAATCAAATTCATAGAGTTTTAGAAAAGTATTGTGAAAACGGAAGCAGTTCATATTTCTCAGAATAATGCAGACATTTTCAGACCGAACTTAACAAAAAATAATTTTTTTTTTTAATATTAAATGTCATTTAATGATTGATTGATATACTAAGTTCGTCCGAGAAATTAGTGATGTGGAATGGGATGATTAGTTTCAAATAGCAAAAAATTCAAATAGCTGAAAACATGCGTTGCAAAATATACGTCTTATTATTAATGAGAAATAAAGCAAAATAAGGCCGAACTGAGTATAATTAAAAGCATCATTAGGCCAATAATCAAACAAGTGATTGAATAGCTTAAATTATGCAATACCTCAACATTCCACTATTTAGGTATTCTCGAAACAATTCCAAACATTTAAGATACACAGTTGAAGTCTCTATGAAATTCGGTAGTAATAATTTTCTCATTATAGCTTGGAACATATTATTTGAATCATGTTAAAAGTAATAATTTTCTCATCATAGCTTGGAACATACTATTTGAATCATGTTAAAAGTATCCCAAAGAAATAGAAGAGTAGACTGAAGAGACTAGAACATACTATATTCCTTATGAATTTTAATTCCATAATTTGAATAATTTTGTTTTTAAGAAAACTAAGCATGAAAAGTAAAACAACTATTGGAGTGTACGCTATAGGAGTATGTGTCACCGTTGCCGCTTGCTCCGTCCTATTATATTATTTCTTGAAGAAAAAGGTGTTTCATTTCGAGCGTTACATTTGTTCAATTTGTTTAAATTACCAATTTGTTGTTGTATTAAAAACTTATTACTAATGGTCATTGTTAACTTGAATATTTCAGTTAAGGAAATTTTCAAAACACCATTTGAGAATATTTTTATCAATTAATAGCAACTGATTTGATGTTAACTTCAGAAGCAAAAAAAAAATTTGAATATATTATGCCATTATCAGTATATAAGGAAAGGAAATCCTGAAAATGTTTACTGCTTATACCTGAAATTTTTGCTTTTTCATGACTATCCTATTCCATCTTTAAAAAATAAATTAAGAATTACAATTATAGGAGAGAAGCCATAAAGATATGAATTTGGATAAAGAAATAAAAACAGCGGGAAGACCACTACGGAAAAAGAGAGGACGTTTTCAAACGCCTCGACGTATTATGTTATCGAAACACGCCTTGCACACGTAAGTAAGAGCTACGTCGAAAAGATGATGTTGCGTTTCGGATAGCAAGATTTTTCGAGATTCAGCAGGGAAGCTGTCGTAACGAAAAAGCCAGTATGGTTGTTGAATCAGTTGTTTAATCTCAATGACAAATTCTGCAGTTGAAGTATCATAGGATTTATAATTCAGAAATAGAAAATTTTGAATTATCTCACAGCATTTTTTATTCTAAAAGCCTTTTTTTTTTAAAAAAAAATTCAACATTTCAAAACCATTCGTTCAACTTTCGTTATTCAGGAAAAAAGTCACTAATTCAGCAAAAATGACTCACACCACTTCTAATGAAACTTTTGGCAACAGCTCAACTAAATTGGTTCGTTTTATCAAAAGAAAATGAATCGTTCTTAAATTTCCACATGTATTTAAAAAACGATGAGAAATGATGATTATGCCAAATTTTCATCTTCTAGTCTTTCCATTAAGACATTTACATATAATTCATGTCATGTTTCTAATAATTTTAATTATTATCTAGTCAATTTCATTTTTCTTCTTATATCAATTTTCCTACCAAATTTTCAATGCTTATTTCAATATTTTGGTGATGATTTAACTTATCACATGCAGTTAGATTTTGCTATATCTGATTACAACTCATCTAGAATTAAATTTTTATCTGGATTCAATTTAATTAAATTTTCTTTTTTTTTTTTGATTCAAAGATTTTTTCCAAAATTTCGGTTGGTTGTTTAAATTTTTTGGTTTTTCTTTCTGCTAATTTTACTTGAATTATATATGAAATTTTGATAGTATGTAGGTATTGCATTAATATTTCATTACTATTTTTAACTTTTTATTATACTGCAGAGAATGCTTTTTTTTTTTAAAAAAAAAATGTTAATCAACCGTGCTTCTTATTAAGGAAGTACTTTTTAGGATATATCCAGCACATCAAGAAAAATTAAAGATCATTCGCCATCGTAAAGATTATTCGCCATTTTTTTTTTGATTCTTCTTTTGATTTTTGACTCTTAACATTTTCAGTTATTCTGATAAAAAATTCATCGCTGATGTGAAATTTGTGTATTTTTTAATTAGATTAATGAACACTCATTCATCTTTAGCAGTTATGTGCAACCACTGGAAGTTGGCATCTCATCAACTTCTTCACCGGTAATTTTTGTTTCAAAAAATTCTACTTATTTATTGTTTGACTTTAGGTCTAAATGACCTACTAAACTTTTTGTAGTAATCTGACTAATCTTCAAATTGTTGATTTAATGTAGGAAAAGAGCAAGGACCAATATTCGAGTGAAAGTTATCCACCTGTAATTATCCGGAAGCACAAAGAATTGGTAAATATTATTAGACTTTGTGCAAATCGCAATCAGTGGGTAGTTGACCACTTCGGTCCACGGATGGAATGATGTATTAAAAGGCTAATTTCGTTCGTACGGTATTGTTACTAAAAAGCATACTGCATTTAATGTATAGTTTGAATTAAAGTTTTTGAGGTTTGATGACATTTTGAAAAGCTCGAGATTTTATGATGTCTATTTATACATTTGCTTTTAAAATTTCAGCCAAAAATATTACTGCCATCGGAGAAGTCAGAAGAATTGAGGGACGATAAGGTATATAAATACCAACAGATTATAATTTTAACGAGAAATCAAGTTATTGCGTAATGCATTTTATTGTATCTTTTACAATCATAGTACCTAATAATACTTAATGCAATCATATTAATCATTTGTGAATAGATTCATTCGAGTTAGAAGGCATTATCTCTCTCTCTCTCTCTCTCTCTCTTGGACATCTTCCGAGGGAATCTTCGATATTTATTTTCCTTAATTATTTACCATTGATCATAGATCAATGGTAAATAAATAACATGTTCTTTCTGCTAATATTTTCAAACTTGAATGTTCTAATTTGCCCTCAAATATGATTCATGTTAGATATTAACTTCGAATGCAGGAAAATTGTCATCAATGCAATTCCTACAATCGAAAGATATGTAAAGATTTTTTAGCATTCTTTATATTCTGTCGTTTCCTATCTTTAATTTTAATTTAAAAAATTAAAATGAATGAGAAAGAATGGTTTCGAATGATTGGTCGAAATAATTTTTTCAGATCATAATTAAGAATTTTCTCACTCATTGCAGACCAAATCAGTCGAATCTGTCAGTGCTACAAAACTTCATATAGCTGAAGAAACTCCTTCACCCACAGAGGTTATTCCGGTAAGACAGTACTGTTAGATTTGCAGGATTAATAAGTTGTTGACTAATATATATTACCATTTCGCTTTATTTATTTAATCCTAGTGCTAGACTCTGATTCATGCTTTCTTTTTGTCAGCATTGCATCAAACTTGTCGTCCATTGAATAGTTTGGTTCTTTATTGATATGTGTCACTTTTGCTGAGCATAAATAATTAGATTGATTCGTACTGCTATTGTGGACAAGATGTAGGAATTTATTCGGATGCAGCAGGAGAACTGAACGAAAATTGTAAAGTGAAATTGCTGCCAACAATTGTGAAACCAGTTTCATTTGATCCTTATTCGCCGGAAGATCTTACTCAAGTGGAAGGTATCAGTTCATTTCCGTTTTTTCAAAATATAGAAGATTGTTGAACGGTTTCTAACCTACTCATCCGACTATCTGTCCCTGTCTCGAGAACTCTTATTTCTTAGCTGGAGAATTTAATCAACATGCAGTTAAGCTACATCGCGGAATGAAGTATTTCATAAATGTGGAATTGTTCAACTAAAAATTTATGGAAAAAATAAATATTTGAAATTCGTTCTATTCTGTGTATTCATAACTTAGAAATTGTAGGTGCGAGTGAAGAAATGAGTAAAAACTCGACGCAAATGTACCTAAAACCAATGAATCATCACATTATCATACCTTTCTTGCCTATATTACACGCTATTACCTATGCATCCAAACATGGCCAACTTCTGGAAGAACTTTTGCAGAATTATGATTATTTCGAATCACAGTTCACTTGAAAATAGCTGAATTGAAATTCATTTTGACGTTGTGCATTGTATATTAGAAAAAAATCATAACTGAAAGCACTCCTTAGAAATTGACCCATATATCCCACATATTTGAATAATTCATATGAGGGATCCTTGAAAACTTAAATGTCAAAAACCTCACTTTCTTTCCAAACATGTCTAAGCCATAAACACAACGGAAATATTCATTCTTTGAAAACTTTAAATTGCTTCTTACAGTTGAAGAAATGAAAAATAAGAATAGATTTAAATTAAATAATTAGCACTGGCTTCTTATCATTTCATCCCGTCTACTTGAGAATTGACAACACAGTTTTGACAAATATATTTACTACTATATTTTTTGATTTACATTCCGAATTTCATTGATGCGTAACCAAATGAACAGTACCTTAATAGGTTTAAACATTATAATAAATTTTCTTTTTGGAAACAGCATACGATACCAATCGGACAGTATACTATGCCGACATCCCAGCTAGCTACTATAGCAATTAAATAATTAAAGCATACCTGCATGAATATCTGTCGTTTATTTATCCATTTAATTCGGTTCAATCATTCGTAGGGCAATTCGTGAAAACAAGAAGAGTCATTAAATTCCAACTTAATTAGGCTGTAAAGTTGAATCAATAAGTTGTTTATTACATGCAATCAATAGGAACTAGATGAAGCAAAGGAAAATTTTCGTTGTTTATGAACACATTCTTACTATTACTCCTTTCTTAATGTTTCTGAAGTGAAATCGATGAATTACCGTGATGGTAAATAACGCTTCTCCTCTTTCTTTTTCTAGTATTCACCTATTCACATACTCACCTGTTCACGTTTCTAGTATTCACGTATTTACGTATCCAGTATTCGCGTTTTGAGTATTCACGTATCTAAGTGTTTTCTACTGCATTTCTCCTTTTATTTGTTTCTATCCGTTAAATATTTCTAACGATTTTAGTGCTATTTCTCATCTACTTGATCACAATTAAAATACAAAAAATTTGGCAATTATAATTTGAATTTCTTTTAGAGTTTCACTTATAAAATTTGGAATGAGCAAAAAATGAGTGAACTTAAAGAAATTATTGTTAATGATATTCTTTCAAGCTTACTGATAAAATATAGACTTATTGATAAGAACATCATGCTAACACGTTGACATCTTTCAACACAAGTGATCAGCAGTTACCTTTCAGTAACCATATTATTATCATAGTTTTCAAGTTTAATAAAAATTACAGTAAGAATGTTTGTGGAATATTTCTGGGATGTTTGTGGCATAATACTTTTAAATATAAAAGAATAATTTAAAAATGCTGATTATATAAAAGAGAAAAAGTTCCGAAAGATTGGAGGATAAGTTGATAGTTGATCATAAAGGAAGGATTCAAACAATTTTGCATCAGTTCGATTAATTCCTGAAAGGCGGATGTTGTTACAATTACAGTAATAAAGTTTGCAGCTTGGTACTTGCAATTGATAATTCACAGTTGTAAATTGATTTTACAACAAATACTTGTTTATAAATTATTTATGTTTATGAAATTTACTTGTTTAGAGCATAATGAAAGAAGTTTAGCTCAATTCAGCAGCTCAGAGCTATTTGCAAATCTTATGTTAGATCGACCGTAATGACTAATATGGATCTCCAGTAAATTTTGAATCATTTAAAGGATATAAATTTCGTAGATAAAAAGTAAGTTACCAGTTGTCATGTCTTTAGATTAACTTAACTGGGAGATTTTTTAGTTGGGTTTAGTACGATTAATTTAAATCATTTTCTAAGCGGTTTTTTTTATTTTCCAAACCGTTTTTATTAAAGAAACTACTTGTGAATCTAATTTGTTCTGAAAACTTCATTTTCATTTTTCTATTCTCTGATGTGTATAAGTAAAGCAGGATACAATATTGCCATAATTGGTTGGTCATAAAGGGTTAGAGCTCTACCATTAAAATCCCATACCTGTCGGATTTCATTTCTTTTTAAATAACGTTTTTCTTTTTTTATATCTGTTTCCACTCACTCATGAAGGAAATGAAAGTGAAGACATTTGGGATTCAACCACCTTTGTAGTTACAGGCCTTAATGTTAATGTCAGAAGATAATTTAGGACAGAGAGTTAAAGTATCTGAATAGGTATTGCCGGTATGTTAGACATTTTCAGTCAGGTTCGTCTTGATTTTTCGGTGTGTTTCAAAATATAACTGAAAAACAGTGGTGGTTTGGCTTTTGAAAAAAAGTGAAGTTCTTTGCAAACAATATTTATTTTGTCCTCATGACAGGTGTAAAGAGCGCAAATTGTCATCTGTCAACTGTTAATCAAAGGATCAATAAATAAATAGGCTGGCTTGCGCGTTTTAGCATTTCTTTCGGCCTAGGATTTTGCACCCAACCGATCCAGCTCTATTATGAACAGCGAGAATTTTTGTTTTAAAAGATAGCTAAAAAGGCTATTCCTTCTCAATTTTATTTGTTTGACACCAACTTTGCGCTAAGGATTAGTAAAGTTGTAAGTAATTTTTTTGTTTTTAATATTGTTGTTGTTCCAAAAATATACTGAACGATGAAAACTGAGGATATCCAATTCGATGACGAGGTCATTCTCTGTTTGTTGTCAAATATATTGATAACTCCTTTCGAAGAATATCATAATAATTATCATTTTTGAGTTTTATATAAATGAGCGAATATATGCAATCGTGCTTTTCACAATCAGACAATTATTTACTTTTATTTTAGGTTATAATTAAAATTTTAAATCAGTGATTTTCAATTATATTAGATTTACAAAAAAAAAGCTTCATTTCGAGCGTCACTTTTTACGAAATTTAAGTGATGCATTTTTACCTGATTCTTAAGTTAACTCGAATTTCCTAGAATCTAGCAGAAAATGGCTTATCCAAAGTCATTTATGAAAACTTTAATGATTATATTTGGGTGAAAATGTATTAAAATTCTTTCTTCTGAAGTAATTTTTGTGCGAAGTTACATTTGAAGCTAAGTTGTCTTTCCTTTTTGAGTTTGATACAAATTTTGGTGACTTATGGCATATAAAAGAAATTTGTGTTGTTAATAAGCAGCAAGCATTAAGATATTGTGAAATAATTAAACTGTGATTATATTATCTCCACCCAATCACAGCAAACAAATTATATCACACTTTATTACCTATTCATTAGGATCATGGAATAATTAATTAACGTTATAATTAATTCCTTCCGCTTTCATTATTCTGTTTATGGAAAGAATAAAATTCACTTCAAGATACTAAAATCAGCTCTTTATTGATGCTAATGGTAATAAATCAACAGAAATCGAAACGGTTTCATTAAGCTGAAATTGTTTACTTTATATACTTCAAGAATTCAAAATTATTGTAATGCTACCAAATATGTATTAATGAGAATTCATCAGTGTTGTGATTTTAAAAACTGAAACCATTCAATTATATATCTAAGATTACCTGCTGCTTAAATCCTTCAAGATCCATATTTTATTAGGGAATTTAGTATATTCCGAAAGATTGTTGTGATATGATTTCTTTTTTATTTTTCAAATTTGATATTGTCAACGAAGTTGAATTTTTCGTTGATTAGCTGCTTGGGTTTTTGAGTGGAACAGTTAACCTGAAACTATTACTGGTATTTTGATTTGTGTTAATCATCAGTATGAAATATTTTTGATAAAAATGTCACTGAGAAAGAGTAGAAAATTTAGAAATTAATGCGAATAGTTCTATTAATATTTTCAAATAAAAAGCATTAAAAATAAATAAATAAATGACAAATAATTTCAAAATAACAATAATAGTTTTCAGGTTAACCGTTCTATTCAAAAATCCAAGCAAAAATTCCTGTGAAATTCTTTCAGTGTATGCTAAGTTCCCCAACCAAATATGATATTTGTTTTGAAATTAAGACAATTGAGATGTTACTTACTACTATTCGAAGGAATAGGAATACGAGAAGAGTTCTTAACCGGGAACATTCTCAGAAGTTTAACCTTCAACTCTTTGCATAATTAGGAATTAGTGAAAATTAATTTCTTTCTTATTTTCGTTAACGAGTTGATGCTATATATCAAATACTATTTCGACAGCAACTTTCAGATAATTTATTATATATATAAAAATTTTTTGTTTATATTGAAGTTCTATTTTCATGCAAATCATTTTAAGCAACAAAAACCTTTGAAAATAGGAATTCATTTATTTATTTATTGGTTGCAATAAAATGTATTTTGTGAAAACAATGTGAGTTTTTTTTTTTTTGATTATCATTAAAATCGGGAAGTTTTTCATGCATTTTCAGCACTTCAAAAAGTTTTGAATAAATGATTAGGTAGTGCTTTGAAATACTGAATTGTATCAAATTTAAATTAATATGAAATAAGCTGAAGCTAATACGAGATTTTATCATCCAGTTACAGAAGTAAAGGAAATTTTTTTCCTTTGATGTAATAATAAAATATAATTTTGAAATAAAAGAAAAATATTAGATTTATGAAATTGAATATTTATGAAAGTATGTATTTGTACGTAGACGAATTTTTTCTTAAAATTTTGAATAAATAATTATATTTTGGAATACTGCATTCTACTAAATTTAAAGACAGACAAAGATAGGCAAAATTGTTATCGGATGAAAGTGGAAGAGAAATCAATCAGTCTTACACCCATCCGAGTAATTAATTATTGATTTTTCTGGAACATCAGTTCATTTCAGCTCTTGTCTGCTTTCAATTTGTTTAATAAACTGTCACTTTGGCAAATTGTCAGTAGCAGACATAGCTATTTTCAATAAAAGTTAGTATAGCAATTATTAACTAAAAGGTTATTTGTTGTATGATTGAAGCATCAGAAAAAAAAAGAAAAAGCAGAAGAGAGGCATTCAGGCCATTATTTGAAAGAAAAATTGGACTTTCTCGTTATAGTGAGTCTAAATGGCGCTGATGTGGAAGTTTTCAAATTAGTGTAGCCACTAAAGAATAGAGAAATTCATTTTTCCTTCCTTTTTGAACAGGAAAAAAAATAAGAAATCTTACTTTGCTATTCTTAAAGAAACTAAAAGCTATTCAATCTTCTCTTTATGGATAAACTAATACTGTAAGATTTTCTCTTCTTATCTCATCATCTAAGTATAATATAAAGGAAAGTATAGTTTATTTGTATAATTAATTTTATTCAATTTCCTGTTCTTATGTTATTCATTTATTTTGTTTTCCGTTTCTTTGTTTCATTTTTTTGTTTGATCTAAATTAATTCGTGCGATTTACTGAAACCCAATTTGATTAGTTTTATCACATTTCTTTTGTTCCAAACAATCAGAGAAATTGGATTAACTGAATGATCGAATCATCGTTCCATTGATTGGTAATCCATCCACATGACTATCTGTTTATAAAATAATCAATTTATGAATACCTGCTATGTGAACTATTATTCTTCTTCTTCATTATATGATTATCCAAAGCTTACGACCACTGATGTCTGGAAAGTAAATAATTGTCACAAGTTGTCTTTTACTTTTATTTTATTTATTTATTTACTTTTTGTCCTGAGAATTGTAATTTGTATGTTATATCATTCACTTATTAATAAATTATCTTTCCTTATTGAGGAATTCAGACTAATTTGGGCTAATAAGCCTTGCTAATAAAACTTTGAGCTGAACTCAGAAAATCCTTTTTATTTGGAAGAGTTTAATTCAAGCGTTCAAATTCCCTGTTTTTCGAAAAGAAAAAAAAAAAAAACAATGTATTACTCAATTCACGAATTAGTTAGTACGATGTTAACACGCGAAGATAAATGATACGACTACTATCTAGTACCAATTATATTCAGATGACAATGTCAGATCAAAAAAATATCAACTCTTGAAGATAATTATTGGCTATACAAAAATTGGTCGAAAATTTCTAAGTCATAGAAATAAAATTGACTAATTTTTTGATTTTTAAATAAGCTTATTTCTAAGACCCTATTACATCATGCAATCGCTATATATTTTTAATAAGCTCAGGTGTAGTTGACAACTTAAGCGACTGAGGAAAATGAATTTCTGAAGAGTTAGTTAGATCCATCCAATCTGTGTATATAAAAGTATGCAAATATATGCATATAAATTTAGATCTGAGTGTTTACGCTTATGTCTAAAGCCTAACAATGCATGTATCTTTCATATTCGCTTCTTTTCAGCATATGTTAAGAACTCTGCAACCATTGTTATATATCAAGCTTAATTTCTTTCTTATCATCTATAAAAATTTTTTTTCATTTATCATTAACAAAATTTTTTAGGATTAATTTTAAAAACGATCACCCGAATATAACGAATTTTCTCAGCTGTTGTGCTTTGAATATTCGTTTCCCAATGTTTAAGATTATTTCAAGCATAAAAAAACTATAATATAAAAGAAATATTTGTATGGTGTAACACACATGTTGTAGAGCTAACTAATTAATTATTACCTTTCATTCATCAGTTTCGTTGCATTCCATGCCCTAAGTATATTCCACTGCTTTTTATGTCTTATTAAGTTATTTTAAATTTAACAAAAAAAAGACACTTAAATAGGTGTTGAATATGCAGTTTTTGTTGTTGGCTGCCCAAGTATGCAGGATTAAATGAATCTGTTACTCAACTTTACTTAAGCTCAAACATTCATAATTCTGTTTACATTTGTCGTTATTGTGCTAGTTAATGGTTAACCTAGAGATACTCGTCCTACAAGACTGCTATTAAAACGATTTAATTTTCTTTTGTTCTCCGTTCTTTTGTCTATTTTCAACTTGAAGAGGCTATTTCCAACATAGCGCTCGAGGACTTTATCAGTGCTACCGTATAATCCTGTGCCTTCCACATTTCCATAATGTCTCATCCAATTATTGCATATAATTGATACTCACAAATAAAAGGTGATCCCGCATCAGTCAACTTATCTAGACTTTTACTCGTCCATGTATGATTGCCGCTTCTTGATGACATGGTATTACATCAAGCAATTCTGAAAAATAAACTGAGCGCCTACTTCTGAAGATCTTTTCATATACCAATACATTATGAGGCACTCCAATTCTTATTCCGCTTCTCAAATCGTAAACAGCTAATGTCTGGAATAGATTTCACATGGCATAATTGATTTACAAATTTATTTTGATTCGTTATCACTTTCATTTCACCGCTAACTAGAATTCACAAATTAGAAATGTATTCTCAAGCAATTTCTTCGGAATTCTATTTGCTGCTCTAAACTTTACAATGAACTTATTTATTGGACAAAATCAGCTACAAATTTTGTCATCAATGACAATTAGCAAATTTCCGCCCCGTCTGATCGTATCAGATCTTCTATCTTCTTGATTTTCAGAACAAATAACAACTCGAAAAGTGAAATTAGATTATCTATCAACAATGAATAGTTATTTTTGCAGATGTCTGATTTAGATTTACAAGACAGATTGGCAGGACATCGTGGCTTCACAATCAAAGCTCGTGAAGTGTTATTAGAACCACCAGCACCATTTGCAGTTGTGAGCGTAAGTTTCTGTTTGTTGTTTGTTTCCTGCATTTAGTTAGAATTTTGGTCTCACATTTAATTAATGCTGTCATTTGAACTATCTATTATTTCATTTTTGAGGTTCTGTTTTCATTAAACGGTTTGATTCAATTTAATTCAAAAGCTGTTTTGTTAAGGAATATTACTTTATGATCTAAAGTGGTCCATTTTTAATCGAAAATATAAATTCATGTTGTAAGACTAATGCTACTACTTCCACAAATGAAGTTTTTAAATATATGAAGGTCAATTCTGCTGCTTATTTGTCTTTTTTGACTAATTTTTAAACTTCACAAAATGCAATAAATCGATTTCATTAAAATTTCAAAACGCATTTTATTATTGTTAAATAGTTCCTTTCTGAATGAACAATCTCATTAATTGCTATTTCTTTTCTTCCTGCCATATTTTCGCCTATCTTTAATTCATTTATCACTTTCAAAGGCTGTCAGTACGATTGACTTCTTTTGTGTTTTAATTTTTTATAATTATTATAATTTGCTATAATATATTTAATATACTGTAATTTCTTTATCGAATGCATAAAAATTATCAATTCATATCAGAACAAAAATATGAGTTTCAGACTATCAGAATAATCTTTCTTTTCAGGAAAGCACTGGAAGTTTATTGAATGAATTCAGTAGTCCAAAATCACCTCATCGTGGATTTACGGCAAAAGCACGTGAAATGCTTGTTGAAAGACAAACACATGATAGTCATCACAGCTCAAAAAGTGAATTTGCAGATTACATTACGCTTACGAATAAGTTTTTTTTTTGTGTGGAAAAATTAACATATTTTTTAAGTTTTATGGTTTTTTCAATTTTTTATTATCTTATATGGATAATCTAAAAGAAATTTATATTCTACAGTCTTCATAAAAGTATTAATTTAATGCAGAAAAAAGTGCCTGATATCTTATAAAAACTTTTTTTTTTGAAGCAATTCGATCAGATTTTGATATATGGCACAAGCAGCAATCAAATCCAATCCATGTGCCTTGGAATAAACAGCCGATGCAACAAGCAAACGTTGGTATGTTTATGCATATACTGAATGTACAACAGAGACTCTGAAAGCAAAAAAATTCTTTTCTTCATTTAGTTAAGGTAAAGTAAAAGATGGCAACAATTTTTCAAGTGAAAGTGTAACAGATATCACTCGAAATTCCAGAAAAAAAAGGAATTAGATTTTATCTGAAATTTTATAATGTACGTTGCATTTATTCTTTATGTCATTTCAAAAAGCTACCTTGGTCCATCGTCATCATCATTATCATTATCATCATCGTCATCATCGTCATTATTATTATCACCAATTATCAATTATTCAGCAATGAAATATTAATGCAATGCAGAGCTAAAATTGCATTTATTTCTTTTTCTACAGACTGTGGAAAGGAAATGTAGGAAATTATATTTGAGATGCATCATTGCCAGCATTCTATTTACTAAGTGGATGGATTTCTTCAAATCAAAATAATAAAATGTTGGTAGTAGAAAATTGATTGGGTATGCATGCATGCATGGTATCGTATGTCACTAAGTGTTTGCTGAAAGAGAAATGATGATTTTTGATGTGTTGTCGCAATTAATTCAAATTCCAACATTGTTGCATTAAATTTCAATTCCTTGGAGAATTAGACGATTGTTTTATGCTTTCAGTAACGAACAGATTAGAAGATAAATCTATAGCTATCGGATTTTACTGCATCACAATTCATTTTATCTATTAGAACATGTAATTATGAATATAAGATGAAAAATTTTCTTTTGTATTTAAGATTAACTTTCAAAAAGTTTTGCATGTGATCATTTCTTGACCCTTGACTTGAACAAAACAAGATTTCATGCTAAGGAATCAAAGCACATTTGAAGAGCAAAATTACTTATAATAATAAATTTTCAACTCCAGACGCATATAATTGGCCAAAATTATTGCGTTGATAATTCTTTAGTAATTCTTCTGGTGCACTCTTTTTACATAGCTTAGAAAGATTTGCTTTGAAGAAGCAATATTTGTATCTGATTGTTTCACTTTCATCTTAGAACTACTAAGTATACTAACGAATTCAATTCAATTTATTCTAGTAACAAGGATGTTTCATATTTTCCTACAACAGAATATTTTGATCTAATGAAAACGTAATTCAAAATTTTTATCTCATTTATGGCTTCAGATCCATAAACCTATATTGGAAATGAGTTATCATCTATATAAGTATTTCAATCTATCCGTAACCTTTGTTACTCATATGTTCATTCGTAACACATTAATCCTTGATTTTTAGCAAAGAAAATAAAATTTCGAAGTTAAAAGAATTTATTTATAGGTTATGAAAAGAAGAAAATTTTGATTCCACATTCCAAGTTGTCACGAATAAAAGCTCATAAACTGCTCGGTGAAACTGGAAGAACGCGATCAGCTAATGAAATTTTCTATGATAAATTTATGAAACAAGTACGAAATCCACTATTGCGCTCTGATTTAGAAGTTGCAGGGTAAACGATTTTGTGCTTTTTTTCCGGCAGAATAGATTTTACTTTATATAAGAAATTTAATAAGAATAAAAAGGGAGGATGATAAAGTGATAATATTGGACCTACATAAAATGTAAATCAGTAGAATACATGGGATTCAACAAACTTAAAAGAAGGGATAAGTAAACGAGAATTTTCATTTCAATTTATAAAGTTCGGTAAAGAGTGACAGATTATATTTCCGAGAATGCTTAAAATGAAGTGAAAGAACTCTCAACAGTAACAATTTTCAGTTCCTCGCATGGAAACTTCACAGTGAGATGTTCAGATTCACAGCGGTTAGTGGCCGTATTCTTAAATACGCTTACAAAATTACTTTTAAACCTTATTCCAGAATATGTTATCAACAGCAGTAATCAAATAATGAGTAGTTAATGGTAACAATAATCGTAAATGAGCTTGCAGTAATATTAGATCTAATGACAAAAGCATAATTATCTACTACTTCCAATGAATGTTTATATAAATTTTAATAAATTAAGAGATTAATGTTCTAACCAATTTTTAAATTCATGATCAAAATGTAGTATAAATTTTGGCATTAGCTTTTTTCAGAAGTAGTGAGTCTGATAAAGCCAAAGTGATGAATTGTGCGATGTTTGATAATCTTCAAATAGATGTCAACAACAAAGAAGATAATACAGAATGTCCAAAATAAAAAATCAATAGCTGTGAGAGCTGTTAAAATTTTTGACTACCTGCAAATCCCAATGTTTTTTCTTTGATGTTTATATAATAAATTCAAAATCCAATTATATTATAATATGCAAACTTGGATTTTCATTGATAAAAGCTGTTACTCATAATTCAATAGAGATACGATGATAATGACCATAAAATATGTACAATGAATGCTTTTGTGATTTTTGAATCTGAAGAAGTTTGATATAACCTGAACAAAGCAATTTTAGACTTATTTCATAAGAAGTGTTAATTTTTAAAAGCCAACTAACTTCCTGAAGGCATGGCCGTTTATCAGTAGAATTACTTTTGGTTATCAAACGAAATAATTTTGCCAATTATTATTCATGCCCAAAATACACATTAGAGTTTCTAATCGTATCTTTAGTTGAGCTGATAAATATACTTACTTTAGTACTTACTTTATTTATATAACTTCCTTTTCTTGGTATTTGAATATTAATATGAATATATCGCCAAAATCTTTATTCTATATTTTCTTTATCTTTTTTGGTGGCTGACTGACTAAGTTGACTAGAAATTGATCTCACTTTATTTCATTTACATTCATTTTCTGCAATCTTTTTGATTTCACATAGAAATTTAAAGCAACAACTCTTTTCCCCTTTTTTCTTTATTTTTCCTTTTCTGTTAGTATTACTTAATCTGAAAAGATTCAGCCTTTGCAGTGTAAAAGAAAAAAGGCAATGTTTTTAACAATTTCCTGCTTCAAAAAATCACAAAGGGCCATTATAAACCGCTTTCTTTTGTGACATGGAAATGACTGCTTAAAAATGAAATCGGAAAATAATTATACTTGAAGCAAAGTGAATTCACAGTCCATAAGCAAAAAAGGCTTCAGCTAAAATTGATAGAAAAAAATTATAAATATAACACATATTCAGCAGGAAAATATCATCGCTAATTTTCACCAGATAAGATCAGAAGATCGAAATTATAATGAATTTTTTTCATTGTTTAATTATATGTGTAAAATTAAATGCAATTAATAAAAACGACAATTTCGTTTTCATCTCCTTGCATAATTTATACGATTGTTGTTGCATTAATTACCTACATTTCTAAATTTTATAGTAATTCTATATAATTGGTTATTAGTATTTCTGTAATAATTAACCAGTTGATATGATCGAGAAATATCAGCGTTCTTGAGTAAACAAATCAGTTCTGAGCATTTTTTAGGGCTAATATTTGTTTATAGCTTTATTCCAATACGATATGTGCTTAGTTTCTTTTTTTTGTGTGCTTAAAAGTTGGGAAATCTTTAAATCATGATATGTATATCTTAATTTGAAAATTTTCTTAATGAATTCTTTGTTGATGCGTGAAATTATGAAAATTTATATCAAAGCTTCTTTCTAAAATTAATCCATCTTTTCAAAAAAGTCATAGAGGTCATTTGAAAGATAAAAAACAACTGTGGAGCTTTTTTCAAATTGCAACAATTTTAATGAAATGAGTTTGATTTTCTATGATAATATAGATTTAGCTGCAAAAAATCCAAAAGTAATAGTTTGCATAGTAATTTCAAAAACAATTTGAAAAACTACTGGAATACCGGTCATCGACATTTCAACAATAGCAGCGATAAATAAACAAATTTATACTATATGAAAATGATATGGTATGAATGTTACAAAAATTTTAATCCATTTTTTTTTTTTTGCATGAAAATAAACAAAACCACTGGCATATGCCAAATAAATAGTGAATAAGCTCCTGACCGAAACTGAAAAATATCCATCAGTCACAGGACTAGGAAAATTTTACTAGTCTTTATAAGTAAATAATGAGTTTTTAAGTAAGTAAATAAAACAATATAAAATAAATAAGCAAATAAAACAACATAAAATAAATAAGTAAATAAAATAAAGTACAAAAAATAAAGTAATGCAAAATAAATAGGCAAATAAATCAATTAATTAGTTAAAAAAATTAATAAACTAATCAATTAATTGCGTAAATAGGTAAATTGATCAGACAAACAAACACATTAATTAATTAAGTAAATAGATAAATAAACAAGCAAATAAAAAAAGAACATTATCATAAGAGTAAATGTCAGATTAAAAAAGACAGTTTTTAGTCATTGTAAATAGATTTGGTTTAGAACAAAGATCATTAGTTGAACAAAGAACTGATAATCTGTTGATAGGGAAATCTGAATTTGACTGTCAAATTGTAAAATCATGATAATAAAATTAGAGCAACTTCTAACACATAAGCAATGCACATATTTTTATTAAAGTTCCAGACAATGCAGATGAGTATTGGATAACAATTTCTTAATTCAAACATTTATCTAAGGTTTATTCAAATGAAACAATCTTTGGCCTTATGAATTTAACACAAATTTATTTCGACATCTTATAATCGGTCCTTCATATACATATTTATTTATTTATTTTTTATTTACTATTTATTTTATATTTATATTATATTTATGCATAAATTTGCCTCATTTTCCAATATTTTTTTACAACCATTATGAAGCATAAAGAAGTTATCTCAATATCTTCCGGTACTTCTAACATTTAAATATTTTTCTAATTAAAAAAAAAAAAAAAAAAACTGAATGCCTAATAGAAAATTCTTCTCCTCATAAGACGAAAAATATTTCTATTTGAAATTTTGGTGCACTATTATCTGCCAATTAATAAATTTGTGCTATCAAAGCATAATGGTTCTAATTACAATTTAACTCATATTACGTATGCATGTTCGTCTGAACGAATGACTTATGAATAAAATAATTTTCTCAAACATATTTGTCCTTACTAATGACATGTTCATTATCCGAAAAAGTTTGATATCATTAGTTTTTTTATTTTCTCACAGATAACTTTCCAGAATTTTCACGCTGCTTTTATTTTTTATTTTACTTTTCACTATCTTAAACTCTTCATTTGAAATTATTGTATTTTGGCTAAATTATCTTAATTAAAGATTTATTGTTTTTGGTTGGATTCCTAAATCCATTCTCAATGTAATTTAACATTAAATACTAAACATTGAAATAATGAACTTTTTGAAAAAAATGTCTCTTCGTTTCTTTTGATATGGCATAATATTTTTTAAGACAGTGTAACAGCTCGGATTCTTAAATTTTCAGTTATTTGCTTTTTGTTCAATTTTAATGGTCAATTTCAATGCTTTTCTGGTTAAAACAAATTTGGAAGAAGTTCACGAATTGTTATAAATGAATTCTTATATTGAAAAAATGCATGTGGAAAAGGCAGTCTAATTGCAATCAACAGGTGAATCTTGGACTTTGGAGACGAAATTCTTTCAAATGCGTTCTTCAAAATCTTCGCCGCACTATCGATTACAACACCAAATTTAAGTGAACACAAGAAGCAAGAAACATTTTAATTTTAGAAAATTTTAGCATGTTTTAAATAACCTCAAAAACGAAATAGCCTAACTTTCACAATATAGCTTCTAAATGCTTAGTCAAAAAAACGACAAAAAAAGATAGTGGAAATTTGCACTTCGTAAATCGTTTTTTTTTTTTTTAAAGACTTAGCAACTTTTTCATAAATTTATAACTATTCATTTTTCTTTTAGCTTTTTGTTTTAATATCCAGCAACGATGTGAAATGAAGCTACAGCTTTTCACTAACGGATTCTTCAACTTTCTTTCTTTTTGAGGTCAGACTTTCAAGTGTAACGTTTGAATTGAGGTGGCTACTGATTGAATCGATCACAATTATAGAAACAATGAAATGATAAAAATATATGATAATTTCAAAAGTGATAAAGTTATTTGTTACAGATGCAATGATAGTAATTCATACTTAGTTACAGGTAAAGCTTAATAACTGAATTGAATTGGTGCTAATAAATTTTTTTAATATTAAAAAGTGAAATTGTTAGTTAGAAGTAGGTAACAAATGACGACATTGAAAGTTGCTGTAAAAATCTGAGTGCGGAGATATTCAAAGATGTTTCAAGGTGGGAAGTGAAGAGCTATAATCATTTCACATTGTCTTCTCGTTGGAAAAAGTTCAAGGAAAGTTGAGATAGAAGGAATGCCGAAATGATGGACAAGTAACACTAACTGAACTGGCGGATAGACTGACAATACTCAAATAAGATCTCAAAGAAAAGATAATCCTAAAATTTCGTTATGTTTAACAAATCTTACTGCCTTATTTTTTACAATCATTCCATACTTCTCATTGATCTGCTAAACTTCTACTTTCTACCGATCAGTTCACAGTGCATTGATCAAGGATCACATTATCCTGAAAATTTTGTTTGGATTCAAGATGATCATTTCAACGTGACGTGCAGAAAAGGTAAAATTGAGGTTAGTTTTTCTATTTTCATTGGAAAAAATAATGGTTATGACAATAACAGTTAACATCTGCAGAAATGATCAGTAGATGATTGTTCCATTGCATAATAATTTTTATTATATTTGTCAATATTATCAGCTGCAGCAATTCTAAAAAGAATTGCGGACATTTAAGTAAATTTCAGTATTGAAACAAAAATTACTTCAGACAAAAACGATATCGAAAATTTTTTATTAAAATCAAAAAGTCTAAAATTTTTCTTAATATTTTTAATAGAACTAGTGACATAATGCTAAATTTACAGTACGAAAGAATTAGTTTGAAGTTCGGTAATATTTATTTTAAATCGAATGTAAAATTTTTTGACATGAATCTAAAAGAAATTACATTCTCCTATTATTTCCCAAATTTACTAAGCCTCTATCATATTTATTAGGTGCTGAACTGTGTAAGTGACCGTGGTACTTTAATACCTCTTATGACACCATCATTCTGGGAAAACGATATCGAGTATTCCTGTATGGACGATGAGATCAGGAGTGAGGAAGGGTCAGGAGAAGACATTTCCAAATGCAGTGGTCGAGAAGAGTATTATCACAGTCATTTCGTTATTTCATGCATCACCAATAAGTAAGTTTAAATAATTGTGTGCAAAACAAGCAATAGACTTCTCAAATCTGTGATCATCGCAATATTAAAGAGACAAACCGGTTGAGAGGGAGACAATATTCTTTCATCAGTGAATATCTCGTCACATCATAAATAAGGAAATTTACTTCTCTTGAAGCACAACTGTTTATCTAAGCTACCCGCTCTTCACTCTGAACTTATATCATTTTTCATTTCTACAACATGCAAAATTGTAGGTTCATAGCGTGTTTGGATAAAAATGGTGACACTTTAAAAGAAGGGCTTTTTCTGTTGGAGCATAAACAACTCAAGAACTGCTACATTTACAATAATGGCAAAAGGGCCAGAATTGAAAATAAAGGTTTCATTTTGAAATTTTATCCTCACACCGACTTGATGATATGCTTATTATGAGATCAGTAATTACTTGGATGGTTTCTAATTAATATAAATGCATGTCGTAATTGGCGCTTCAATTTCATTACTATGCATGTTTTCGAATGGAATTCCTACCTGTCAGTGGCATTTAATTTTATTATGATTTAGGTTGCTTTAACGGAACAGAATATGATGATATCATGGATGAATCATTACATATCAAGAAATATGTGGTTTGGAGAGAAGGTAATTATGACATGCGATGTGGTGACGTTGGAGTTCACATCTACAGGTAAAAAGAGAAATTCAGTTAGTGTCTATGAATTACAATACACATTCAGTTCTGATGTTATAAGATAATTGTAGACCAGATAAACTTTTAAGCCCCTAAATTATCGAAGTGTGTTGTAAAGATGAAATTCTAAAATTTGATTTAGATGATTGTTGCATTGAATTCCTAATTCTTTTAATTATAATTAAGTTATCTCGGTTACATCAGACATTGAACGACAGATTGATAATGGGAAGTATTATCAAGCATTTTTGAGCAATAATTTCGAATTTTGGCTACAACTTATCAGTGTTTGATTTTGCAGATGTTACTTAGGTAACGATAAGAAAATATATGCAGGAACAGCTTGGATCGATGCAACTGGTACAATACATGTTTGTGGTGAATGAATTATATTGTGCAAGAATTTAAACGCATTCATCAATGCTGAACTTTCAGTTATTGCGGTGTTCTCCTAGGGTCTGAACATATCCTTGTTAATGTTTTTAACCTAGAAAAGGAGTTTCAATATAAACTCCCCTTCTGACTACTACTATACGTTTGCTATTATATCAATTAAGAGCATAAAGTGATTTCTTGATTAACATCAGAGTTTTTTTCATAAAATGAGTTATCAAAGCTACTAGGCAATTTCTGTGTTTAAAGTAATTAAACAGAAATTAAATTCTTTGTCAAAATTTAGTTTTATTAATTTTAAATAGTTTTATTTCATTGCCGAAGAACGCTTAATTTTTGTCAAAGGACAAAGCGAAATTCATTGCATTTTTCTGAGGGTAAAAAATTTCCTAAAGGATCAAAAAAAAAGTTTAAAATGCCAATAAAATTCGAGATGTGCTCATTGGGTTTCCGAATGCTCTTTGTAACAATCAGTGGTAGTAGAAGTAGCATCAATGACAGTAAATCATATAGTAAAGGCTTTCTCAGTAAGTTAAGCATAATGCAAATATTTATCAGTTTTTCACATTTAAAGCCAATGATTATTCTTTGATTCGAACTCAAAATTACATATTTAAGAAGGACTTTACAAGAATTGAGTAACCTGGACAATCATTATTACTTCTTTATAAAAGCTAACAAACCGCTCATTCCAATAATGTTTTTTTTTTGATTGTTTATTTGTTAATAGCAGTTCAATCCGATACAGAACTGTAACAAATTCTATTTCTTTCTACTCATTTATTTCACCTTCTAAATTTAATCGTATTAGCACGCTATGATACAACTGGTAGAAATGCACATGCTTTCTCAGCATTTCTTATAATTATAACCGTTCTGCTGTTTGACGTACACAAGGAAAACAACGAAAAGTGCAAAGATAACTTAGCAGAAATAATTTCAATATAGGAAGAATAAGCCTGAAAGAAAGAGTGAATGAGAAGGACATGATCAGTTTACACCCATATATAATGTGCGGAAGTTAAATTGGCATGTAGCATTTACAGAATGCACACGTGATCACGTGGAGAACGTGGAAGAAACTAACTAACTCTGACATTTCGTCAAACATATTATACGAAAATATTAATGAAATATTGTATTTTTGAGCTGCAGCAATTTCATGAAAACATAGAACGACTGCTCAGATGGCGGTAAGGGAATAGAGGCGATGCGGTCCGTTTGCGATGCGTACGGGGTTAATCGTATCGGAATTGAAGTGTGCAGCGTATTGGTGAATTCATCCTGTCATTAGCTCTCGCGTTGTCAGGGGAGGATAGTCAGTTACTGCACTCGACTGAAGCATTGAATTCTCCAGAATTGCATTCGAGAAATTTATTCTCTCAGAAATTCATATCTGAGATATAGGTACTGAAGTCAAAACTTAATACGAATAGTTCGTAGCCGTCCATCCACCCATTTCCAGAATTGTCCGTCGTGGTGCTCCGGGAAACGCGTTGCAAGCAGGAACAGTGCGGACAAGGAACGATTGGTTCAGGTCGGTTTCATCTTTTTCTGCTAACTGTGCTGCTACTATGCATTTCATCAGAGAGACTTCTGGATTGTTCCGTTGTCGATCACTTGAGTTCTTTGTTAGTGATGGATTGGTCGTTTCGTTTCAATCGCTTCATTTTTTCAAAGGGATGGCATTTGTTATTCTTCATGAAATCAACTTTCTATTTCTTGGTAAAAGATGACATTTTAATCAAAGAATTTCGGCTGAAAAAAATCAAAGCTGAAAAAAAGAAAAGAAAATTTCCAGCAAAATAGAAGAATATTCAATTTTAGTTTAAGTGGACTTGCAGGACAGAATTTGCAGACCTTGGTTGTCTTACAAATATATGTACATGTTGGTCATAGTGATTCCTCTACGGTTGTAATTTCATTCCAAGAAATTAATGCCTTACTGCGTTCCTACTGCATTTCATGAGTCACTGGAACTAATGTGTTTATTACTCTGAAGACTTGGAAGTTATCTCAGTGCATACTGTTGTATTAGATAGCTAATTTTGTTAGGATTCCACAACATAAAATCGCTTCTCTCACTCCTACAATTTATAATTTCAAGCGGAATATGTGAAGCCTTCCAGTTTGCCGTTTTCAAAATGTGCAAATCTCGTCACTCTGGCAGTCGTAGCCTCTAAACTTTCTCACACTTTAACCGTGAGGTGCACACATGCTATCTTTACTTAAAAGTAGATTCTTGGAATAAAAATAATATGAAAATTCGTGGCACGGTAGTTGCCAAACCATGTTGCGCGTTCTGAAGTGGCAACATTCAATAAATAATCCATTTGTTTCAGTGTATCTGTCAAGACTTGATGTTTTCGGGTGATCCCGCAAGTGAGAAAAGGAAGGAACCCATTTCGCCTGAACCAGCCAAAAAACGGCCGAGAATTCAGGAAGTAAGCTTACCAGATCACATGTTTAGTTTAAGAGTGCAAACAATCATTTTTTAGTTGCCAACTTTATCTTCTATTTAAGCAACTCTTTAATATGGTGCTTGATTTTCTGTTATATAGCACATATCAATCTTTTACATCTCTATACCGAATTTTTAGAATTTTTCGTGGTTTTTTTACAATTACATTTTTTACAAAAGTGGAGGTTTTTCTTCCCAAATTTAGAGTCGATCTTCCGTGTCACTGTGTGCATTGTTGGATGTATGCAGACTATAAGCTGACCAGTACCAATTCGAAAAACATTGCTACTGTAAGTCATCTTGATGCCTGAACTGGTGGTTGAAACCAAAGAAATACGAATGCGAAGGTGTTATATTAGATGATTTGTATGAACCAAATTTTCTGCGAATCAAAGAAAGTCTACGCGTATCTGTATAATACATCTCTGATAGACTAATCAAAAATGTACTATGCAAGTTTACGTTTACAAATAAACAGCACATTGCCTTTGGTTTCAACCATCTCTTTCCTCAATAAATATAACAGCTTCGCATTTCTTATATCTTTAATACTTCACAAACTGAAACTTGTTCCTGATTGTTCTTTAAAAAAAAAAAAATCCAAAAATTTCGCCTATATTCAGCCATCAGGTTGGGCTAGACGGCTTCGTACGACATACACTTATCCATATTTCTGTTTTTTACAGTTACTACAATACATATTCTTTTTTCACAACTTTATGTACTTCTTTAAAAAATTTTGAACTGATATTCGATTTCATTTTTTCATTTTGTTAGTTTATTGGACATAGTTTACAAAATTAAATTATACTTGATGCAGTGAGAACGAGAGCTAACTGTTATATTCTGACGAAGGTGCACGGGAATGTCTGCTTTGCGCTTCATTAGTGTAATGTGAAAATTGGAAGAAGAATGCAGATTGACCAGTTTCTTTTCCTTTTCAAAAATACGGACTTGAAGGTTTTCAGAGTGATATAACACGAGATAGATAAAAATTAATGTTCGTACTGTGGAGTTTAGTTTGCATGTTGATAAATTTTGTATCACTAGATAGTTTTTGGGAAGCATTGATCTTTCTTACTATCAAGTAAGAATGTATCAGAATATGAAAGCTTCTAGTGTATGAATAAAAATGGAGACTATATACTGTACGTGGAAGCATTTAAAACGGCATGAAAAGATTAATATCTGATCGAAACATAAAGATGATATCTAAAAGGGATAACAAATTATCTGAAGTATCTACAAACGTACAACGACTGTTTCTACTTGCAGCTGAATGATACGGAATTTGCCAGCCAGTCATTTGATTTTTACATATAGTCTATTCGAGTCTCCAGATCGGCTAGTCCCCTTTCCCACTGTACCGCTTAGTCTGTACCGTTCATAAAAACATTGATAAAAAAAATTTTTAATCTGTACCGCTTAATTCTAATGAAGTTCTATGTTGTTATATTTTGGATGTTTCCGAAATTATGTTTTACAGATTATTTAATGTTAGTGGTGTAGCAACATGTGGTGTTATATTTTTTTATGGAATACTTTTTTTTATGAATGTTAATTTGTTATTGACTGAGCTTTAATTCAAATGAGTAAGCGATGATTCAAAAGAAATCTTAATCTGGAATTAATGTTGTTAAAAATCGGCTGCAGCTAATGCATTTTCATTTACATGTTTTATCTAATTTGCTCTCTCATACTTTTTAATAGTTGCTTTCATAATTGATGTCAACAGTTATGAGAACTGATTTATTTTGAAGTAGCGAAGTTAATGTATTTATAATAAATTCAGGAAGAAAATAGAACTTACAGTCCCCAGAAAGTTTTCATAAATTAATTATTGAAAGGGGTTCTTAGCATCATTGTAGAAGCGAACATTCTTATGTTCCTTACATATATTGCTGTGTGCATTTGTGTTGTGTGCGCTGTCAAATTTGATTACCAACCCCTCCGTACGACCATAAATACTTTTCAAGAGGAGATGTCGCATAAAGTTTACAAATATCACACTTTCTTATGCTAAAATGATAAGACGAATTACTTCTGCTTAGTGTCAGTAGTATTAAGAATTTATATTTGAATGTGAAAGTTGTACATTTATTACAGACCCCATACCTTACTTGTGTAAGGTATGGGCCTTTCTGATTTAGCGTGCTGTCTTTGTTTACTGTTTGTTTTATTAGCTTTTTAAAATTTATTGAGAAAACTGCAAATATAGGTTTATTATCTTGGCAAATTTTGCTATACATCGGACATTGAATTTGTGACAAAACTCATTCGTATTAAAATGTTTGTGGAATGTTTTATAAAACACGTCTGTGGTTACATGTACAATTTCGTAACTTTTTGTTAATGCGTAATATGCGTCATGTGCACAAAGAATATGAGTCATCCATTCGCATTTCAGTTTCAAAAATGTCTTAAAAGAATTTCATAGAAGTTAAGTGGTTACAAATTATTCTTTCATTTTACGCATTCATGCATCTTCTTTCGGTTGTCTTTGTCATCTGTGATTTGGCAAATTCTCGTTTT